ACCAAATCATGGAATCCTGAACTTTGGGACTCGCCCTATTCTTCACTCTAAAGCCGAAAGTGAACGTGCAAAGAACCCCAACAATGAAATTGTCAACAGGATTCCGACGCAAGGAAGATCCCACCTCCCCCCCCCCCTTCCCCTTTCTTCGGACGTCCATCGCTTATGCAGAACATCTGTTGTGCTTCCGCCCCCAGCCCAAAGTTTCATGCAATGGTGTTGTTTTTTGGAATCATTTCCCTTTTCGAATTCCCCAAAGGGCGTCACGATCCTGTAACGGACTCTTTTAGACTACTTTCTTTTTTTTATGGTTTTTCTTTTTCGGTTTGCATCAAACCCTGCGCGGGCCAAATTTCCCACGTGGCCCACACGTGCTGCAGCTCGCCTATCTTGCCTCGTTTCGGGAATAGCCTCGTCGGCTGGCTCTGGCGTCAGTGTGACCGTCCCATATGCCCCGATGGTCAGGTCGAGTCTTGATCTTCAGTTCGTTGCGAGGGTCCTGAAACAGGCTCTGCGCGGGACGGAGGAGACAGGGACTCGGAGACCATGGGCTGTCGGGATTGAACCCTGCCCTTCCGGTCTTTTGTCCCTCGTGGGAAGCCCGTAGAGGATTTCGGTGGCTTCTGTCCGTCAGCACTGTGTTTGTGTACGAAACTTGCTTGAGGCAGACATGTCTGACTAATATACGGACTGGTCTCGCCAGGGTTGAATAGTTCGTCAGGTTTGTAGTAGCGATATATTATTAATTCTATCTCCATGTTGTTCGAAGTCTGCGGGGCGGAGGCAGAGCCTCCTGTAGTAAAATGTCATGAGCTCTTGTAATATCTCAAATACTATTACACAAAGCAACCCGATATATTTACTAACGTTGATCGGCAGGGGAAGGTAGGGGGGATAGAGTCATTGGGTCAAATTAGTTACATCATGTGAATCAGGATACCGATTGCATTAGAAATCAATGTTGACATGTTTTTACCTTGTTTAATTTCATCATGAAATCAATGCACCCTAAGATCGTTGTCCCAATTATCTAGTCAGTCAGCTTTGGTTACAAGGCAGCATTTGAACAAGCACTCTTCCTGCCATGGTCTTGAGACGCCTACCAATAATCTCCAGGGTCCTGTCAAGACCAGGTCAAATCTTCCAAGGTAACCTCACCTTCGTTTCAGTGCTACAAACATAGTCAGGTGCCTTGGTTCTCGATGAACCCAGTCAAACCATGATCCGTTTCACCTCAGGACCGGTTGCTTGCACACCGCTCGTGAGGCTCCAATGCATCGTTTTACCTGTGCGTCAAGGCCCGTATAGCTCAGCCAAGAAGCCAAATGGGGAACCCAAAGAAAGCAAAAGAAAACCTAAATGCAACGGTGTTTCATTTGCAAACAGGGTGTGCCCGAGGCGGTCAACCCCGACATCACCGACTTCGCCGAATTCAGAACACCGTAGGTTGCACGGCCGGGCGAGTGTGTGTGCAACAATCTTGAAGTTTAGTGATCAAATGGGCAGATGACAGAAACATGAGGCTGACCATAGAAAGATGCGAGGTGGGGAAAGCGACGAGAAGAAAAGAAGTATACGGTAGGGACACAGCTCAGTTGGCGCTCTACAATGAGTAATTCAGGGTGAAGGACGGACGCCTGTAGAATAGCAATGCGTCCTTGTCATTCTGATCGTCTTGCCTAGTTTTCATACATACTCTGTTTACTCCTCTTCTATTCTATCTTTGGCCCATAGGTCTTTATGCATTATACTCTTATAAATGAGAGTCACAGTGTAAAAATGTGGATTTAGATGGCACATCTATTGTTGAGCTATTAATTCTATTGTTGATTGTCAAATAAGAAAGAAATAAATGTGAAAGGTCGCGTCGGCAGATAAGCCCTACTTCGCCCCTTGAATTCATCGTACTCCGGCATTTCTTGCATATAAATCAAGTGCGCTTGCTCAACATTGTCTATGTTCTCAGTATGCTCGGCTTTCTTTTCGGCCTTGGCTTCATTTGAAGTCATACATGCCCAGGAGCCACATCCGTTGAAACAGCCTGCTGATACACGTGGTACTCAGATTGAACACCGCCAAATTCATATAGATTTTGTACTTGAAGTAGAGCAGGGGTCATGATATAGACAGCGTACATGGAAAACACGGAGTCTAAGTATAGATTAGGTTGATATAATTTTATATCTACTGACTAGAAAGTTTGATAAGGAAGGTTTGCTGCAGCTGCCAGCACGGCACGCTTGAATCGGATTTTCATGGAAAAGATTCCGGCTGGATAGGCCCAGCCTATACTCATCCATCCTAGAATTCATTTCCATGCTCCTGTTGAGACCACCTAAGATATGTAAATTTTCATTCACCCCACGCAAAGCATGTTGCAAAAAGCAAGACACAAATTGCGGCGGCGATGCTCAAATTCTTGGGTCCCAATAGCCACAGCTATCGCTCCACAGACTAGGATTACGCATATTCCAATTGCCATACTAATATATAGTCTTCTTCGACCGATTGCATCGATCGTGTACCACTATCTTAATTTAGTACACCCACTGGTCGGAGAAAGATGATAAGCAAAAATTAAAGTTATCATAGGACCTGAGAAAAACAAAGATATTAGCTTGTGCTGTTGTTAATATAAACAATGAAACACTAGTAAATAAAAGCCTATTCCAAATCTCAAAGGGTTGAAAGCTGATAGAGCTTACACTAAGAAAGGACGCGATGATATACCAACCCTAGAATAAACGGCCCACAAAGAACGCCTCTTCTTGTGATATGTTGAGGTTATTTCAAAAGAGTGTTGGACCATGACGACTGATAATATTGATATATACAGGTTACAGAGAAGTCAAAATCCGGGAGAAAGGAGAGAAAGATGGAGACCAAATCTACCTGAAATTTGCTGCATGAACTGAGTCCCCATTGCAAGAATGATCTTTTGTTGGCGGCACATCCTCCATCTATAAAAGGGGCCTTCCAGGTCCTTTATTTCTCCATTTCAATGTTGATAGCGGCGAGGATATCTGTGTTTATTTCTATGCCACCGGATCGTCTTCCGGCTTGTCCCTAAATTGAGTCAACGTTTTAATACTTCGTACCGCCAAATTTTCATGCAACATTAGCCAGCAGGGAGTGTGAGGTAAAAAGGCGCCAGGTGAATGATATGAATAGTAATGATAGTTTTGAAACAGTAGCTCTGGGACTGAAGTAAAAGGCATAAATGATCCACGGCGCCACCATTAGACTAAATAGAATCGTTATTAACTGGCAAGACAGGTACCAGCCTCTTTGACTTGACAGACGGATCTCGCCCTGATATACAGGGGCAACAGATGTTTGAAATCTAACCCCCGTGTTGATATTGAGACAATTAAATCGTCGGCTTCCTCGTAGTTCATGCAACTTCTTGCTTAATGTTTTTATTTAATGAAGCCCGTATAAATCTACCAACCTATTAAAAGTCTTCCCACAATAATCAAAAGGCATCAACCATTAATCCGCGCATGTGACCAAGTCTCTCGACCGAAAAGCAGGCAAAGATAGCCCCCAAGACCTCACCTCCCTCAATCAATGCTGTGATGGTGCCCATCATCACCGTGCTCAGGTGGCCCATTTCACCAAGCCAGTTCCTCAATACGATTACCCTAGACATGACACCTTGATGATAGCCAAACAACAAGGAATCGGACAAGCATACGGGCATAATGGCGGCCACTAGGAATCCTGAAGACCCGTTAGGCCTGTTTTGTCGACCTCAAGAAGAAATTCCGAGATAATACAAGAGAACCTATTTCTACGCTCACAACCCTCTTTCTCACAAACAGGTCAGCGCGTCTTCTGAATAGACACACTCGTACCACCCTGGCTCGTTCTATGAGGCACTTGGCCAAAATACGTGATGGAGGATCTGGGGATGTGGGAAACAATTTCCGACCCAGAGCTAATCAAGCGCGTTTTCTGAATGGGCCAAGACTCCGAAGCTCAATGGCATGGGAAAATACAGGATGTCAAGTGTAGCCCGAAAGGATCACAGGACCTAGTTGCCCGTCCGCGTCGCTATCCCCTGCACGTCGATCGAAAGCTTAGCGGTGAAATTGCGACTTCTCATGGGTTGGGTCGATCCATTAGACTGACCTCGTTGTCCACTTTTCGTACTTGGACTTTTTGAGAAGAAGTCGAAGCAGATTTCCTGGAGAGTCTAAGTAAGGAAATATGTTGGAGAATGATCGGAAAGAGGCTCAGTGTAGTGGAATAGGACTCGATATATCGCAGACTATAAGATAAACCTATTGCATGTAGAACAAGGCTCATAGAGGTGATTATAGTAGAATACACAATGGTCGTATAATTTAACAGAATAGCTTTCTCTCCTTTCCATTTGGTGAGGACCGGATCTAGTCCAAGGCCCATCTTATTTTGGATGTAGAGAAATGTAGGTCAAAATCTCAGGAACTATTTCGAGGAATCTAACACGAATGTCAACTGTACAGATTTGGAGGATTATCAGTCCTCGACAATCTTAATTAATCTTGTAAGAAACAGGACACGATACGATTGCTTTGTAGACCCTTTGGGCTAACACTTAGAGTGGGACCAGAAAAAGCAAACCACATGCGGGTCTAGAAAGAGGCCGTAAAGAGTTAAGGAACCTGAAATTGGAAAACGTCTAGCGGCATGATGATTTTTATGAAAGGACATGCTGCCTATGATCCAAATGAATCACCCAAAAAAACTGACAAGACTGCTTTTCCTTAGGGATATGCCTTGCTGCAAAAGGCACCATATTAACCGGACAACCCCAAGATATAAGATCATAAACGTATCTCGAAGCTGAAAGGATCGAAGAGGGAGAGCGTAAGATCTTAAAAACCAGATGCCACAATGTATCTATTAGAGATAAACGCTTTCTGAAATCTCCTGCTTCCCCCTGCCCCACAACCATGAACAACAAACGCAAAGAAACTAGACGTGCCTCTTTTTTGTGTATTGACTCTCTACATTTAAAGCTCGTAACTGTTGAAATGTCAGAACCATTCCTTGTGCCATATTGACTTGTTCGAACCATGAACTTACCTCCAAGGGTGCTTCTCATCACCATACTGGATGCCCTCGATCCAGTTCTTCATCTGGAGAGCAATCTCACCAGCCTCCTCATTCTCCTTGAGGCCACAGTCGACCAACTTTCCGCGATAGCTAATATTCCGCACGGGGCTGACAATGGCCGCGGTGCCAGCACCGAAGACCTCGATCAGTCGGCCCTCCTCGGCAGCCTGGGCAACATCGGCCATGCGGATCTTGCGCTCCGAAATTTCCCATCCCTGGGGCACCAGACGCTCCCGGGCCAGGCTCAGGACAGAGTCACGAGTAACACCCTCCAGAATAGTACCGTCGAGGGGAGCAGTGATCAGCTCCTTCTTTCCAGTTTCCTTGTTCTTCAGGGCGATAAACAGGTTCATGGTGCCCACCTCGGTAACGTATTCCTCCTCACCGAAGAGCCACAGGTTCTGTTGGAAGCCACGGGATGCGGCTTCAAGCTGAGGCAGGATACAGGGGGCATAGTTAGCACCGAGCTTCTTGTCACCGACACCGCCGGGCCAGGCGCGGACAGCATAGTCTGTGGCCTCCAGAGAAATAGCCTTGAAGCCGGTGGGGTAGTAAGGGCCGACGGGGCTAGCAATAACGAACAAAAGAGCGGAGCCAGGAGGGCCAACACCCAAGGTCTTCTGAGTACCGATCATGGTGGGGCGCAGGTACAGCGAATAGCCACGAGCACTGCAGGGACGTTAACACAGTGATCTAATCAGCTTGAAAGGAATATAGTACTGACTCCGGAATGAAGCGGTTGTCCACCTTAACGAACTCGCCAATCAGCTTCGTCAGAGCCTCGCCATCAAAGGTTGGGAGAGCAATTCGCGCGGAGGACTTGTTCAGACGCTCCATGTTCTTGTTGGGGCGGAACAGGCGGGTGCCTCCATTCTTGTCCTTGTATGCCTTCATTCCCTCGAAGCATTCAAACGCATAATGGAACACACAGGTTGATGGATCCAGACTGAGATTCTGGTAGGGAATAATGCGCGGAGAGTGCCATCCGTCAGCGGCAGTCCACTCGACGGTGAGCATGTGGTCTAGAGGACATTTCAGTTAGCCGGTGTGGAGAGGTTGCAGCGAGCAATTCCAATTCCTACCGGTGAAAGTTTTTCCAAACACCAAATCCTTGGGCGGAGTGAGCTCCTTGGGGGTTTCCGTCTTGGTGATGGTCAGCTTGGAGGCATCCAGGGCCGCCAGCTGGGAGGCTGCCGCCGCGGTCACACCAAAGCTTCTTTGCCATAGCCGGCTGGCGGCGACGGTCTGGGAGGATAAACGGGGAGTCGCAAGACCGGCCAAGGCCTTCCGGCGAGCCAATTGCTGAAGGGATTTCATGGCTGTGGGCGCAATGTCAGTCGCAGTGTATGGGGAAGACAGGGGAGATACGGACGGGGCTTTATATGCAAGATGACTCGCAACAATTCTGCGGAGCACAGGAACAACTCCGACACGCCCTATCGCGCAAAGGCGGACAAAGTCCAGATTCACCGCCTGCCCCGAAAGTGATGAGTCAGACACCGATTCAGACGCCGGTTATCCGTTTCAGCCAATCATAGCTCGCGTATTCGCCAGACCGGCCGACTTCGGATCGAATTGAGGCCTGAATTTCAAGGACCACAGAAATAAAGCCGACGCAAAGCGCTGATTACCTGAGCAATGTTGCAGGTCCATAGCTGGTACATCTCGAGTAGGTTGTGTAGTACTAGATTGCTAGATTGGCTGATCCAGAGGAGCATGACTCATGGTGGCTGCAGCATCCTAGCAATGGGACCGAAGTACTCCGTAGGCAGAATACAATTACTTCGGTGTGTCTTCGGTCAACAGCTCGAGATCCCCGCGCCCCAGACACGTGATCCTTTACGATAGGAGCATTGTTATCGCAGCCCCGTCAAGCTTCGCGAGTTTCGAGTTTGGCCTTTTATTCCTGTCATTCCTCGGACGCACATTCGGGAGTCTGGTACCTTCGGTGCAGCGACAGTCGATCTGCCAGTCCGTTTCGGTCCTGTTCAACTCCCTTAATCGGCGTGTACAGTCCGAGTCATGCCGCGCGCCGTCTATCTCGTTATCCTATCGTGAACGCCTAAACCTCGCCTGAGTGCGTCCGATTGTCGATGACCGATTCTGTCTCGTGCATTCGGATCCAAAATGTTCTCTTCCGCGCTGAAATCCTTCAGCTCTAATATTTCCGCCAATTACCAGATCTCTCCCAACCCGACCGTCTATGCAGGCCCCTGGAAAATCCACGATGCAAAGAAAAAGTCTACAGGGACTGCAGCTTCAGTCTTCATCTTCGATCGCAAGATCCTCGAGCCACGATCAGGTGGATTTAGTTCTCGTGCATCTGGTTCCTCTACCAAGAAACTGCAAGAAGATGTAATTGAAAGACTGAAGCGAGAAGCGAGCAACCTTGCGCGACTGAGGCACCCGTCCATTCTGCAGGTGTTGGAGCCTGTCGAAGAAACACGAAACGGGGGCCTCATGTTTGCAACAGAGCCTCTAACAGCTTCGCTTTCAGGGCTTTTGCTAGATAAAAATCAACAGGAGGGCACCTCGGGTCCGGGCTCTCGATCGAGCCGGAACATGGTCGAGGCCGATGGAACGCGTCGGAGAAAGGACTTGGAGATCGATGAATTGGAAATTCAAAAGGGACTGCTCCAGGTAGCCAAGGGACTGGAGTTCTTGCATGAATCTGCAGGATTGGTGCATGGCAACCTCAACCCAGAGGCCATCTACATCAATGCCAAATCAGATTGGAAGATATCTGGTTTAGGATTTGCGGGACCCCCTGACTCTTCGGAGTCTCGATCAACTCTGCCCCCGTTAGCAGTTTCCGAAGTCCTGTATCAAGACCCAAGGCTGCCTGCCTCCGTGCAGCTGAACATGGATTATACATCTCCGGACTTTGCTCTAGACTCTAATGTGTCGTCCTCCGCGGATCTGTTTTCCTTGGGTCTTATTGTCATCACTCTCTATAATTCACCCCATATTTCTCCGCTGCAGACACATGCGAACTTGTCAACTTACAAAAAGCTTCTGAGTTCCCCGTCGACAACTCCCTCCCAGGGCAATAACTTTCTTTGCTCCCAACCAATCCCGCGAGATGTTCTGTCCCACGTTCTGCCTCGATTGATCACTCGACGACCTGCGCAACGCATGAATGCTCGAGAGTTTCAAGAATCCCAGTACTTCGATAATGTCCTGGTGTCCACTATTCGATTCTTGGAGTCTTTGCCCACCAAAAATCCAAATGAAAAATCTCAATTTTTGCGCGGATTGCAACGCGTTCTTCCCGATTTTCCCGCATCGGTACTTGAGAAAAAGCTCTTGGGTGCCTTACTAGACGAAATGAAAGATCGTGATCTTCTTCCTTTGATCCTTCAAAATGTTTTTGGAATTCTTCAACGAATTCCTAGCGGGCGCCGCGCTTTTCCCGAGAAGGTTATTCCCCGTCTGAAAGAGGTGTTTGTGACAACTTCAGGGAAGCCCGCGGCCCAAGAACGTGATTCAAAGAAAGATGCGGGTCTTATGGTTGTCCTTGAGAATATGAAACTCATTGCGGAAAATTGCTCTGGCATGGAGTTCAAAGACGGTAAGGCTATTCTATTCTGGACACATTGGCTTGAACAAAACTGAGTTCTCATCATTTAGATATCCTTCCACTAATAAGGCTCGGTATGGAGTCGCCTACTCATACCTTGGTGGATGCTTCCATTAAGTGCCTCCCCGCGATTCTTCCCGTTCTTGACTTTACCACTGTGAAGAATGAAGTGTTCCCTCCCATCGCCGCTACCTTCAGTCGCACTAGCAGTCTCGCCATCAAAGTCCGTGGCCTGGAAGCTTTCTGTGTGTTGTGTGGTGGCTCCGCAGATGAGTCTGATGCGTTTGATGACGACCTTAGCGGTGCTGTCCAGTCAAATAAAACCCCAAAGTCGTCCATCCTAGATAAATATACAATTCAAGAGAAGCTGGTTCCATCCCTCAAGGCAATCAAGACCAAGGAGCCGTCGGTGATGATGGCTGCGCTGAAGGTGTTTCGGCAGGTTGGTAAAGTCGCCGACTCGGACTTCCTCGCTCTCGAGATTCTTCCAATTCTTTGGGCTTTCAGTCTCGGTCCCCTGCTAAATCTACAGCAGTTCAATGAGTTTATGAGTTTGATCAAGTCTCTCTCTGCCAAAATTGAGAAGGAGCAGACGAGGAAACTTCAAGAACTCTCTTCAGGCGGAGACACTCGAGGATTTCAGAACACCAAGGGCGCCTTTTCTCAGTCAGCGACAGACCTGACATCGCCCGATACCGACGGTGCAAGAAATAATTTCGAGCGTCTTGTTCTCGGAAAGAACTCGGCAACCTCGAATACCAAAGAGATGGACATCTGGGGCTCTATGGAGTCCGAGCCAGCTGCCGCGCAACGCCCGAGTCTGTCACCCTCGCTGTCATGGTCCACAAACAATGGATTGGGTTCTGGTCAAGTCAATAACTCCTCGAACCAGCTCGGCTTCCGCTCTATCACACCGGATCAGAAGCTGGGCTCTTTCCCGTCTCTTGAACCTGCTCGCCAAGCATCTCCCACTCCTTCATTTCCGGCTTTGCAACCATCCTCGCCTACTTGGAATGTTCAACCTCAGGCTGGAAACAGGCCCGGGCCATCTATGGCATCCCTGTCTGGCATGGCCTCCAGTAACCCAATGTCCAGGCCGACATCATTCTCTCAGCAAGCCCCCAACTACTCTGGCTTCTCAATCCCGCCTCCTCCAACCGGAAATTTGGGCGTAAACAACGCCATGAGACCTTCAATTGGCATGAACACAACTCCCGTAACATTCCCGACTCAGCCTCAAGCACAGCCATCCGTAATTCAGAAACAAGGCTTGGATAAGTATGAGAGTTTGCTGTAAGGCTCATGCATGATCAGAAATCTGTTATACCAAAATACCCGCCATGTGACTTATGTCCAGTGTTCATATTCCCTACTCTTGCGCTATCATCCGAGTGATCTATAGTGGTCGGATAGGAAGCTGAGCATGTAAATATTAGAGAGAGAATAATTTCATTCCAATTCCCTTTTTTTTTAAGGTACCACAGAAGTATTAGTAGTAGGAACAGTGGGAGTGAGAGGAAGACTGGAGCGCAAAAACTTCCATGATAACAAGCCAACTGAAGTGCTCTTGACTGCTTTGGGGCTGCTACGGACGCGCAGACCCGCAGGCGGAGTAGGTCGTGATTGGTACTTAGCCCCGTTCTCGATGACATAGCTCTTCGACTCTCTCGGACCTCTCGACCCTTCATGCACTCATTGCGTGGCATTGCGCCGCGTTTGCTTACCCGGAGCTCCGTGTTACCTCCGCTACCCCTCCGTCGCCTCACCCACCGATTCCCCGCGCTTTGCCTGCCCTTCTCCCTATCCCACTCAAGTCAAGCACCCGCCATGGATGAGAACGTGAAGAAGCACTATCTCGCCGACAACCCGCCCACCGTGGTCCGTCTGGAGATCAAATCACACTTCGACACCCTTGAAAATGAGAGCCTGAGAAAATATGCCCATTACATGAGCAGGTATCGTTTCCCCATATATTACCACACCACTCCAACGGATGGCAGAACCCTATGGCATTTCATGGCATTGAGCTAATGTGCGAGGGAAAACGCTTATAGGGCTGCCTTCGAGGGCACTCGTGTGACGCTACGCCAGGTTTCGCCAGAGTCAGAACCTATTTATGATCTCATTCTTGCCCTCCACCGTGCGTGCGATGGCGATTGGAACAGCCTCGCTCAGAAGACCCAAGTCAGCGAACAGGACCTTCGTTACTTCCTTGAGTATGCCGCCCAGTTCATGGGTAACTGTGGTAACTACAAGGGCTTCGGCGACTCCAAGTTCATTCCTCGTCTACCGGTTTCTGCTTTGGAGGCCCTGGCATCAAGCACGCCGGAAACCATTGCCGCTTTCCAGAAGGCAAGCAGCACTGGTGGCGGTATTTACGAAACTGGCGAACAGTCCATGATGCATCTGGGATACCCTGAACAGGGCCATATGACTACCTACTACCCAGATTTGCCCTCGATCACCAAGGATGAGATCACTGCCGTCGGTGACTTGATGGAGAAGAAAGGTCTCGCACTGGAGAACACAAGACTGCGGAAGACAACCTCTGGCGACTTTGAATTGTTGATCGCATCCGGAGTGACCAATCCTCCTGCAAGGGACCGTGACCTTGGTGAGGTGGATACGTTTGAGTTGGAAGGTAGCCTGAAGGGCAAGACCTTGCGCCTGATTTTTGGTGACTACCAGGAGGAAATGGCAAAAATTGCCCACAGTATCAAACAAGCGGAACGTAATGCCGCAAATGATAACCAGAAGAAAATGCTCGATGCCTATGCGCTTTCCTTCGGGGCGGGCTCCATTGAGTCTTTCAAGGAGAGTCAGCGCATTTGGGTCAAGGACCAGAAGCCTGCTCTCGAAACAAACCTGGGATTTGTGGAAACCTATCGCGACCCCCATGGTGTTCGCGGGGAGTGGGAGGGATTCGTGGCTATGGTATGGCCTTCTTTACTTGAATGTTATGTGTTTTTGAGGCGATATGTTGATTGGTTCATTATAGGTAAACTTGGAACGAACCAGGGCTTTTGGTGCCCTTGTGGACAGCGCTGAAAGCATGATTCCCAAGCTTCCGTGGGGCAAAGACTTTGAGAAGGACAAGTTTCTCAGCCCAGATTTCACCTCGCTAGAGGTTCTAAGCTTTGCTGGTTCCGGTCTTCCGGCCGGCATCAATCTTCCCAACTATGATGATATCCGCCAGAACCTGGGATTCAAGAACGTTTCCCTCGGTAATGTTCTTAGCGCGAAGGCACCCAATGAGCCCATTCCATTCATTGCCGAAAAGGACCAGGATGTTTATCGTCGATGCCGCGACCCGGCTTTTGAGGTCCAGGTTGGTATTCATGAGCTGCTGGGCCATGGTACTGGCAAGCTGTTGCAAGAAACTGCTCCTGGAGAGTATAACTTTGACATCTCGAACCCCCCGATCAGCCCAGTCACGAATAAGCCGGTATCCACCTGGTACAAGCCTGGTCAGACCTGGAGTTCGGTCTTCGGGGCCATTGCATCGTCGTACGAAGAATGTCGTGCCGAGTGTGTTGCCATGGTGCTAGGCTGTGACTTCAGCATCCTGAAGATCTTCGGTTTCGGCGATGGCAAGGAAGACATGGCCGGGGAGGCCGGGGACGTACTCTTTGCTGCTTACCTTCAAATGGCTCGTGCGGGCCTTGTAGCATTGGAGTTCTGGGATCCGAAGACTCAAAAATGGGGCCAAGCGCATATGCAGGCCCGATACAGTATTCTCCGCACCTTCCTGGATGCGGGTGATGACTTCGTCAAGCTGTCCTACACCAAGGAAGATCTCTCCGATCTTGAGATCCAGCTGGACCGGTCCAAGATCTTGACCCACGGGCGACCCGCAGTCGAACAGTACTTGCAGAAGTTGCATGTCTACAAGAGTACCGCTGATTTCGTGGCCGGGAAGGGCATGTATGATCAGATTACCTCTGTGGACAACTGGTGGGGCACTTCTGTTCGTGAGGTTGTTTTGCAGAACAAGGTGCCTCGCAAGGTGTTCGTGCAGGCTAATACCGTCCTTGAGGGAGACAAGGTGGTATTGAAGGAATACGAACCGACTCTGGAAGGCATGATCCAGAGTTACGTGGATCGTAGGGTGTAGGCGTCGCTATATCGGATGGTCGAAGGGCGTCCTAGAAACACTGAAATATCAAATGTACTCATGTTTTTAGCCTCGGCTTTCGAGTATAAAGCCATTTCCTTGGTTCAAATAAAGAAGACCTATAACTCCAAGCTAGATAATTTTGCATGGTTCTTCAACCATTTAGTATCGTTCGAGTAGTAACCCTGTCTAATTATTTCAGCGGCGGAGGCGGGCAAATCACAAGAGGCGCGGCCGGCTTACCGCCGGTGTGATATCTACTTACCTCTTAGCGCCCATTTCTACCTCCCTCTTCCTCCCATCGTGTTCCCAGAGCTTCAACCCCCTCGGAGTCAAGCGCAGCAGCATTCCCTCGGCTTGGATTTGGATCCTTCCTGGCTCCTAAGCTATACGATATAAAAAATTGGGTCCGATCCACGACCCGCGAACGTTGTTCTCGCGGCGATCGTGTCTCCTAATCGACAACAAGCGGACCCTTAGGGACGCCATTCAGAACTGATCAGATCAATCGCATCGGTGCGTTTGGATCTGATTTCTCTGCTGCACCGTGTCGGACGAAACACACCCTTCACGCTCATCAACCACGGCGCGCCCGCCCGCCCCAACGGACTCCCTCGAGGAGGACGCCTACTACATCACACCCCCGCCGCACTCACCGTCCGCCGCGTCTGCCTCCAGCTCCGCATCTGTCGGTCCTCCTCCCTTCTCCTCCCTTTTTGTCTCAACCGATCCCAATCGCCCCAAGCTCACCGAGGCATCTGGACCGGCTTCGCTCCCGGCCTTTGTGTCCCCGCCACCTGTCGAGGAGCCTCTCGACCCGGCCCCCTCGTCGTCGGTTGTCGCAGACACCAAGGCGTCCTTCTCCGATCCTAAGAGCGACCTTGGGAAAAGTACCGACGACGGAGAACCGCCGCCGCCGTATACTGAAGGTTATAGTCCACTTGAATCATTTACATACGTGATGGCAGCAGCAGGAGGCGCCTCAAGCATCATTACCCAGGTCCAACAGACCGGGGGTCCACCAATCAACACTCTTGGAGGTACGGTCCCTGTTGCTTGGTTTTTAATGTGCAACTTCAGTGTCGCGCTGCTAATACGTCTTTTTGTTTGCAGATATTGGTGGAGATGAACATATCACGCTTGATCTCCGGTAAGACAACTTTGAGCTATTCCTGTGCTACTCAGAAAGGAGAAACACATACTGACTGAACCAGGGGTACTCGGTTTACGTTGTCCCGCGATGAGCTATTGACACTGCCAGAGTTTGTTTTGCTGTCCCTCTTCCCCAATGGTCTTCTTCCTGATGGACATATGGGTGGATTCCATGAAGGCGATATTTATCCTGTTGATGTAAGTGTACAATGCAGCCACCGCATTCCGGCTTTTATCGAAGTCCTCTGGGCTAACAGCCCCCAGTATGACCCGGCATCACTCCAATACATGCTTGATTTCTTCCGCTCTGTCGCGCAATCTATTCCATCTTCGCTACCTTCGACGTCCACCTCTCCGGAACTAGACATCCCCGATGTTATGCAAAACTCCGCTCGTGACATGCTTCAAGACCGTGCCGGCATCATTGTTTTACGTGAAGATCTAGACTTCTACGTCATCCCTCCCAAGCCTGATATCGGGCATGAGGAGATGCTCGAAGTCAAGCGAGCTGCTGGCCGAGCATTATTGAAGCAGGATGGCATTTTCTCTGGGCTACGCAAGAGTGAGGAGGTGGGATCCACTGAACAGCACTTGATCGAGATGCTGACTGCCGGGTGAGCATATATCTTCTTACTTTGGATATACAAGAAGCTGACTTTCAAAACAGTGGTTTCGATCGTGAGGATCAATGGGGCCATCGAGCCCCAGAGCCCAGTAAGGCAGTAATCTGCAGCCTTGCTTTGGCCAAGCTTCGCACTGATATTCGAGGCGACTTGTCGAATAATAATGCAGTTGGAATGGCCCAAAAGCTCCTCCTCTTCTGGCGAAAACCTGCCCGCCGATGCTGGTGGGAAGGTGTCGATCTCAACGACGTTGAGGGGGTGGAGGGCCAGTTGAAGGTCTGGATTCGCCGAGTCTGGACTTTGGAAATGGTAAGAATTCTACCGCCACCCCATTACTACTTCTCCCATTTTCAGATTCCAATTGCTAATAATTGCTTCTCCTCAGAGTGTTATTGGGCTGCGTTAATCATAAGTTCATCATCACTGATGGAATTGCCTTTATTTATTCCCCTGTTGTCTGCATCTGTACCTATACCCAGATCCACTAGCTCTTCGCCACTACTTTATCGTCTCTCTTTTTGCCTACAGCTCTCGCCTTTCCTATAACCCACGCTTTGTTTCAGTTGGTTTCTGTCTTGCTTTTTTGTCTTAATAAGGCTGGCGCACTTAGCTGTTATTGTTTTGGTTCTTTTTTGGTATATTATAAGTTGAACATCCCCAAGCACAGCCAAGACTGGCTGCCAACAGTGAACATATGGTCCGAGGAAACAAAACTTTATCTTTTGCACCATTCCCTCATATCTTTATTCCATCAGTAATGATTAGCGAGTTGTACGTGGACACTGTTCTATTTTAGCCTGAGGCATCCTTTATCACGTGATCATGGAATGGACCCGGCCTCTCGCTCGATTGGGGAAAACGCGACGGCGCAAAAGAATCCCAAGTCCACTGAATTCGACCTTATCATCCGTGAATCCCCAGTGATTCCGCGCGATTTCTCAAGGGTTATTGGTGTTCTGGGTCGCCTATTGTCGACTTTACGATTTCGCGTCATTCTACCTCTCTCAATCCTGTTCTTTCAGCGCGGTCAACCCTTCGGGAGCACGTCGATCAACAGAAGCTTGAGCGATCCCAATCCCCCACGAAGGGGCATGTATTAGTCGAGAGCAATCGCCAACATGTCCCCTCTTAGAGGCTATATCACATCATACCCGCCGCGAGTGCGCCAATATGGAAACGCGTTGCTGACCCCCGTGTACCCGGTGCAGACGGGTCCTACTCCGCGGACGACGAAGCGCGGCACCACGGCAATCAATTATGCTGAAGATGGATATGACGACGATGATTTTGATGATAGTGATGGTCCCCGTCGGCCAACCGGGCTCAGGAGTCTGCGCCGTGAGGAGTCAACTGGGGGCACGATGTCTTTGTCCGAGAAATTAGGGAAGGAAGCACATGCGCCAGTCGAGGTGCAGGGAGTGTTTCGCGAATGGATGATCAAGAGGATGTTGCGGCCAGCGTATGTAAATTTTCTATATTATTGTCTTTCACCCGTCCTCCCTGAGGCCCGTCCCGATGGCATGGTCTCTTTCTTCATTTTCAACAGAATGCGGCTGACAACAGACATCATACAGATGCGCGGACCAGCTACAGATCCAAGCACAGCTACCATTGACCCTCGTGCCTATTCGAATCGATGTTGAAGTTTCGGCTCACCAACCTTTGGAACCCTTCCCTTTCCCCCGCGGCGTCATGGATCCTAGTGTCAACCCAACGCTCCCTGCATATCGGAGGCCAGAACCGTTACCTCCGTTCCGAATCAAGGATACCTTCCTCTGGAATCTTCATGAGGCCCTTGCTACTCCGGAAGAATTCGCAATCGGATTCGTTCGCGATCTCGACCTCCCGAACCCACAGGCCACTACAATGACCATCAGCAATCAGATCCGTCAACAACTGGAAGAATATGCGGGCGTGGCATTGCATCCTCTATTCCAGAGTAGTCAGCCAATTCCTGTGCCGAGCTTACCTCCTCAAACTGAAGCGTCACGCGACACATCGATGACTCCGGCCGCGACCAACATAGATACACCCGATAGTCGGGGCAATGGAGCCTTGGTAACAGTGACGAAGGAGGCGCTGGTCAACGACAGTCTTCTGAATCCAGATGATGCCTACCGCTGCCTCATCAACCTCAACATCAATCTACAAAATAAGCTGTACACCGATAGGTTTGAATGGTCTTTGCTTCACCCTCCTGGAATGGCGGAGGAATTTGCCAAGATTACATGTGCTGACCTCCATCTTGGTGGAGAGTGGGTCAGTGCTATCTCACATGGCATCTATGAGGCTGTCCTCAAACTCAAGAAGGAAGTTTGCGAAAGCGGCGGCCTTGTATATGGAATCAATGGCTACGGGAATGAGATCGACAACCAGGCAGCAAATGGTGTCGAAGCTGGTTGGCGATATGACCCGGAGACTTTGGGCGATGAGTGGGAGCCCAAGGTTGAAACATTATCCAAGGAGGAGATCGAAAGGCGAGAGGGTGATCGTGAGCGGCAAATTAGACGTTTACGACGAGAAACTGCTCGGTTCTCTTCGACTGCGGGAATCACCCCTGAGGCTTCTCGGCAGAGCAGTGGTGGATATTTCGATGTCGATAGCGAGACACCCCTGGGCCGCGGCGAGCGGAACAAGCGAAAGCGCCGGTTCCGCAGTCTCAGCCCGTTAGGTAGAGGCACCCCTGGAGGCCGGGGAACCCCTGAAACAGGTTCCGGTGCTGGCTATGGTGGTGGCGGTGGCACTCTCACCGATTGGTAAGTGATATTCCCATAAAAGCCCTACATGTATGGCCTTCACCCTAACGATTTTTTGTTTACAGGGAACGCCAAAGCTGGCGATGCAGCAACTGTATGGTTTGGGGCACCGCAGTATGGGCAGTACGAGATGGACCGGACGGCCCAAGGGTAAGAAGATTTTTTCAAACCAAAAGTGCCAGACTCGATCTAACTCTCTCTTATATAGACACTTTGCCACAATTGTGGCTTCCTCTACGAACGAGACAAGACTGCTCCGGAATGGTCTAAAGACCTTCACCGCCATGATGTCCCTGTCGGCCGCTTTACATAAACTATGATGCAGATGCCTCTGTTGACCATAACCTTTCAATATCCTCTACCTGTTGGCCTTGGGTTCATTGTTCCATGTGTTATAAAACGGGTTCTTTATTACAAAAAAGCCGCTATTTTCATGGAAATCTCATCCATCGCCCCCTCGCCTCGTCATTACACTGCCCATGCCAGCAATATACCTCATTATCAAGCCTTATCGGAAACCCGGTATCGACCATATCTGCTTGCAATTTTCTGACGGTTCCCGATCCCAATTTCTTTTCTCAACAAATCTCATTTTTTTCTCGATAGCTCTCTCACTATTCCTATGAACAATTCTCCTGGAAATTCATGCGAAGGAAGATGAACCGATCTGCCGTAGGGCGAATGAGGATATTCAACCAAGATTTGGTTGCATCCCTAAGCTTCTATATTCCATGCTAGTGGAAGGTTTTATCTTGACTGTTTTGTCATTTGGGCCAATGTGACCGAGTGTTTTAGATGTACCTGTTTGGAACGGGGTCCGGATTTTATTTTATTTTCTTTTTCGTGTTCTTGAATGGATACAGGATGGGCGTGGAGAGGGTGATCTTTCTTTCTTTCTCTTAGTTAATGTATGAATATGACTATGGGTTGATTTGGTTTCAAGCCATTTGTTCTGATCCGTCTTGGATTACTTAGCTTGCGTATATTATCATGGAAAGTATATACATCTCGAAGTAAATAGTTAGAAACAGTCAGTAGATTGATTCTGACATACTGCACCAACGAATCCTGTTTGGTCTGCGTTGGCTCATACGAAGTTATGTACATCATCAAAGCCACCCCGGCATCTAAAGAGACAAAATGCACAAAAGCTGTAGGTAAAAAAAATCCAATCAAAAAAGATATACTAATGGTTTCGATAGAGTTGGGCATAGAATTGCTGAAAAAATATATGTAAGAAATTATTTCCAAGAAGCAGCTATGCAACTATATTTGCCAAGGATAAAGTATGTCCCAGGCACAATATTAATTTATAACGCGATGTTTGGGCTAATTCTTGTACCCTAATTTGGACCCTAATTTTGAACAAGCCGCCAGGCACACATACAAACAGCCTGCGTGCTCTTGATTACCAGCCATCACACAGACCGAGTAGTCAATCAATTCGACCCGGAGAAGATTGAGGGGATTCCGGTTTGTCGAGTCTTAGAGAGGGCATATTATCACATCAGGCCCTCGTTCACAGCCTCTCATAATAGAGCTCACCATGAGCAGATCTCGTGTTCTCCTCGAAAACAAAAGGTCGGACACCGCCGGTCCACCAACCCATGACTGTAGATCCAACCTTCATGAAGAGCGTTATTGTCTCCGGGCGCAATCGGAGGGTTTGGATTGGTCCCCAGGCGGGGCGATTCCTCCTCGGCTCCGAATAGAGGCTGAGTGATTATCACAGGTGTATTTTCTGGCCAATGTGGTCAGGTTCTATGTTGATGCTTCCTCCACGGCACTAGACCCTGCTGCTAGGGTGGACATTGCGGGATCCTTACTAGTACTGTCCGGTGGAATGATCGGGCCCCGGGGCTGACCTGGGTAATAACGCCCACCGGGATGGAGAGATTGTGCTGTCTGCACAAAAATTATCAGCATGAACAAGAGCCAATATAGATTAACATAATGATACCGGTGTTTCTGTCGCGCTTGACAGCCAAACCGTTTACGGGTTGCTACTGACTTCGCGGAATTCGTCTCCTTCCACCTCTACCTCACGATCACGAATTCGGCGCATCAGCGCAAGGAAATTGCTTTGTTGGAATTTTTGACTTTGGTCATGGCGCACGCTATCGAGGAGCTGCCCGGCGGTCTGTGCAAGTGCGTCTGCATCACGATTCTGCACTAGCGGGTCCTGTTTATCTGTCTGGGGAATAGTATCTGAACCAATCCGAATAGTTTCATGGACTGGCTCCACCAGGTCTGATTGGCTCGGTTCATCATGAGTTTGTGGTTGAACATCAACAGTAGCCTCAGCCCCTTGAAGCTCCATATCGGCACGAGCTTGCTCAAAAGCTGCTTCAAAAGCAGACTCGTCAAACTGCTCTGTTGGTGCAACATGCTCTGAAGGTATTTGCTGTGGCAGCTGGTGTGTGCTCATTGCCGTGGTATTATACATCGGGAAGCTCGGCGCAAAGGCCGGTTGAAACGCACGATTTGCAACTTGAGGTGCCTGCACATGAGATGCTTGCATGTGTTGCTGTTGGCTCAAAAACTCATTATGCCATCCTGCTTGAGCCGGTCCAATAGACGGCCCCTGTAATGAAGCGGTTGCCGGTCCAGAAATGTGTAGATTTTGGAAGTCGGACGCCCAGCCCGAGCTTTCATGGGCTGCGACAGGAGCCTGTGCCGGAGCACCAAAATGCGCCTGGTGCTGTAGGTCGGGTAATGCTACGGGACCACCAAGATTGGCCTCAAATGCAGCAAATTCTGGGTCGAGTATTCCATCCCGCGGGCTTTGTGATCGGAACCCCTAGTGATCATAATATCAGCACGATTCCACTAAGACAACATGAAACTGGCTGATTTACTTGCGCAGACGGTTGGCGAGAAGTCAGTCGGTCTTGCTGCAGAGTCCGGTCAACGGATGTATGCTTCTGGAAGTTCTGCAGCGCATTCGACGGGCCGCAGAGTGCGTCACTCATCTTGTAGGTATGATTCTCAAAATGCAAAGTGCAAAAACCCCAAGAAAAATATATCAAGACAGGTGAGGGGTATCTTATCAGAACACTGTAGGCAAGAAATGCAAGAAATATATGAAACATATAGGAAAGGAGTCGCAATAGAGGATCGCGGAGAACCGTGGGGTTGCCGATAGACCGAGGCACGTGTTTGTAACGTGATCTTGCTGAGTCATTGCGATAAGATAAGCAACCGGCCAGGTTGTTTGGAGCGCCTGTGGCCCTCACGTAGCTCCCCTCAAACAAGATTCTCTCTCTTGCGATTTCTATTTCCCCACGGGGTTTCGACATAATGGTATGCTTTGTCTGTCTTATTGGGGCTATTTTAGGCGATGCTGACTCTGAATTTTTAGGCCGCCGCTCAGGTGATTTCGAATTCAGGGCACGAAGATATGATTGTACGTACGGGGTTCAGCTGGGGGGTGTTCAATTGGTGTTCTCGAGCTGTCCATGTCGGAGAAAAAAGTCCCTGGAACTGATAAATGGGGATCAATACAGCACGATGCCGGCTTGGATTATTATGGTCGCAGGTTGGCGACTTGTTCGTCCGATAAAACCATTAAGATCTTTGAGATTGAAGGAGATTCACACCGCCTGGTGGAAACATTGAAGGGGTACGCTTGTCGTGGTCAATATGGAATATAGCATGGTCTCATTGCTAATGCTTTCTTCGCTCAAATAGCCATGAAGGTGCCGTGTGGTGTGTCGCGTGGGTAAGCAGAAAGCGAAACTTAGTATTGTGTGTCGCGGAGACTGATCGTGACAATTGCATCGCTCCTAGGCCCACCCGAAGTTTGGCACAATTCTTGCCTCTTCATCATACGATGGAAAGGTCCTGATTTGGCGGGAACAACCCCAGAATGCCACCTCTCCTGTCGCCAGCAGCACCTGGACCAAGGTGTTCGACTTCTCCCTCCACACGGCTTCGGTCAACATGGTATCCTGGGCTCCTCATGAGAGCGGATGCCTTCTGGCCTCTGCTTCTTCCGATGGCCATGTCAGTGTTCTTGAGTTCCGCGACAACAACTGGACCCACCAGACCTTCCATGCCCACGGGATGGGCGTGAATTCGATCAGCTGGGCACCTGCGGCGTTTGCGGGAAGCTTGATTAGTTCGAACCCTGGACCGAGCCAGCAGAGACGTTTTGTAACCGGCGGCAGTGACAACCTCATCAAGATCTGGGACTACAGGTATGTCTTTCTCGTTGCATGGATCTGTGTTCGATACACGGCCTCTATACTGACCTCTGTAATTGTAGCCCTGAGTCCAAGACCTACAACCTCACTCAAACCCTTGAGGGGCACTCGGACTGGGTCCGGGATGTAGCCTGGTCGCCTAGCATTCTGTCCAAATCTTATATTGCCTCGGCCTCGCAGGACAAGACCGTTCGCATTTGGACGTCCGATGCATCCAACCCCGGTCAATGGTCTAGCCAAACACTCGAGTTTGATACTGTTCTTTGGCGCGTCAGCTGGAGTCTGAGCGGTAACATCCTCGCGGTGAGTGGTGGTGACAACAAGGTTAGTTTGTGGAAGGAAAATCTCAAGGGTCAGTGGGAGAAAGTGAAGGACATTGAGGAGTAGTGTGAAGTCTCGTATTAATTTCCTTGTTTAACGCATAACTCATGTCGAGATTTCCTTGTCGCGCTGGACGGGCGTCGAGATTCTTTCCAATTTCCAAGATCCATTGAACTTGTTGCCGCGGTTTTCTTCAATTTTCTTCAGTCCCAGAATAGATAATCTCATCTTTAATAGTGTCCGCCAAGATAGTAGAAAAGGCATTATCTAAATTCCGAGGCATATCTGATATATCTTTCTTGGTTGCGCATGTACAGATAGATTTGCTAGATCCTAGCTAAGCAATTTTATAGAAATATATGCGTCCGGACCCGCGGACAACAACTAGATGGCGGAATATATGTCCCAAATTAGAATTCCTTGAATTCCTTGCAACATGCCTCGGTGTGTATAAACTGCCGATTCTGTGAAGGGAGATCATTCACAGGTCCCAGAAAATGAACGGGCCTCGGCCGCTGGCATCCATGTTCTTCAAATCGAGCCAGCGTCCCATCATGATACGGCCGCCGGGTAAGAGCAAGCCCTCATAGCCGTGGACCCAGTGAGAATCAAAGTCATCGGTGTCTCCAGTTTCGTCGCTTTCGCTGCTGCCCTCGCAGATAGCAAAGCAAATACGAGTCCATCCGGGGATATCTCCATAAGGACGGGCAATTAGTTCTGTGAAACCGAACACAGGGTTATTGGCCGGGTCCCCTCCTAAAGTTGACTGCTCCCCTTGAAAGTATGTCCGCTGCATTCCATCGCCTCCGAGTAGCGGGATGATTTTGTTGCATTCATCAGGCCAAACTCGCTCGCTTGGCTCGTGTTCAATCTCCAGTGTCTGCGAGGGGTTAAAACAATGTGTGGTGACTGACCTCCACTTCACGGCGCGCAATGCAAGATGAAATATTCTTACCATGATATCAATTTGACTCAGGTGTGTTCCCTGGAGGTCGGCACAAGTTTGACGATCATATCCAGCCAGTATGTCTGGCATGGGGTGTAAGCATGCTATAGCAATATTAAAATCAAATATCAATATAGTATCAGGATCGCCAGCGACTTACAATAATAGCCGAGCCACGAGGTACTAAGGTGTGTCTCGACGCTGGCATATGATTTCCGTGACTTTGGTTTTTGTTCATCGGGCAAAGTGGAAAATGATTCATAGAAGGTATTCTCAGAGGAACCCATCAAGTGATGTTGCCAAAAATGATGTATATGTATGAAAGGAGTGAAGTCTAGAAGCTCATGGTCGATCAGCGGACCGTTGATCGGTAATTTGAAGGAATATACCGCCCCTAAATCGTAATCATTTCGACCACAACTTTCTTTGGTGACCTCTGAGTCGAGAGCAAGTGAAGTGAGGCACTGGGAATTTAAAGAGTTAGCTATCTCGGACCGCCCTAGTAACACTTTAGATGACCCACAAGTTGCACTGCACAGTATACCTGAGTTGGGTGTTCTCTTTTCAAATAGCATAAGAATCTTCCTCTCGTCAAAGTTTCTCTTATTTTTTCCCAATTTTTTGAGGTACTAGATTCGATAGGCAGGGTCAGAGCTTCTATAAGCATTGTTTGAATGACTTCAATCCACAAGGTTTGATGATCGCTCTTTTCCTGTTTGAAGTCAATTGCTTGGCGGAGCACAATTGTTCGAATTTGGTATTCTCTTCTGAGTTCTTCATTTGAGCGGCCCTTGGGCAGGTCATACTCTGCTTTGAATCGAGCCCGCCAAAATGCAGATTCCGCGCCCAAGACTCTCTCTCTGACCTCCCTGCAGACCAAGGAGAGACTTGCTATGTCGCGGTCTTGTGGGAGAAATACTGCAATAACCTGAAGAACCTGTGGCCATCAGTGTTGGCGACTATGACAGTCATCATGCTTCAAGATGAATCTTACTTCATTTGGAAGTCCAAGAAGCAGGCTTCTCATGGAACTTTTCGTCGATTCTTCGATTAGTGCGCCTCCTTGTTTGCCCCCCATGACTGATTACCAAATGCCTGAGTATATTGGAGACTGGTAAGATGGCAAAGATGCTGAGAGATGCATATACGGCGGAGGTCAAGGTCATATACATCTCGCATGAGTCAAAGACGCCATGAAAGTTGGATAGAGACAGAAATGTCACGAAAGGGATTTGACGAGGTGATTATTTTCATATTCGCATAGAACCTGAGGATGAGGACAAAGACGAGACCAGGACAGCTACTTTTAAAATGAATAACAGCGGTTTGTCATTAGAATTGGAAATCACTCGGTTTATTTCTATTGTTGCTGGTTATTGCGTCGTCGCCGTAGACTTTGCTTTACGCCCCAACCGTTGGCCAATAGCCCTTTGACGTCTTCAAGGCCGAGTCCACTCATTTCAGGATAAATCGACCATACAATTACCCAACCGACCACGCAAACAAGTGCATAGACAACAAAAGTCCAAGTCGGAGACATCCACTTCATCATCGGCAGGAAGGTCAGGCCGACAATAAAATTCGACCCCCAGTTCATGGCAGTCGCCAGGCCGGATCCCAAAGAGCGTACATTTAGAGGGAAAAGTTCAGACTGCTGCCAGGGAACATTGCCAAGCCCCAAGGCGTAGCTTGCGGTGTAGACGATCAAGCAGAGTAAAATCACCAAAGGATAAACTGTACCTTTGCTTCCAAGTCCCTCTTGGTTCCGTGATGGAGATTGAGGGTCCCAGGAAACATCCATCGACGAGAATGAAAGGGCGCAGAAGCCCAGGGCGAGTATCATGACGGGTATCGAGTAAAGTAAGATGCGTCGTCGCCCGATCCTATCAATCAATGCGAATGCAAATAACGTGAAAAGAAAATTAGTCACTGCCACAGTGAGGGAGGTCAACGTTGGAGAAGAAAATGAGAGCGCCTTGAAGATAATCCCGGAGAAGTACATTAGGCTGTTGAATCCACATAGCTGTTGAAGCCCTTGAAGGACCATGGCGATCGTCAAGGCCCTCCGGTTACCCCCAATAAAGAATAGATCTCGGACACGCTGTGACGCATCGTGTAGCCACTGAACTTTGGTTTCTGGGGGTTTTTGTTGGCCCAATTCCAGTGCCTCTTGGGTAATCTCTCCTCTGATATCACGCAAGACCTGTCGGATGACATGATCTGAGCCTGGGCAGTCTTGGTAAATGCGTTCAAGTACAGCGGTTGCTTGGGCATCGAGCCCGGCCTGCACCAGCCATCGAGGCGTCTCTGGTAGAATGACTATGGCGAAAAATTGCAGAAATGCAGGACCCGTCCCGAGGCCCACGATCCAGCGCCAGCCTCCTATCATTTCGGAAAAAAGCCATCCAATGACATAGGCAACGACCTGGCCACCAGTAATCAAGAGACACATTGTTGTAACCAGCCGTCCCCGAACATAGGACGGTGCTACCTCTGAGATATATCTGGTGGCAAAGGTAAAAACCATGGATGGTCAGCTCCAACATCGACGCCAAATTACTTGTCTTGAACATTCCAAGGTGGGGTTTGCTTGGGTCTTCACAAGATATGACTACTTACAAAGGTGTAACGGCGCTCGCGCTCCCTACAGCTAGGCCGACAATACTGCGGCCTGCAATCATACTCCATACCTCATTAGAAAAGGCCTGAACCAAGGCGCCCAACGCAAACAAAACGTCAGCCACGAGGATCATTCGTCGACGACCATATCTGTCTGCCAGGATCCCGACAAAAGGGCTTGCGACCAAGGCAAACAAGCTAGTACATGACGTAATAAGGCTCTCGTCAAGGGTTGTCAATGGTCGATTCGAAAGATCAGAGCCAATCGTCACAAGGGTCGAGGAAATGACACCAGTGCTACAAGTTAACAATATCATTAGCTTAGCGCAGGTCCATGCAGGAGACAGTTTTTACATACTCGTATCCGAAAAGAAGACCACTGATGCCGGCAGAAAAGGTGAGGTTCCATATGAACCATCCTCCGGAGTACTTCGGCTCGGGAACAAGGTCCAGGTCACCGGTCTCGTGCTCGTAGCCGGGTGAGTGGTCGGTCGGGGCAAGCAAGGGGGCATGAGGGCCAGAGTGATCGAGCTCCTCCCTCGAGATCATATTCTGGAGCTCTTCTTCGTCCGGGTTGTCATCGGCTAGTGTCCTCTCTATCGGCATCGAGGGAGTGCAAGTGCAAGGGGAGAGTCTGGGGTTCGCGGCCGCGCGATAAGTCCGATAAGCGCACGGGACTCAACAGACGCAAACCATCCATTTCCTAGGGACCGTGTCAGTAGAAGGTCAGAAATTGATTCGACTTCTACTTTGCAATTGCTGATCATGCAAGAAGGGACATGAAGTATAGTTCAGTCTCTCCTGTAGTAGAAAATTGGTTGTCAAATAATCAGTTTTCCCTATTCAGCTTGGCATTCCTAACGCAGAGAATAGTTTAATCTTACGGTCTTGCCCTCGTACACCCCGACACCAATCTACTGATGGGTTTAACTCAAGATTGAAAAGAATATATTAAAAACACTGAGTTGAGTTAGGAACGTCCGTCACATGAAGCCCCTATTCGCGGCACAGCATCCGTTGCAGGCTGCCATGGTTGACCAAGGCCCACGCGCTCACAGATATAATCAAGTGAACGGCATCCCATGCGCAGCAGGTCACGGCGGGATGTTCGTACATTGTGGTAATCAGATTTCGCACAAAGTCCGGGAACAAGGCAGGGTTCGCACTACCTCCTAAGCTTTCTAGGACGACATAGGTCGAGTGAGCCTGGAGAAGAACAGAAATAGCAAACCAGGCCTGGAAGAAAGCGACGTATCGACTCATATCTTGCTCCCTGTGATACGCGATCTGGGCAGGTGCCTTGAAAGCGACAGGAGACGGCGAAGGGCGCGCGAACACGGGAATAAAGACACAGACATGCGGGACGAGCACAAGTGGAACAAGATATCTAGTGCCTCCGACAAAAGGAACGACCACGGTACAGAGCAATGACCCTGCAACAGGTAGTATCTCATAAATCAGGTGTGAATTGGCGGACAATGGTTGATCCTGGTCGTGGTCCGCTTTGCCCTTACTTTGACCAGATGGCAACTTCGAGGATACGAGTATAAGCGCAAAGAACAAGCTGAACACAAACGACGGTGCCACGAATTGGTCAATCAAAATATAGGACCATAGATAAGGAATCTTGTATTTGCGACCTGTAGAAAACGTGATTAGCTACAAAGAAACAATCCCCTGAGGTGGAATACAAACCCATGACGCCCACAAAAACACTCCATCCTATCGACCAGAGGAATGTCTGTTCAAGCCACCAAAACCCGGCCGGGGATCTAGTCACAGCTACGTAGGCTTCCTTGAAAAGCCTAACATTAAGCAGCCACAATCTCATCTTTGAAAACAGTGAGAGAGTTTGGTGTTCGACTGGAAACCGAGTCTCCATGACATGGCGATATGATTGCGCAAACCATGAAACCATATGGTACCATGTGTGTCCGAGGCTCAATACGGCAAGAAGAACAAACAAAAAGAAGTGCAAGCGACACTGGGGTGTTGTCCAGTCATTTGCTCTTTGTCGGGCTTGATAGCGAGCATAGATGACTCGACATGCGTTGATAACAAGCACCGCGCCACCGAAGATGTGGGGGATGAAGATATGGAGAGACCCGCGTGTAGGCTCGGAGTCCAGGGTAGCCGTGGACCCTAATGAATCAAAATCCGACATTTATAGTACGTGACCCTTGGATTCGATTGAAAACGGCGAAAATTGTCACTCAGGGATGGGAGGAATCCTGTTATTGGAGATGAAAAGAACCCGTCATGTACACGGTCGGTTTCCAGCCCCCACCGCATCTCACTAGCGTCATACGAGAGACAAACATAAGCTGATGCATATGCATGTTCATATACTTTCCCGAAAATACTGAAAAGGTGATGTGGTCAATACATGATCTATATCCACTATTTGACTGACGTGCAATTTTATCATGATGGAAGACAATGGTAGTTTGGATGGCCAATTACACATCTGGATCGATTGTGTTGTGCTTTGAATCTAATGTTTTGCTACAACCCCGGCTTCGTCGGCCTGCGAGCTGATCATCTTCTTATAAGCCTTGACATCGCCGTCGAATTTGTGTACAGTGCCCTTGTCGCAGACCCAGAGACTGGTACACACGTTTTGTAACATAGTCACGTCGTGTGAAACCATGACCACACCACCCTCAAACCTTTGGAGGGCATCAGACAGTGCATCCATACCTTCAATATCCAAGTGGTTAGAAGGCTCGTCAAGAACCAGGATATGGGGGTTGGTCAGCGACAAGCATGCGAATGCAACACGAGACTTTTGACCTCCTGAAAGAAGTTCCATGCGCTGGAGGCCAGTAGTACCGGTAATACCGAAACTGAAAGAAAAATCCATTTAGTCGGGTAAAAAGCTTTAGAGGGGAGAGGGAAACTGGAACGTACGCGCCCAAATGTCTTCGATACTCCTCATCAGTCTTGCCAGGGTACGTCTTCGCCATGAAGCTAACAGCGCTGGTAGTCAAGTCCAGCGCATCCACGTGGTGCTGGGCGAAGAAACCGATACGCAACCGAGAGTGTGCGGAGATCAAACCCTTTGTGGGTTGCAACTGGTTCGTAAGAAGCTTCAACATGGTGGTTTTACCAGCACCATTGGGTCCGACAATTCCAATACGTGAATCGAGCTGGACATCGAGATCGACATCCTTAAGAAGTGGCCTTTCCTTGGTGTAACCGAAGCAGACTTCGGTCATTTGAACGATAGGAGGCGAAAGTTTTTCCACATCTGGGAACTGGAAGTGTACAACATATTCGCTCTCTGGTGCTTCAAGAACGGGCATGCGCTCAAGTTTCTTGATTCTCGACTGGGCTTCCGAAGACTTGGCTGCATTGTAACGGAATTTGTCAATGAAAGCTAATTGAATAACGTCAGTGTCTGTCATAGCCAGTAATGAGCGAGGTCTATCCAACCTTGGAGATGTGCTCTTTCAGCCATTTGTTTCTCATATTCGCGCTTGGCCATCTTCCTTCGTTCCTCTTTTGTGGCATAGAAAGATTCTGAGACAATAAATTAGCTAGGTCTATGGATATCTCAGAGAGGTTCAAGATACCAAAGTTAGCACCCTTGTAGTAATCCAATCGTTCAGAGTGCTGGTGAACAATATCGGTGGCAACTTCGTTCAAGAAAGCACGATCGTGAGACACAACCAGAACGGTGCTAGGATATCCCTGAAGATAGTTCGATAAGAAGGTGATGGACGGAACATCCAACATGTTCGACGGTTCTGCGCAAAATCAGTACCTTGTTTGTTGATTACACGAATCGATCTTTGCCTACCGTCAAGAAGTAACAGATCCGGCTCGCAAAATAGAGCACGAGCCAAAGCAAGACGCATTCGCCAACCACCAGAAAATGTCTTGGTGGCATACTGCTGTCGTTCCTGGGAGAAACCAAGACCAGCCAGAATACTAGCGGCCCGTGATTCTGCCTTGTCGGATTCCATCTCAGACAGCTTAGAATAGATATCACTCAAAGTTATATCCAGGCCTTCCCGTTCGTGATCCAGTCTAGCCGCATCCTGGGAAGTATCTGCCAGCGACGATCTTTCCTCTTCGATGACAGCCAATTGTTTCGAGATTTTCTAAGAGGAAAAGGGTTTTTAGCAAAATATAATGGTGAGTAACTTCCTTGGAGAAAAACCAACATCTTGTTCCGCCAATAGATGCTTCCGCCATACATCGGCATCCAAGACAGCTTGAAGCGCCGGGGTATCATCACCCGTAATCTAATAATTATGGTCAGCCATGGGCCACAAATTATCAAACAGAGTAGATCCAGACAAACCTCTTGTTCAACGTGGAGAATAGAAATGTGATTTGGAATGGCGACTTCTCTCCGACTCAAAGCCCGCAACAGAGTCGATTTACCGATACCGTTCTGACCCACAAGACCATACCGACGACCATAGGCGAGCGTCAAAGCAGCATCGGTCAGAATGCGCATACCACCAACCGAAATGTCGATATTGTCCAGCTTGACATCCTTGCTTTTTGATTGCGAGTCTGAGCCCAATTGAAGAGGGTTGACAGTCATGAAGAACTCTTCGTAGGTCATAGTCTCGTCTGGCTGGTTGAGCAAACGAGAAGACTCGTACTGTACAGTCTTCATCTGCTTCTTTTCTTGCTTGGCTCGAATCTTCCGTTCGGCCTTCTCCAATTTCTTCTTGTCCACACGGGACTCGACCTTCCTGGCATTGGCCGACTCCAAGTCCACGGTCGTGCCTGACAGTCCAAGGGTTGAAGACATGTTCCGTTGGGAGCCAACATTGATAGCCTGATCGAGCTTTTTGGCCGCGAAAGGCATTTGCCTCCGTTCCGCATCAACTCCATTGGAAACACTTAAAGATGTGATAAACTTTTCCACCAAGTTGCTGATTGCATCGCGGTTTTGAGAAGAGAAATCTCCCGAGGCAGAGACGAGCAGTTCGGTTACAGTCTCGGCGGCTTCTGTAAGGGGCGATGGGGCATTGACATCTTCGACATAAAGATTCGAAGCATGGGTCAAGTAGCCCTGTGTTGTGTCAGTTCTCATACATTCCCAAGAACACAACTTTCATGCAGGACGTACCACCGAATATTCGGAGATGACATGGTCAAGACCAGGAATTTTGGCCTGGAGTTCCGCCTCCATTTTGTATTCACAGGAGCTTTTCAATGTCCACTCCGGTCACTTTTCTGGCTATGGAGTCTTGACAGCAGCTCTCTGTCGTCAAAGATATCCTAACTTGGTCTGGGGTAGTTCACCGAAGCGCTGAGGGGTGTTTTTCGAGGCGTTATCGATAAGGTCACGTGATTATATGTCAACCCATTTTCCTTAAGCCACATTGCTTGGATGAATTCTTCTACCGTTTTCCTAATTGATTGCTAAGTAATGGGCGAGAAATGAGGTTCGATATTTTTTGCAACTTCTGGGCTGGTCTGAAAATTCAAGCTATACCGATATCTCAATGCAGCCATACATCACGCTTAGGTAGCTCCCTCTATGTCCGACTAACACCGTTAAGAGCTGAACCACAAGTTAGAAAAATTAAAAGAGGTCTACATGACCAAGTTATTCTATCTTTGTAGGTGCTATTTCTAGAAGTCTGAAGAAATCTAAACAGACAATTCTTGCACGAGACACAAGAGTTTTGTCAAAAACGGACTATGATGAACAGATAAATTTTAAAGTGTAAGGGGAGGTTTGCTTTGTTCACCTGCAGCAGTCAAGCGCCAGATCACTCAAGGGTTGCACAAGCAAAGAAACGCCAACCATATGAGTAATGTACACTAGTGACGAGAAGGAGATAGGGCTTCGGATTAAATATCTTAATGCCAGAGGCTCAAACGGTTCTTCATAATTTGTTGAGCTGGTCCTGAAATGTCGTCAAGGTATAGTCCTCAGGCAGTCAGGTCCAGCTTCCATAGATTTACTTTAGTATAGTCAAATACAAGCCCAAAGGCAAGTATCATGGCATTAGAGAGACATTTCAGTCACGCCTGAAAATACGAGCTGGGTGGATGCTGAATGAACTCTCTGCGGTTCTCCATTGCAACTTTCCTTTCCTGCATCAATGTCACCACTCGGATCAATAGTCCTTGGAACAGATGAATTCTCGGGGTCAGCCACTGCCTGGTCTGTAATCCGAATGCTGCCGGGACGAAATTTTCGTGGAAAGTTTAGGTTTGGGAGTCCATATCAACGAAGCCAACTGCTGGCCATTTCCGAGCTTCCAATTTATAGGAAGGTGAGATAAGTAAAATACAATCAAGCACTTGCGTAGCAATACAAACCTTCAAGCCTTGGCCAGTACCTGCTTGATACACAGGAGCTATAAAATAGGTTGATAATGCACCACCAAGTTTGACAGGGATATCTTCTTGGTCGCAATCATCTCGGCTCAAGTCCGGCGCTTCTCAAAGGTAAATAGTTCACAACCCAACAGGAGCCCGAATCTTGCCGTCAGAGAATTTTCCAATGTGTCCAGCGGTGCCGGAGGATATTTCAGTTTGGGCCGCAGATGAAGGACAGACGAGGCCGGCACGACGGGTATTGACAGGCTCGTCTCTCGACAACGAGCTAGACAACGAAGCCGATCTTCATCCGAAGGAAAAATCACCGTAGGATGGGATTAGGTTGCAAAAACTATGCCTACTGTGTTTTCTTTTGCCCGGCGAAGCTGTCAACCACGCGAGAGAACGAGTGGAGAGACCTTGGGCCAATTTCCGAAAGGGACCCTTACCAATAAGAAGCGATCTCTGGGGGCACTTCGATTGGCCTTGGCAAGGGGGAAGGCTGGCCATGCCGATCATGAAGCGTTCGTGGCTTCGGCGTTCGGCTGGGATGATCGGTCCAGGTTCTCCAAGGGGAAAATAGACGAGCGATTAAACAATTCTCAGAGATTATTCGGATTTTGTTGCAAATTTTGTGCCGTTCCAGGCATTGTTTCCGTTGGTCCACCGTTCGATCGGGGGCAAAATTGGCATTCCCCATCGGAACTGGATCAGCGCGGCACAAGAGCGGGAGCAGGAACCGACTGCTCGTCGTACTCAACCCACGCCAGGTTTTCCCTCTTGTTTACAGAGTGGAGAGGGTATGACGATAGGGATCGGAGAGGCCACAAACCTCTTTCGCTTGGAAACATCCAGATTTCAGATTGCTTTTCCTGGTATGATGAAATGACCCCGCCCGCCAGAGTGGGTTGGAAACGGCTTGGAAAAGAAGAAACCAAGGGGAAAAAAAAATTGGCCAACCGTTCAACCGTCGCCGTGGGTGGGACAAACGGGACAGCCTCCGGAAAGAGGGGGTATGTGGATTTCAAGACCTTCTCGAAGGAGAAGAAGCCCAGTTCCATGATTCCAGACACGTTCGGGGAAGGGGAACTATCGAACTATCGCGCACCCGCGGAGAGACTCCCGACCGTGACTGGAGGGTGAATCTACCTCAGCAGTGTTTGAATGCTGGCTAGTGGATTGAGGACAAGAGTTCCAGATTGGACGACGTCGTGTTTCAGAACAGGTTGTCCGCAGGCCCGATGGGCGAAAGCCAAAACAAAAGCCAACAACAGCAAAGGCCCTTGTCAGCACTGGCTGGCCGTGGGCGTTCCGAAAGCACAGAAAACGGGGTTCGTCCATTCGTCCAACCAGTGGACACGGATCGGCTGCACTGGGCCCTTGCGATCGCGCGACTAAAACGATCCTGGAAAGGTTAGGGGGGCCGAAAAGACGCGATCCCAGCCAGCCGAGACGAGATGTGTGGGGAATTCTGGATCGCATGGCTTCGCAAATTTCCTTGATGCTCAGCCACTCGTAATCCACTGCGGACTTCTCCGTCTGGCAAGTGTGATTCCCAGACCCAGTTGATAGGCTTTTGGGATGGGGCAGCTGCATGCTCGACACATGCTGGACATGCTGGCCGGGTTGGCGAGGAGATTGGACAGGTGAGATCGACTGGAGAGGCTGCTGGCACACGAGTTAGTCGCCCTGCAATGTGAGCCGCAAGGGATGGTCGTAGCCCGCCTGGCAGCAGCCCGGGGGGGTGTCTCTGTTTCGCAGGCCTTTTTCTATGCAGATTGCAATTATCCGCAGGGATCGTACATAGGATGTCGCAAAACGTCGGTCGCCGGATTGAGTTCATAGGAAAGGAGGTTTGGAGAAGGTTGGAAATCACCATCGCATGATTTCATGGGGCCCCATCGTTGTATACTTCATAGGGTACCGAGTAGTTTTGGTCGACCACCAGGACAAGCCGAGCGTTGAACCAGGGGGGAAAAAAGACATCGAAGCAAGAGTCCATATAGATCATCTGCATTCGTTCGGTGGTTTCGGTGGTAGGAGAATTTCAAGGTGGTTTATTGCATTTCCTCCTCGCGTGGTGGCCGTGCCAGAGCCAATCTGCCCTGGACCCAGCTGAGTTTAGCGTTAATAATCCCCGACTCGCCTTGTTGTTGTTGACTCTCCACTTCTCTTCTCCCCCCTCTCAAGTCGTCATCGACTCCCTTTCCACGGCCCTGGAAGGAAAGCAGAGAGGAAACGAGGGTTGCCTCTCGTTCTTTGTTGAACCTTGTGTTGACCTCCTTTCCCCCTCGTTCATCCCCCTCTTTGTTTATCTCCCGGGCCATCTCCCCTCCCCCCTTCTGTCCCTCGCGCCCTCCGCCAGAACCAAATGGGATGTCATTCGCAACGGCTCTTGACCCTGCGGAGCTGAAACTGGAGGGTGCTTGACACTCTTTACAGCATTGCCTGAGGATGGATCACGTCTCAACGGTAAGAATCACCCTCCTAGACTCCATGGACCTCCTAGACTCACATCGTGACCCGATCAGCTTTGTGCCTTGAGCACGGTAGGTATAGCCACGACCGGCCTTGCCCTCGGTCGAGTCGATCGATCAAAGCCTAAGATCTTTCGGCGAAAAACAGTATCCCACGCCCAGCCTCTTCTCATACCTTCCGAACCTCCTACCCCCGTTGATGGACGGCCGATGACTTCGCGAGCAGGCTGGCCCCCTCAATCGGGGCCAGAGGGACCTGTCGCGGAACGAATGCCTGATGGGCTGGGACAATCTCTTGAGGATCAAGGTCAAGGTCAGGATCTTCGGCGAGCATCCTTGTCCTTTGGGGCAGCGCGGTTGCGCCGTCGTGGTCAAACCCTAACCAGCCCTCCGTTGCGCATCCTGGAAGATGAACATGCCGACGCCCAATACTCCCAAGAATCACACTCGCGACGTCCTTCCACCAGCTGGCTGCGTCGATTGTCAATGGTCTCATTTCAAACAGAGAGCCCGGCTACCAACAGTCCGGTGACACCATCGTTCAATGGTTCTGCAAGCCCCATTCTCCCACGCCCTCCCAGTCAGCGTAGAGCTCCGAACAAACTTGTGAAGCGCACCTCGTCGCAACACTCCAATGCCAATCCGCTCTTTATCACCAACACCCCGGCTTCCCCGTCATCTGGTTTGTGCCGACCGGCCACGAGTTATCAAAGATCGGAGACCATGCGCTTGCAGTCTCCCCTTGTCGCTGATTTTGGTCCACGCTTTTCAGGGTCGTATTATGTTGAATCTCCTTCTGCAGAGGAGTTTGAAATCCATCCTGAAATTAATTGGAAACCCTACCTGCTCCCCAAGTTGGAGGGGTTTTCGGAGAAGTTGGTGCGCCGATTATCAACCACTGCTAGTCCCAAATCACAGGGCGTAAGGCGGATAACATCTGATCAAGATGCACTCCCTGCACTGGTTTTGGCGACGACGTTCACTGTGAAGACCCCCTTGCCACAAGAAGCCCCTGCGCCTAATACCGTGGTGGAATTCCGGAACCCGTTCCAGACAGACCAGGCAGAGAATCCCGTGAAGGCCGCTTCTCCGCCGGTGCCTGTGATATTGTCAGCGGTGCCGCCGGAAAAGCTAGTTCACAAACATTCCTTCTCCTTGAATGATGTTGAATCGAAACGTATCATTGTCAATACCGTAACGACAGGGGCCCCGCTTGCTGGATATTCACGTGGCGGGTCCCTGAAACGGGTCAAGGGCAGGACCTTTTCCATCCCACGATCTGAACTTGCGAAAGTAGGAAGTGTGATTGCAGGCTCCTCACCCGCTCCTCCTTCACGGCGTAATATCACTGATCCTGCTGTGTTCCGTCGACCTCAGGCTGCCTCTCCGTCTGGACTACCCTTTCCCTCCTTTGACCATCGTTCTCTGGCAAATCCTCGCTCGGTATCGCAGGATTACAACCTTGGTTTGCGCGGTCAACGTCCACTGACTTCAGACGCCGTTGCTCTCTCAGCGTGGCAGCACTCTTGTCGAGCAGACAGTTATTCATACTCTTCTCTTCGTCGTCGTCCCAAGAGACACTCAATTGCCGCCTCAGACCCCTCTTCCACCGTGATCGGGTCGGACGACACACGCGTCTTCACCTCAAGTGATGAGTATGAGACTGACATCCTGACTGACTACTGGGATTCGATCCGCACACGGGAGACCAGTGGCGACGGGCTGAAAGGCCTGCGTATTGAAACGATGTTTGACAAGGCAGGAGCGCGCCTGTCAAATGAGCAAGTTGCGACCTTGGAGGAACTGCTTCCGCGGGGCTCCTTCGCTTCACGCATGGAACAAGACCCTCCTCTCTTCCCGGAGTCTCTGACCTCCTCTGTGTCCCAAGTCCGTCTCAATGATAACGCATCCATTTCAGAGGGCGAGGACGACACTGGCAGCATGATTGGGGCCTTGCCTGGTGAGCCAGATGGACCCCCGCATCTCCAACCCCCGAAGACTGGGTCTTCATCGAACCCACCAGAAGAACACAACCTTTGGTCTCCATGTACCAAGCTCTCGGCTGCATCTCCGGCCGGGGGCCCTCTTCCCAGCCAGAAAATGAACATTTTTGACTGGTCTGAACAGGCCCGGCCTGATCGGGACCTGTCCGATTCTGAAGCACGGCCCAGGACCATGCAAGGGAAGCAAAGTGTTATCGATCGGGGCAGCCGTGCAGCCTGTCGTAAAGTTCCATCCACAATTCACCTTCGCAGTCAGAGTGTACCTGTCGCAAGAGATCTCCCTGTCAATGAGTCGCGTCAGTCATCTGGCAAGTTCGGCACCTGGGGCCTGGGCAGCAAAGGAGTGAGTGAAGATTGGGACAGTGACTTTGACTTTGATGACGCAGAGGAGCCCGTGGTTAGCCAAGAGACCAACCCCACTGATTCTGAAGAAGCGGCGAGCGTTGCGGCTCCTCAGAGCATGATGGTTCCCAAGGCCATTCTCGAGCGTCAAGCCAGTCTTCGGGGGCAATTTGGGCAAGTGCAAGAACTCACTCTGCTAGTAGAAGAGCTAAAGCGCCTCCGGCACCAAGCAAGTGTTCTGGATCTCATGGCGGGCCCATCAAGTGAGCTGTGGAAAGAAGCGGAAGGGATTGTGAATCTTGCCACGATTGACAATGAAGATGATCACCGTTCTCCTCCCGGGTCGCCCTCGTCCCTGACTTTCAGCTTTGACGATTCAGATGACGAAGGTGGAAACTCTTCGTCAAAGCGCAACAGTAACAATTCCTGGCATGGTCCACCGCACCACGACGCTCCCCTTTACAACCCGGCGCTTCGACAACTCTCCAAGGACTCACCCAAATCCAAATCCGTCCTCGACCTACTCCAACCCAGTCACCCCGAGTCTTCCGGTTTGCCCAATTTGACTCCAGCGCCACGCACTCAGAAGCTGCCCTTTGATACTCAATCTCTTCGCGATCTCGTGGTCCGCGCTGGGGTTGTTACTCGTGCCCTCAAAGAAGTCATCCGCAAAGCTGAAGGGGTCGACCCCAGCCCGCAGGACGCATTCCCTTCCGATCCTCCATTCCGCCGAATCTTTGATCAACCTTCTCATGACGACCTTGCAAGCTTCGAAGCTGCACTCGCCGAGATGCATTGATAATTCCCCTCTGCTTTCTCTGATATTATCACACCTCTCGGCCTAAAAGCCTACGATCTTCGCTTTCCAGATCCATTTATTTTCTCATACGTTTCATACCCCGGGCCTTTCCGTAGAGGCCAATCTTACGGACACAATGCCAGTGTTCTAAGACACTTATTCCATTGATACCTCACTTCTCCATTACCTTCTCTGCCAATTTTCCTCTTTTTACCCAATTATTCCAAAGGTTCTATCGGGTTAACGACCTATATCCTTTTTCTCCGGCGTCCTCAAAAAGCCACTGCATGTCTCTGTACAACCTTTCTTCTTTTGTACATTCCCTCCACCTCTAACCCTAGGTCTTGTTTCCTTTTTTTCCATTCCATTTTTCACTCCTTGTATGCCACAATCGCATACGCCGTTCTGTACGAGCCCCTCTCCTTGAGGCTCATGTGTATTTTCCTTTTTGTTGTTTCACTGTTCCCAGCGTCGTCCTCGCTTTCCTTGCGTCTCTGTTGCATATTTGCGCAGTTCATATTCTCATAATTGCGCTGTAATAATCATGAAAGGGCCTGCGATTGAGGATGATCTGGATCTGCACGGCGATGATGCTTGAAAACGAAGACCCATCAGATGAAGGACAATGAGGTCCAATGTCATGCATACTTATTATTTGTTGTCCGGGCCTCGACCCGGTGACAGGAGCATTTCAGAAAGTGGGCACTGTTCGATTCATGTTAACATAGATAAGGCTGTGTCAATTACACATACGCTTTCGTGTGCCACAGTTTCATTTTAAGTACGTAGGTATACATTCATAGATCGGATGTGCTAGTCATATCGCTCTAATCTATTGGGGGTATCAAAGAAAAAGAAACGCCTATCGTGCGCTGCAAAAGAGGTTGTTTGGGAATCAGATGAGAAGGAGGCCATCGGCTTTATGGTGCTTGGTCTCAATTCCTTTATTCGTCGTCGTGATGCCCTTGAGCTGCCTCGAAGTAATCTTGCAGGAAGCTACTCCTAGCCCAAAGTTTAGGGCCGTACAAATAGAAGAGTACCGGGATGGGGATCATCAATGCTGCAATGCCGCCAAGTAGCGTACCAGTCCAGTTGACGCCAAGAGAATCAAACTATCCACACAACTGTCAGCGGGGAAAAAAAATGTTTTGGATAGAAAGAAATTCTTCGTACCATGTAGGTTGCAAAAAGTGGGAATACAGCGCCAGCCGTGGAACGCAGAATTATATTGGCAGCTAGGGCAGAGGCGGCACTAAGTCGAAGTAGAACATCGTTAGCGAGGGTTCCCTCAAGTAAAACGGCGATCAGGATCAACGGTGAGCGGACGAGACACTTACAAGACAACATAGCCGTCGATGATATAGTTCATCGCTTGCAGGAATATGCAAAACAGCCCGAATCCGGTCAAGCCACCGGACAGTGTCGGGACAACCCAGTGAATATCAGCTCGAAAGCCAGACCAGCCAAACCAGAACAAGCCCGCTGCGAAAGCTACACTTCCAACTATCGCCAATGGCATGCGCCACTCAGGAATAGGGTCGCCGCCATTTTCTTTGAGCTTGCGGTTGTACCAGGGTTGGCTGAGGATAATTGCAAAGCCTCCGAGGAATTCCCCAATGATCATCCCCAGGTATGGAAGGCCACCAACGCCTTTGTCGAAGCCGTGGATCTGCTGGAAAACAATTGGGTAGGCTGTCATAAACAGGTAGAGTAGACCATAAAGAAAGGCCATGTAGATGCTCAGTGTGAGGATGATCGGTTCCGTGAATAGGATCTTGAGGGGCCGGCTGAAGTTTTTCCGGATCAATTGTTTGAAATCCACCTCGATCTCTTCTTGTTTGGAGTGAATGCCCCAATTCAGGGTGCGTCGGCGTAGCTCAGCCGCCTTCCTGGTCAGTATCACGGGGGCGTATGACTCGCAAAGGAAGAAAAAGTCGATCACAAGAGCCGCAGCCCCCATGATGCCGGTCAAGTAATCCGTGCAACGCCAGCCGTGGCTGCTCTGCACAATGAACCCGCCCACGGTGGACGCGAACAGCGGACCTGTGAAGACAGTCATTGCGAAGACGGTTATTGCAAGGCCACGAACCCGATTTTCATAGATGTCGGAGAAGACAGCCGCCACAACGGCGACGGGGCACGCCCCAAATAATCCTCCAAAAAAGCGGCATAACATGATGGTCTGCAGATCCTTGGCAGTGGCAACGGCAAATTGAAAGAGCGTGAATCCCAGCATGGAGATAAGGATGGGAATACGTCGACCATATAGTTCGGAGAATGGGGCCCAGATGATTGGACCCGTTGCAAATCCTAGCACGTACAACGATAGGCCGAGAGTGCCCACTTCATTCGAGACGTGAAATTGCATGGATAGGATTGAGTTACCAGAGGAGTAGATGCTGCTGGCAAAGGTTGCATTGAAGGTTGTAAAGGACAATATCACGGCCGTGGTCAACTTCTTTGCAGTGGACCAATTTTGCGGATGTAGAGGATCGTCCACCCCGGCAAACTCCACAACATATTCTTCCTTGTTGGGCAATGGAGGTGGATAGGGTTTCCCGGCCCCAAAATCAGGTAGGGGAAATTCAGACATTCCCGATTGTGATTTCAACCCGGCTCCTACAGTGGCATTGTGCTGGCTGCGCTGGGTTGCGATTCGACTGAGTGCAGTTGGATGCCGGTCAAGAGCAGGACTGTAGTGTGAATGCGCGGTCTGGACGCGAGACATGTAATCAATGGCATCTTCGGACGAGGCAAAAGATGAAATGGTTTTGGAGGACAGGGAATCCGACGGGTAGAGCTGGTACACCGTGCTATCTGTTGAGGAAGGACTGCAGCCAGGCGACGCCTTCTCCAGATCGTACGTGTTGGCGTCCATGATGGTTCGGCGGCCTGAATTCGGCCTGGAATCGATCTATTCTCCAGGTGCCGAGAACGAAAGAAAGACAAGACGCACGTAACCAGTGCCAGGAAAGGCCGGGGATGTGGGATTTCATTAATAGGTTTCGATCCCGAATTTTCTCTATCCAGGAGACCCAGGTACCAGCTTCTCCGCTTGGCAACGCGGTAAATATGGAGACAGAAGCCACCCAGAGCTCAGAAGCTGCGGATTGCATCGGACATACTCTGATTCTGCTCTTCCAAGTGTTCCAAGCAAGTGGTGGAGACTCCGCTGCCATGGCATTGTTGGGCTCGCCCACGCCACAGTGGTTCCCCATCGCATTGATATCAATGGGTCTCGTACTAGGTCATCAGTTGGTATTTATTTCTGATATAGTCAAGATAATTGACAAAACTGATACGGATCTCGGGTCTCCTTCCACGTTCTGAGCTCGCTGGCCTCGGTCAATTGGCATTGAAAAGTCCATTCCGCCTCTCGGTATGGCTTCTCGGGATGGCTGCTCGGGATGCCTTCTCGGCTAGCCGGACCCTAAACATATGCCCGCAACTGGCCGGGACTCAATCCACGATTGGATCTCCGACATTTCCTGAGTTTCTTTTTGATAAGCATCTCCGCTTGTTGCGAAAATTTTTACTCCTTTCCCTGGCGATGGGACTGTTATCAACGTGCCTGGGTGGCTATTCTCGGCTTCCGGCCGCCGAGCTCGGTTATTCAAGGCGTTTACGTCATCCCGATGTCCGGGATGGCAAAGGCGCACACTATGTATATGTAAAGGCCGGCCCATTGCCCTGGTTTCTGTAGACATGGTCCTGGTGGTTATGAATGTGCGTGGCTCTGTACATTAACGGATTGTCCCGGGGTCAATGGGAGATCACGTCGAACGAAAATGGTGGAGCTGGAAGTTGGTGCGGCCCTGGAATCACAAATCATCAACCGAGATATATAGCTGCGGCCGGGATGACTTGATAATCAGATCAACATGTCAACAGCATCCCAACAACCTAGTGGAGAGAGCCATCGGTAAACTGGATTATATACAGCATGGGTCTTGACGATCATCCCATCATCCTATCATCCTACATACACACGGAGAATCGCCAGGTGCCGGCTAGTCACCGATCGCAGCCTATAATCAGAACCTGCTCAAGAACTGACATTGTTGCAACCGAGAGGAAACATTACCTAGAGATCAAAATGGACCCAAGGATCTGAAGTTCCTGGTGGCTGTAAGCTCATGGAGTCTCTACTTTCTAGACCAGCCTCTCTCCAAAATCGAGAGAGAAATGACAAACATTTTGCGGAAGAAAACCCCCCGAGCAAGAAAAATAGAGAGAAAAGAGGGCATAGGATTCGTTTAAACGGCAAGTGAACAAGTAAATGTGGTTGTCTATGGAGACAAGGGTAGCTCTGCAGCAAATTCTTATAAAATCAAGTGCCGAGGCAGCAGAAGCATCTCTGTAACATCTTCGATAGTATATCTCGGACATTGTCAATTACTAGGTACAATTTGAACTAATCTTCGAGGGAGGTCGATAGTAGCATGGCACGCATTATCATACCTATTCGTGTAAATCGATTGTTTCATTGGCCCATGAGCCTATTATAGAGATTGATTGAGTTTCCTCCCTGGAAGAAGCGAATCGGAATTTCTCTGGTGGGTAAATGACCAGCACTTACATGCACCTCATACAGAATAGTCCGTCATCCTTATCCACAGTAGAGTGAATACAACGGCATTATCATGGTAGTTTAATGTTTAATTCTTGACCTAGCAAACCTCACTGTCTCATTGCCCCCACCAAGAACCCGATAGATACCATATCTGCTATCTCCTCCAGGGCGCCTTGCCAAGAGCTCGCCGAAACAAATCCGGGGGGGGAGACGGATGGCAGCATTCCAACGAAATGAGGGGAGGGGCCGCCCGCGTCTCAGGTTGAGGGGACTGAACGAGAGCGCCCACATTCCAGTGTTTGACAGTGACAGCCCTGATCCGGGGAGAGCAAAGAATGGTAAATGATGAATACAATACGACCGGCCTCGCCGCTCTCGTCTTCTGTGCAGTGGGCCTGCGACCGGTGAGTTCGAGTTCGGGCGTGGAGAGCGAAGAAAGTGTCAGCGATAGGCAATAATGATAACAGGGAGAAGACGGCAAAGCCTGTCATAGCCCCAGCCGAGATACCATACGAGGAGTACTTCGTACAGAGAACAAGAATCCACCCCTGCCCTTGCCTCGCCCACATCCACACAGCCTGTTCCTGCAGCAATACACATACGGTTCGTACCAGAGGAAACGGGTACTCAGCGGTGGTTCATCTCCGGCTCAGGGGCAGTTGGCTTGTGATTGGTGGAGTGGGAGGTGGGTTCCTGGCGCTAAGGTTGGGTCATGGCCCCATCGGACTTGACCTCGCCTTGCGTGCTGCAGTTTTGTTTTGCAGTCTCGGCCATGGTAGTGAGACAAAAACAAAAGAAAGCCGAGGTTTCTGGATGATGCAGAGCGTAAGGTAGAGACCGAGAGAGGGAGAGCAAGAGGGATTACAATCGAGAAGTAGAGAAAGGAGGGAAAGGGAGGAGGGTTGCTAAATTAAGAGCTCAGGGGCGAAAAGAAAGTGCGGAGATTCGAGAACAATACAGAACCCGTATTGGATACACTCGATACACCGATAGACCGCTACTGTCCTCGCCCTCTTTTTCTCTCTTTCGGGGCGTAACGAGACCGCAGGTCGTCACAGTACGACTGTACGCTTGGCTGGGCCCAGAACTGGCACCATCTCCTTCTCCTCTTTTTCTCTCCTTCTCTTTGACACGCTCCTTCGATTCTTCAGCCTTCACCCTTGAACCTCTGACCCTCATTCATTCCCTTCTGGCTGCTGGCCGCCATTCGTTTATCACTGGACACTCGTGTCCTGTTCACTCCTTTCCCTGTCACTCCTTCCGGCCGCCTCAATCACCCCTCCTCGATCGTCCTTCAAACTTAAATGACTCCCAGGGTATAATCTCCAGTGGCCCTCGCCTGATTTATCGTCGATTGGCTCGCGTGCTGGAAGCGTCCGGCCCTGTCGACAAACCAATCCTCACTCCCGAGGATCTCTCACACCATGCCTCACGCTCACCATGCGGGCCTGGTAGTGAGAAACGCTCCGGTCCGACGAGAGGTGATACCGTCAGATCGACTCCCACTACTAGTTCCAACAACCACTGCAACCACGGGTGCTGGATTCCCCTCGTTAGTGGTCAGAGCTCCGGCTTCGACGGAAAGTTCAAGCGGAGAAAAGCCCACTAGCAATCTATATACCACAGTATTGCCGGTCGTACTGGGTGCAGGGTATGAAGACTCCCCCACAAAAGCATTTCCACGCAATTCCACCGATCAGGGAAGGGATATAATTATGAAACTTGGAATAACTTGGACGCTAATTATCACACAGTGTGCCCATTGTATGTGCCATCGTGGTTCTGATTTTCTTGCATCGGAGACATGTGAAGAAACTGATGCGGGAGGATGCCAATGACAAGCATAAATCCTTGGATTTCGGCATGGATGTTGTGGGACCTCCATCAGGAAGACCACGAAAGAATCTCAATGGAATGCCTCAGATGATGGAGCCCAGCCACGCCAAAGGCATGTCTCTCGATATCAGTCCGTATCTGATGCCCCCCGGGGTTGCATGGATCCCGGGAATCGTTGCATTCGCTTTCTCGGTCCATAGACGATGACAAGTATCGACCCGCCAACTTCGTCGGACATGATGCGGCCTCCATCCGATCGTATCCTCGAAGCCGTGATGATGGAGCGAGCTTGGCAGGCTCAACCCGGTATGGAGCCGCTGAGGAACCAAACGCGGGTCTGCTACGAAATGCGCAGCGGATGTCCCGTTCCTCACCTCCCCTCTACAAAACCTCCAATGAATTGAACGGCCGGTCTCCAGATGGGTATAATCAACCCCATTTTGAACCCGTGTCAAGCTTGACCCCGGCCCCCGCGGAGCATGACGAGCATGAGCATGGTCTGGCCATTGATAGTGCCACCACCGACCAAAATAAGAACACCCGCCAAGGGCCCCTGTCTCCGGAACCCCAATTTCACCTAAATTCGACCTCCGAGCTGCACTTCGAGACCGAGCCGCATCAGTATGGCACCCATGGCACCATTCAAGCGAACACTCATGAAGATCGTCCCAATTTCCCGCTACCGGATCCGTTGCCATTATCCCACCCCGAGCCTGTGCATACACCAAATGCGACGATGCAGCTCCCTCGTATTTCTCTGCCTGCCAGTGATGTAACCAGCGATTACGGCGATGAACGCAGATCGGCCCAGATGATTCCTCCTGTCAATGTTCATTCCGCCGACGAAATCCCGCATCAACATGAGCAAAAGCTACCAGAACTCGCTGAAGAGTCTCAAAATCTGGAACCCGTTTATGACACTCGCCGGGATACTCGCCGGCTGACTCTCGGGGTGCGTCCCTTGCCTCCAGAGGACCCTGCCGACAACCCTGAGCAGCGTGCCAACCGAATCCGCTCATTCTACAAAGAATACTTCGATGAAAGCAAGCGAGAAACCACCTACTACGAGGATTACGGTCCCGAGATCTATGACGGCGGCTATGTGTATGATCCCACTACGGGTGATTATTATGATGCGGCGGCACCTGTTCCTGCACCATACGCTGAGCCCATTGCTCGTCGGGCTATGACTCCTCCCCCCTCGGGCTCCCCCCTCGGTTCCAGGGCGCGGCCCGCCATATGGCCACAAACTCGGCCGGGTTCAATGGTTACAATCCGGGCCCTCGGGCATTCTCTTCGGCCTCCGGACGGCTGCCCGGTCCCCGTGGTCCTCGCAAGCCAATGCCTCCCCCCTCGCCTCTTCAAATCCTTCCCACACCGCATATGCTGAAAGATGATTCCATCTTCACGGCTGCTGACTTTGCCCCGGGCAAGAGCTTCCGAGACCAGCGAGAAGGTCGTCCCGAAACCCCCACTGGTGGCATGCGACCCTACAGTCCAGCCATTCGTGCCCACACTCCTCTTGCCTCAGCGTTCGATGAACTTGCTGTGATCCCCAGCCCGTAAGTTTTATCTCCATTCCTTTCTCCCCTGTCTCTCAGATGCTAAGCCGGTTTCTTTGCAGTCACGCCTTGCGGAAATCTGGCACGTACACCTCTCTCGACTTCATGCCGCCTCCTCGGTTCAAGAACAGCGACGGTGGCAGTGACGCGGGCAGCATCCGCAGCAACCGGACCGGCATCTCGAACACCCACATGAACAACATCCGCATGGGCAACTACCGGGTCAGCCGGTTGGCCGCGGACATGGTGGGCACCAAGGACGATATGGTGACCAGTCTGCGTCCGGATTGGGACATGAAAAGATAAACTCACAGCCTTTCCTCCCCCGTAACGACTCTGCTGTTTTGGTATCTTTTTCCAATCCTATGACGACTGCGTTTTTCTCATGGCCGGAGCTTGACACCTCTTGTTTTCCTTCTCCTTCCCGGACTCCTTCATTTTTGCTTCTTGGTTTGTTTTGTGATGGCCTTTAGCCGAACACCGTGTCTCGGTGCCTTTTGTTTTTTTTATTGTTCTGGAAATCTGCTGTGCCCCCGGCGTAAATAGATGATAGTTGGATCTGTCTTTTGCCTTCCCACCCCCCAAACCAGGATCTGGATTTTTTTTCTTCAATTTTTTTTCTCGGAACGATTTTGCCGGGCTGTATATATGTTTGATCCGTGCACTGAATCTATTTCCGAGGCCAATGCGGAAGATGGACCGTTACTGTTTATCTTTTTATGTTCTTCTCTTTAAGTCTCTCAATAGATTGCGTCGTGATCGACGCGTATCGTGCTCCTATGTCGTGTGTCTCCCCAATTCTAGACCGTCCGGCTGCTCAGACACGAGGATGCCTGGACTTGAGGCTTGTGGAAGGGTTGACGAAATTGGGTGTACGCGGTGGTGGATGAACGCCTAAAGACTCCACCGGCAGCGAACTAGACCGGAGTCGATCGCCTTGGGGGCGACGTAAGTCGGTGGACGAAGATCCGAATCCATCCCTCCGCCCCTGAATGAGACACAAAAGAGTATGAAAATCCTACGAATCAATCCCAACCAGAAATACTCCTCAGCCAGTGTGGACGACAGGAAGCAGTACAGGGCCTGAACTCCTAGAACAAAGACATTCACGTTTTTCGAGCCGTATACCGTATGGTGACAGGGACTGGGCCCAACTGGCCGCACCAGGACGGCCGATGGGGATTGTATTGTCGTATCACCGATACGTATCCACTTCCCTGGAAACCGTTGGACCAGGCTGACTTGGAATTGCAATGTAGACGATGATTGGGGGAAGCAATCATGGAGGAGATGGAGAGTCTCGTATCCTCATTTCCTCGCTTCCTCACTACGGTGGCGAGGAAGCATCATGACGTGGTATCGGGCTTTTATCGTGGTGTTTCTCCGGCTTGTGTTCTGTTCTGTGGGCGTTTCGAATCGTCCAGCATGTCTACTCTGTCCTATGCACCGGAAAGAGGTATTGCTTGGGGGTTCCTGGATGGGTCCTATATCACCGGTGCCATATCGGTTGCTATTCATGGCGATGACCCGTGTCGCAGCACAGCCACTGCAGCGAGCATAATAAATAGCCCTGGCGCGTACCGAATCAGAATCCGTGAGACTGCTTGCCAGTTGGCTCTGGTGAATGGACCCCGGATTCGATCTGGGTGGTCGTGCGACCGAGAGCACTCCCATGGATCGCCCGCTGCTGGTTCGACTTTCCAAAGGCAGGAAGCACCGTCTGCTGCAAGGGCCATTCGCATGGCGCCTCTAGGGATATGGATATTTTAAGAGACTATCAGATCTGGCAGGATTGTCGAAGATGAGAATTGTGGACATCATGGGCCATAGTAAGAATGATCGGATGCTCCGTAGTGACCATAGACGAACGAACAATAGACTTCATCGACGCGGACGGGCCATCAGTAGGATGATGATGATGATGATGATGATACTGGTAATTATAATGATAATAACCACTCATAATCATAATAGCGATCGGACCGAATTAGCGAGCCGGCAAGTTACAGGTGGTCAGCTGTCCGGAGGACGGAGTACCGTACGTACAGCGGACTCCGTCCTTCTCCCACACTGTTTGCAGTGCAGCCGCACGCAGGTCGCTATGGACGGAGTCCACTGTACGGTACCGCTAGGAATGCCAATACCACCTCCAATACTCTGCAAATACCACATCGCCGGGATCGTAAGAAACACTCTCCACTCGCCCCGTTTCCTCTCTTTCTCTCTCTTCTCTCACACAAACCCTGGTTCTCCCATGGCTCCCGACTCGATTCGGTGTTGCTTGTGAGACTTCCCGGGGACCTCTTTTTCTCTTCTTCCCTCCCTTTTCCTTTCTCTCGCTCGTCCACTTTTTTTTTGGGGGGACTTTGTTTTGGTCAAGCCAGTCTCCCGCTCTCCTCTCCCTCTTCCCCCCCCTGAAGCTTCCCACGTCCCGTTGTACTCCGGATTCTCTCCTTACGTCCCCAATATCGAATCCGCTATCACTCGTTTCGTCGGCCGATCTGTCATTCCAATCTATCTTCCCGCCATCTAAAAATTCCAATCCCAGCGGGGAAACCATCTTAAACCAGCCCCTGGTGCGACCTTGCGATCTCCCCACTGGTCGAGGCGCCCGTCCTGATCACCCTCATCTCCGCGACCCTGAATCTTGATTGGAACGACTTATTGCCCAACACACCCGCCCGCCATGTCTACTGTCGCAGGATCGAGCCAAACGGCCGTCGATCCCAGCAACACCAAGGCGGATGCCACTACTGCGGTTGGGACGACGGATGCCGCATCCACCACGGCCGCTCCATCGTCAACCACCTCGACGACCAGCCAGACGACCACCAGCTCTAGTTCGACGTCAACGGAGGCCACCACCTCCACCACACACACTTCGACGACCACTAGCTCGTCTTCCACGACTACCACCACCCCGACTTCAACCTCAACGTCGACTTCATCCACACTAATCCCGACCAGCACGACGTCGGACCCCACAACTACCGCCGGTGCAGCGACCACCCTAGTAGTGACCCAGACCGCGACTGACTCGGCAACCACGAGCGCGGCATTGACGTCCAGCGCGTCGTCGACCGCAACCGACTCTGCGTCCCTCTCGACCTCGACTGCCGCGGCCAGCCATGGTCTCTCGGCAAGTGGCACCATTGCGGTCGCTGTGGTTGTCCCCGTGGTTTCTGTGGCATTGATTATTCTGGCCGCGATCTTCTTTTGGCGGAAGCGGAAGGCCAAGAAGGCTGCGGAGGAAGAGCGCCGGAAAGAAGTCGAGGAGTATGGATACAACCCCAATAACGATCCCACACTTCCCGGCATGGGAGCCGGCATCGCTGTCAAGGATGATACGTCGTCTGGATACCGGGGCTGGGGCACAACCTCAGCTGGCCGAAAGGCATCGACGAATCTGTCGAGTGGAATGGGGATGGCTATGTCCGAAGGTAGCGGCGCCTATCATCATGCCGCGACTCCCAGCGAAGGCACAGTACAGTACTCGGACGGGACCCGTCCAGATTCGGGTGAGGTGGTGGAACCCGTGGGCGTCCTCGGGGCGGTACCGGTAGCCGCGAACAACCACAATGGCGACATTCACCGCGGCCCGTCTAACGCGTCGTCGGCTTATTCCGCTGCGAACCGGTCAGAGGTGTCGGAGGAAAGCCACATGTCGGCTGCTCACCCATCGGGTGGCTACTATGGCGATAACCCATATTATGGAGACATGGCCTCGCATGGCGCATACGGCGAGGAGGCGTACCAGCCCGTGATCCGGGATGTCCAGGCGCGTCGCAACACTCGCATCGAGAACCCCGGGGTTTATCCGCGACAAGGAAATGCGGGTATTGCCCAGAATTTCTAGAGAACAACTGTCTTGGTTGAGCATACGATTTGATTTTCTGTGTTTTGCAATTCCCTCTGATTTCTAAAAAGTCCGGCCTATCCTCCGTTCTACATACGCTCTCACTTTTTTCTCTCCTTGTTTCCTTTTTTCTGTCTTCTCTGCATCATCGCCGATTTCACTCCTTAACGTGGGCACCTCCTGTATTTTCTTTTTTTCATTGGCCCGGTGCCTCTTTGTCTCTTGATTCCCGGCGTGATGGACCTTTCGCTTCGCCATGTGTTTATTGACCAATATCTCTTTCCCCCTCTGTGTGTGTTTCCAAATCTCATAATCAACCCGTCGGGTTCTCGTTTTTCTATTTACTCTCCCCATTTTTCCACCTCTCATCTTGATTTCAATATTGGCTGATCCGTCTTATGTTCTTGATATATCCCTCGCATCTAGTTCCGTCATCTTCAACTTCGTCTTTTTCTTTTTTTCTTGGGGTGTGTTTTCGTCCCTGGTATTCCTGTATATTCGCACAGCACCATGGTTCGGAATGAAATCCGGGCCTGGGGACATGTTTATGGCCCGGGGGTTTTTGTTTTTCTTTTTTTCTCCATCGTCTTTTTTTTCCATCTGTGACTTCCCCCGGTATCATCTCCTGGTTCTATGGAGTCTATGAACAGAGTAACCTGATGTTTCTTGTACTACGTCAATCTAGTTCTTTATCCATTCGCGGACTGGAAGTCTTTGCCTGCTAGAGTTGTGGAGTAGTGATAGTGATGATCGAAGGGTCGTTGAGGTACTGAGGAATCTCGCCTCGCTTGATACAATTGATAGCAGCATCTTAGTGTTAGGTTATTGATCCCGGCGTGCTGATCTCAAGAATAAAAGGTGATTTGGAATCCCTCTTGAATAGTAGAGCATGCCGGGTATGCGGTACGAGCGCTCTCTTCTATATGACCCTTTGGCGGTCTCTATCGTCTGGCAATCTGTCTTTCGAAATCCTATCAGAGCTGGATGGGAGCTCTATAGGCTCTCTATAGGCTCTCTCTAGGGCTCTATGGGGCTTTAACCGGGCTCTCTGTTATTCCAGACGGTTCTGTATCGTCCCCTATTTCGGAACCTGACCTAAGCATTGTGTCGTCCGTCAATGACCCTCCCTACCGTTCGTTGGCTACTAGTTAAACAACCACGACGACCGAGTGACCGAATGACTGAACTATGTCGTTTCCTTGTTAAGTCGAGTAGGTGAGTCCCGCGCCTTAGTTAAGCAGCCGCAGAAAACGTGCGCCCGCTGTTCGCAGTGATTGGCACGCCCGCAGCTCCCCACTTCCGGCTTAACCTGAACCTCGTCCTTCAATTTTCCCTCGATTGGCCCAATTCCAGTGGGACAACGTCGAGCGCAAATCTGCCAAACCCGCCCAACGAGCTTGAACGGGGTCAAACGGGGTTGATCCGGCGACCCGGCGCAATCGATAGGGTGCCTGGTGCCTTGGTGGACTCGACGTTCGAGTCTCTCCCCCGCCTAGACTATCGGCCATCACTACAACTCCCTTCCCACCACCACTACCACCCACCCCGACGACTTGAGACCACACTAGGGCTTCTTCTTCCTCTCTCCACTTCTTGCCCTTTCCCTGCTCCCGCCCCCCTCTCCCAATCCAGAGTTCCTCAAGTTTCCAACCTCTCAAGTTCGCCAGCTCTCCCAGCTCTTCTTGCCCTTCCTATCTGTGGCTGCGGTCCCATCTACGCGCAGAACCCCAGCTCTATCGACCTCGAGGATCACCGCACCTGAATGGAATGCGCCACAAGGGGGATTTCTCTGTACGCTTTGTCATACGCCACGGTGACACAGCGCCTGTCCCACTACTATTGCCATTCCCCACCTCTTCCGTTGCGCGCGCTGTCGGCCCCCTCCCCCTCGACTCGAGGTCCACCGTGTACTTCGGGATCCTCGTCTCCCCTACTCCCCCTCCTCTGCCTTCTCTTTCCTTTTCCTCTTTCTCCCTAGTCCAGCACCTCAATTGCTTCCGATCTGCCATCCCCTCGTGAGATCTTCGGCCTACCCACGAGCTCCGGACAGCGTGGACGCTCTCCCGCACGAGGGAGCCTACGAAGATGTATGTGACGGTCCCTTGTATTGCATACCTCGACCTCCAAGGCTGATCTCTTTGCAGGAAGTTCGGCAAACAGATTCAGCGCCGGCAGCTAGATCTCCCTGAATATGCGGCTAGCTTTGTCAATTACAAGGCGCTGAAGAAGGTGAGCAGCCTGCCCTCCTCTCCCACCCTACACCTTCGGGATGCGCCGCTTCCATGCTGACTCCTCTCGCAGCTGATCAAGCAACTCAGCGCCACTCCGACAATCCCTGCGCAACGGACAGCCGAAGAGATTGCCCAGGATGGGACATTGGATCCACAAGCCGCACTCCGCGCCAACAAGGAAGTCTTCTTCTTCCGCTTGGTATGTACATCTCTCGGAAGATTCCCTCTGACCATCAATCATTGTAGTGGAACTAATGCCCACCGGTACAGGAGCGGGAGATTGAAAAAGTCAACGCCTTTTATCTGCAGAAAGAGTCCGAGGTAGTTCCCCAGCCTAAGAGCATCCCCGCTTTCCATCCCAAATGTTCCCAAACTCACCAAGTGATCTAGTTCTCATTGCGATTGAAAACACTGGTCGACAAGAAGCGTATGATCCAGTCTCGAACGATCTCGAATTCCAAAGCCCCGTCAAATTTCGTGGCGCTCTTCGAAGGCTTCCAGCAATTTGACGGCGACCTTAACAAGCTGCAGCAGTTTGTGGAGATCAATGAAACAGCGGTATCTAAGATCCTGAAGAAATGGGACAAGACGTCCAAATCCCGGATGAAGGAACTTTATCTGCACCGGGCCGTCGAGGTACAACCGTGTTTCAACCGCGAGGTTCTTCGTGATCTATCGGATCGTGCGACAACCGCTCGGCTGGAGTTGGAGGCTTGGGCCGAGGGAGAAAATCTACAGTTTGACACATCCCGGCCGTCCGAGCGTCCCGCTGGCTCGGCCTTTGGCTCAGAGGAGGAGGAGCTGGATCTGCAAGTTTTGCAGTCTGCCTCGACTGGAAACTTGCAAACCCTGCGCGAATGGGTGACGAAGTTATACTCCCTCACAGATGCTCGTGACCGAGCCACCCGAACCTTCCTGACGGCAATCAACGGATTTTCGGATGAGATCCTTACGCTCCTGCTGGAAAGTGGGCTGGTAGATATTCACGCGGAGGATGATATTAACGAACGGAATTGTCTCCATGAGGCTGCCATCTCCGGACGTGATTTCGTTTTCAAAGCCGGCCTGGCGGCAGCAGTGGACATCTCTCGGTCTGATGTGTATGGGCGAATTCCTCTTCACTATGCATGTATGCACGGCCGCGTGAATATGGTCCGAGAGCTTCTTGTAGCGGGACCGCATACTGTTGATGTGATGGACCATGATAACTTTACCCCGTTGATCCACAGCATCGTGAAGAATCAACTAGCATGTGCTGAACAGGTGTTATGCAGCAATGCTCGTATCGATCCAACCTCGGATTCGGATCATATCCCGTTGAACCTGGCCTGTCAGCATGGCTCGATACCTATCGTCAAGATGCTACTGGAGCGCAACGCTCGCTTATTACCCGATGCAGAAGGCCTTTACCCTCAACATATGGTAGCTCGTGCTTCACAGTTACCCGAACTACTGCTGCTGTTGAAACAGCATGGTGCCGATCTAGATCAACGAGACAAACTCTATCAGTGGACTCCATTATTTCATGCGGCCAGCGAAGGCTGTGTGCCTTGCCTTCGTACCCTTCTCGAATTGGGTGTAGATGCCAAGGTTGCCGACGAAAAGGGCCTGTCGGCCATGTACTATGCTGCATGGGAAGGACATCTGGAGTGTATGCTACTTCTATGGGCTCAATCGTCGAACAAACGACCGTCCCAGCGGCCACTGGACATTTTAAATGGGGTGCAGTTTCAGGAAGCTGGCTTCATGGAGGATTCGGGTGCCATGCGGCGAACTAGCTCAGCCGAGTTGGACATGGCCGATGGCATTCCGGATCTCTCGTTGCCTCCTCCCATCATTCCCCTGCGGCGCTACGGTCACAACTTCCTTGATAAGAAGGTTTTTGTACAGCTGCTCTTCGACCAAGGCAGCTCGGGCTCGATTGCCTTTGACCAGGCGGGCCGCCATCCTGCTGCCCGATTGACAATTTCCTCCAAGCTCTCCGACCTAATTCCTCGCACAATAGTTCTTCCCATCCAAGAGGATTCCCGAACGATATCATTCCATGTGGACAACCTGGACACCTTCGCAGTGGACTTCGAGATTTTCCCTACCTTTGGCTCCAAGGTGATCGCGAAAAGTGTGGCCTTGTCAGTGATCTTCAGGGCCGAGCAATCTAGTACCGGTTCATGTTGCCTGCCTCTCTTCGATCCGCGACTTCGTGCCATAGGGCAATTGCGCTTCAACTTTCAAGTCATTAAGCCATATCATGGTGATCCTTTGGAGATTACTCACTTCGCAACCTATTGGAAAGCAACCAGTGCCCTCGACTCTGAGCATAATGGGCTAGTCACTGGCTCTAGTCTATCAGGAGATTACGTACAGCTGTTCGTGCAATTAACGCGAGACCGCATACCAGTACTTTACCCACAATTCATGATCAATCACCATGGAATTGAGATCCCAGTCTGCCAGCTATCATATGCCCAATTCCAACAACTTGGTGTCGACAGGGGAGTGAACCAGAATGAAATCTTGCAATTTTTGCAAACCCATGCAATCAACGATATGTCGCAGGCGCACCGACTGCTGGCCGCATCTTTCATGTCCCTTCGAGATGTCCTGCGGCATCTACCAATCGACCTGAATATCAATCTTTCAATTCTCTACCCATCTGGCGCTGAGGAGAAGCTGCTTGCCATGACCTCCTTGGCAGATGTGAACAGTTTTGCCGATGCAATCCTAACAGATGTTTTCGACCACGCTCGTGTGGCCCGCGAAAAGAATCCCGACTTTATGCGTTCTGTTGCATTCACCTCTTATAATGCTAATATTTGTACTGCACTCAACTGGAAGCAACCAAACTGTAAGTTTCTCTCATTCATTAAGCGACGACATTCATTTCCTGACTGCTCTCGCCTAGATCCGGTCCTACTTTGCAATGACCTTGGACAAGCTCGTGACTTGGCCCGTAACCTCGACTCTCCTTCCCACGTTAACAGTAGTGGACGTGCTTCCATGTCGATCAAAGAATCTGCTCGAATTGCCCAGAGCAACAACTTCATGGGTCTGATCTGTCGGTCGAGTCTTTTGGTATGACTTTGCTTTTATGAGTGCTTTGCTTCGCTGGACACTTTTTTCCTAACTGAGTTGGTTTTAGAATGTTGTTCCGGCACTTGTTGAGACCATCAAAGAGCTTGGTCTTGTGTTGGTGGCTGACACCTCGGATGAGGTCGGCCAGCTCGATCGCAATGACCCCTTGTCCACAACCGACACCATGGGTGTCGCTGAATGGGCATATCGGATGCCTGATGGTGTGAACGGCGTCATGAAAGCCAACGGCATCTTACGATTCAATGACATGATCGACATGTAACCGCCTAGCTCCGGCCTTGATCCCTTCGCCTGTTCATACGCCTCATTGATGCCTTCAACTACGTTGTGTTACTCCCTCCCTCCCTCCTCTGAGACGAAGTCCACGAGTATTAGTAGCTTTATTCTGTTCGAGGTCATGTTTACGAATTTGCTTTACTTCTTGATCATGTGTTCTTCTCCTTTCCCTTTTCCCTTTCCCTTTTTTTTTTTTTTTTTTTACTTTTTTTTAACCACAGGGGATCATTTTCCTCACGAGTTGCAATCTCAAACTCCGATCTTGGCAGCTGTATCAGTCTTTTTTCTTCATGTTGGCGCTGGGTTAGATGGGTCTCTCAGAGGTTGGCTCTGGTGTATATCATATCATGTAGATTGAGTGGGGAAGGCACCAGGGAGTGCGCCGGATTAGATCTAAAATGGCTAATGTACAATTCCCCCGAAATAACCCCTGGATGCGGTCTTCGCTATGCTATATTTAATCATACAATCCCCTTTGTTCATAAGTTGCCAAGTCCTTCAAGCACTCTTCGGCTTACGCTTTCCAATGTCCCAACCCCAACGTCGCAGCACCTTCACCACCTTCGGCGTCACGGCAGCCGTCAATGGAACTCGGATGAAAATAAAACTCTTGTGGATCGCATAGGCCAAAGCGAGCTGGGTCCAGATACCTGAACCGACGTTAGAAAATGAGATCAATCTACCAAGAAATAGGACAGAGTCGATTGACAATGAAGGGGGTGACGTACTGGCTTCCGCTTGGTTGGCTTCCTCCGCACGAACCAGCGAACCCGGCGTTTCCTCTCCCTCGCTCTCCGGTTGATTATCTTTCTGGGGCCATACAGATGGGAATGCGCTCTTCACGTATCCCACCACGACATGCTCGAAGTGCCCGATACGATCCACGCCCAGTAACCGCACAGCGACGAAGCAGAACGGAAAATCCAAGGCCGAGAGACCGAGATATACGCCTAGAGCCGCCCATCCATATTCACGGGATAGCTTGCGCAATCGCGCGGAAAGCGAGTTGCCTTCCTTTTCAGCCTCTGCTCCGGGTTTTGCAGACCCCGAGTTAAAGCGGCGGTTGAATGGTCGTTTCGGCAGGCGGATTGAAGAGAGACCCGGTCGAGATTGTGGTGTGATCCTACTCATATAACGGGCTGTGGTGGTCATAGATCGCTGTGTTGCCGTCTGGCTAGCAGCCTGGATGCGAAGAAAGGGCTGGCGGCGCAGGAGGGCGAACGGCTGTGCCGACGGGACACTTCGGCTCAGGGTTGAGGTTCTTTGCAGGAGTTCGACTGGCCGGGCGAGCCAACGCGAGAGAAGCAATGGCTGTAGAGACATTGTGTTGGACGATGCCGAGAGTTTTCAGGGTGCTTGAGAATAGGGACAGGGCGATGTAAGGTTTGTCCGAATGATTCTTTTTTTTTTGTCGGGAGATCCTTCCCGGTATTTTCGGCTGCCGCGCTCCGATCGGCGGGCGTTTGGTGACGCGCCGTTCGGAGTTAAAGAGTTACCGCCCTTACACTCAAGATGACTTGAGATGAATGGTCGGAGTGGGCTGAGTGCCCAGATTATTGAAGAGATGATGTCTTTCTTATTGGAGGATATTAAAGCAGGGCTCTGCTTTGTGGCTTCGATTTGTTGGTTTCAATTCAGCACACTGGTATATTTCGGATAGTACCTCGGTATAGTAGCGATCGATCAGAGGGTTCCTTGTTTTCCAGTAGTGAATGATAGATCATTAGCTCTTAATCACTGGCAGATAAGAGCACAGAGAATAGTTACAGTATTGTTCACCAGTACAGAGCTATCTCCAGAGCTCGTTGTTTACTGCAAGTTTCATCGAGTTGAAATATTGGTAAAACACCATGCAAAGTCTTTCCACCTCCCTCTGGCTAGCATCAAATCGCTTAATTAATTTGTGATGACCCAAGTAATAATTTGATCCCTCGCTCCTCTTTATTCAAGAGAGTAGTTGAGTCTGGATCTGTCTGTCTCTTGTTCTTGTTATAGTTCAGGCCGGAAGGCATTTATGGCTGACTCAGCAGCGACCAAAAACTTCCCATCCCATCGACTTCACAGAGCGTCTTCCAACACCCCAGTCCCAATCATGTCGCCACGCCTCCCTGGGAAGCTGCTTCAGTTTTCCTCGGTCCTTTGGGACTCCCAATTGGCCTTGCCTCGTGTCACCGTACGCTCATTTGGCATTCGGTCCCTCAATCCACCCAAACCCAACCGATTCAATGTCTCCCCCGACCTCCCCGTGCTCGAGTCTACGTCGACCGCAGCCCTCCGCCGCAAGGCTAATTCTCTTCCTCTCCGTTCTGGCGCGATTACGACCAAAAAGGGCATGACTGCCATCTTTGACCAGGAATCCGGCAAGCGCATCGCATGCACCGTTCTTCAATTGGACCGCGTTGAGGTCGTTTCACACAAGACCCGCCAAAAGCACGGCTATTTCGCTGTCCAAGTAGGAGCGGGCTGGAAGCACCCCAGCAATGTCAACAATGCTCTGCTCGGTCACTTCTCCGCCAACGGCATCTCCCCCAAACGCCATGTATTTGAGTTCCGCGTCAAGGACGAAGCTGGTCTCCTGCCGGTTGGCGAGAGCATCCGGGCTAGCTGGTTCCAGGAGGGCCAATACGTTGACGCTCGCTCCAACACGAAGGGTAAGGGTTTTGCAGGTGTCATGAAACGACATGGCTTCCACGGTCAGGACCGCAGTCACGGTGTCAGTTTGACACACCGTTCTCTTGGTTCAGCCGGTCCAAGTCAAGGTGGTGGTTCGCGCGTGTACCCGGGCAAGAAGATGGCAGGAAACATGGGAAACACCCAGAACACAGTCCAGAACCTCAAGATTCTCAAAGTTGATGCAGAGTCTGGAATTGTGGTCGTGAGTGGTAAGGGATACCCCCTTTACGGCTTTCTATCCGATTTGTTCGATCGATTACCTGTTACTAATGTTGCTGGCCAATTCTAGGTGCTATTAGTGGCCCCAAGGGTTGTGTGGTGAGAATTCAAGATGCGATCAAGAAGCCGTGGCCTGAAGTTGCATCGGTCGAGTCCGCTGCCGTGGTGTGATTCATGATATGTGAATCTTGGCGGAGAGAAAAACTTCCCAGGGTTGGGGGAGCATGTACTACTAAACCATTCGCGCAATACTTCTTCACTTGAGCGGCGTTTGTATATGATACATCAAATGATATCCTTTTCTTCTTCACACCTCTCCCCATCATTCTTGAGAAAACCCCAGTCACTCCACACTTCGGATGGGTATTGCAAACAAATAACCATAAAAAAAAGAAAAAGGAGAAGAGAACGGAATAAGAACCATGAAAGATTTGCCCAAACGCCTGATTCCATGCACTCAAATTTCTATTTGTACAGACCCTATCTCAAACCATCTCCTTTTACTGCTGTCGGAAGGGATCGGTATCGCTGTCAAGCAGTTGCACCACGGTGCCATCCTCGGTCTGGAGACTCCATTCCTCAGTGTGGAACTGTACAAGCATGATAAATTAGTCATTGGGAGTTACTCAAACAATATGGGGCCGCTCTTGTATGAACAGAGGCATTAAACAGCTGTAGGAGGACTTACGAAGCTCATACGATCCGGCCGAATGCTCCGGAATCGCATCTTGCCCTGGCCTTTAGTGCCTTTGACCCAGAATGAGATATCAATGCGTCCATGGAGCTGGTTCATCTCCCCACTAATCCATGGGATCTGCTGGGCAAAATAGATTTCATCGCCCAGGATTTCCCGCGCCTGCGGCGAAGTTCGCAGTGCATAGAGGGTGCTGCTAACAACGCTTGAGGAAGATTTTTGGTAATTAAAAATACCGAGCATGGCGGCGCCGACGGCAACCACGAAGATCGGCAGGGTTCGCAGCCAGCGTCGGCTGGTGTTGATTGTTGGGAGTTCTCGGTCTGCCCGTCGTTCCATCAGTGGCCCGGTATTCGGACCCGGAGCGGGAATTATCGTGCGACGGGGAGGGTTCCAGCGCGCGCCTGGCAAGCGGGCGAGGCTGACACGCCGGGGAAGCGCACGAGAATATACCATTGCGGATTGGCGATGTGGGAAAGCCGAAAGAGATTGAATGTTGGAGAGGGAATTGCGGTGGGTTGAGTTTCTGGGGCCCTAGCACCGCACCTGATAAAAAACCGCCAAACAAGACAAACAGCCGAATGTCACCGTCCACCTCCACACTTCCATCCATGATATGATACAAGAGCTCGAGTCTTCGAACATGGCGACGGTGCGACTGCGCAGGGCGTTTCGCTATCCCGACGACTCAGACGGACATGAAGAACTCGATGAACAGGAGCAGGAGCAGCTGATTCAGCAGTTGCAGCATCAGAACAATGCCCGCAACGCCCAGTACAGTGTAGATTACTCCTACGTTCCATGATTAAATTTGGGAGAGAGAAACTGAAGAATCTCTAGGTCATATTCACGGTCATTTCACTGGTACCGGTCACAGCCTTCCTGCCTTCGATGCTTACGACAGGTAGCAGTCTGATGGAACGCTTCCTCTCTCTCTTGAGCATCCTCTCGCTGCTTGTAACGGCATATATAATGCAGATCTCTCCTCTTCACCCGGATCGCAAGGGTAAAGGACCCATGATGGTCGATCAAGAACATTTCTCTTGGCTCCGTTCCAACCTAGTCCCAATGAACGGAATGCTTGGCCTGCTGCTGACCCTGGCCTATCTCTTCTCCGGACTGGGCCTGACATTCATGATCCGGCCTGTATTATATCTGATTCCTGGTGGTATGTGTCTCCCCTTCTGCCTGTCGTTACTCTTTCGTCTTTTGGTTCCACATGAGCTTCTCTTACCTTTGCTTGGCCTCTATAGCTTTACTAGCAGCTATTTTAGTAGCTCGAAAAACCATGCTTTCGGTGGATCTCTCAACCCTCAAAGACCTGCAATATGAGTACAAAGGCGCATAGAGTGACCACCTTTCTGAGTATAGGACTTCTGCACTAAGAACAACGGGGCTCTAGATCCAGGAAGCATCGCTTACAGATGTAATAAATACGGTGGTATTTTAGTTAACGGAGTCCGATTTCGTTTCAACGTGAGAATTGTGTAAAAAGCCCCGGTAACATCTCAATACATCATCCCCGGGGCACAGCATATGAGAATCACAAGATTACTGGCAGGACAGGTTCTCTCAATCCACCCCTTTGCCCATCTCGGACGTTGTACAAGTATTTCCTCCTTCATCACTTTGCTCCTGTGCACCCTGGTCCAGATACAAGAAAGACGAGTCAAGGCCCAATGCCGGATCTACCGGAATGATTCCTTCGGGACTCCCGTTTGTCGATAAGCCGGAGTAATCGGGGCTGGGATCCATGGGCGAAGAAACACTGAATCCCACATGGATGTCATTGTCCCTCAGGTGCTGATCGCGCTGTTGCTCTGCATCATGCTGCAGACGCTCCAGTCGACGAGCAGTATCATCACCGAACTGCCTGAGCAGTGATCTGTTCGACACTCGCAGGTTGACCAATGACTCGACACTGCGTGGATCCGCAATCTTTCGAGTATCATGGCCCAATAGGATATTGTAGGGCTCATGAGGGTTCATTGTGGGATCCTTTCTGCACAGTGTACAATTACATTTTTTCTGACACTTGGGGCACAGCCAATGGGGGCGATCCATGGCATCCTGAGGTGAAATGTCAAAAGCTCGGAACAGACTACCATAGCAGTACTGCAATTTGCATTTGTCACACGATGCCATTTTCCAGGGGTATTCGGCATTCCGACACATATGGCAACGACCACTCTTTTCTGAATTGGATTTCCCGCGACTGGTTCTTCTTCGCTTCCTAGCTTGGGTACTATCTTCAGAATCAGGATCTTGCTCGTTTGGGATTGCTTTTTTCAGCTCCTGTGGCTTGGGTTTGCTGCAATCCACCCAGGGTCGCACGAGTAGCTGCTCCTGACAGATCTCCGCAATCGTTTTTCGACCTAGTTGACCGCGAGCCACGATAAGGCTTGGGACCCTGACTTTGAGATCGTTTTTATCTCTCTTGTAAGCAAGGATTTGCTGCCGCCACGTTTCATGACGGCTGGTGAGGTCTTTCCAGCGAAATTGCTCCACCCAATTGAGATTTGAAATGCAGGCGCAGCTCCGGCCGAATACGTAGCAGTCCATGCAGATATCATAGGTATCATCTTCGGGTCCAATGCAAGACGGACAGGTGAGGAACCTATTGAAGATATTGCATCGACAATAGGAGCAAGTGATATTCCCGTCAAATTTAACAAACTCGGTGTTCTTTTCTGCAGGCTGCGTTTTCGAGAAACTCTCCGAAAGCAGAATATCGGTGTACAGAACGAATAATCGCTCAAAGTCGTTTTGGAGAAGCCGGACTTCCGGGTGATTGATGTCCCCAACATGCTGTAGCAAGTTTGAATACTTCTCAAGGGTGAAGAAAATAATTGCTTTGTTCTTGTACTGCTCGTCGCGGCAGACCAGTCGCGCATGAGCCAGGGCCTCATCTAACGCCATCTCTAGCGTGTCGATCGTTGTCCGGTTCCAGGCCACCTTCATTGTTCGGGTTCCGCGATTCCAGACTTGATGGGCGGCGAGAGGCGGAATCAGGATCAGATCTCCCGGCTTTTGCTCAACCACATACGTCGTGAACGGAGCGCCTCTCCAGGCGCTCAACTGGGCAAAGTGATCTTCCAAGTCGATATCGTGGCCTAGTGTCGACATCCAATATTCGGAGACCAGATGGCGGTCTTTGGTCTCGGTCATGAACCAGATAGAAGAGCCCGGCCTGGTAGCTTTTCCTTTGCTAAAAGACCCATCGGAAGCCTCGACCATCAAATTATGCCCGAGACTAGCACACATCTCCTGGTGTGCTGGTGTGTATGTTCCTTCATGTCCGATGTAGCACATGAGGTTCTGGGCTTGCATCTCGACCGGAAGACTGCTCATGAGGTCACCTGCCCGGGCGATCGGCTCGCCTTGCGGTGTGCTCATGTATTGTGACACCTGGCAATTTTTGGAACCCGGGCCACCAAAGGGCTTGGGGGATTGATTCAGGTAGAAAAATGCCGGCGGGATCAATTGTTCCAGCGATTGGCGCCATTCATTTGGACAATCAATGTCTTTCAAATATAATCGTTGTAGTCTGTTGGCAGGGTCTCGATCATTGCCTCGATCATTATATCGAGTCGAGGTAAACTGCTCCGCCAGGAGCCGCATATTGTTCAGATAATGCCCGAAGGACATCTCAAGGTTAGATCCTCTCCCGAGATCCCTAGCATGGTGAACTTCGTGGCGTTGCTGTTAGTATTTGAAATGAGAAATGAAGGTAAGGAGAGCCCTTTACTTTCTGCGGAATGCTTTTCATGTAGCCAACTTTCTGAGAAGAGTTGTTTGTCCAGCCGGTCTTGGAAACCTCTAATCACTAGCGGTATTCCTAGCCGCACAACGTAAAGGAGAACGAACTCCTCAAGATCTTCCCGAGGATGTTCGTCGATTGAGTTGCATGTGATGCTTTTGGCAAACTCGAAACTTGGAGTTCCCTTCACTATGTCGTCAACGTCTAGGTGAGGGGGCAGTGGTTCGAAGACTGCCCTCGTTTTCGGAGGCATCACGGTGATAATCCCGGCCAGGGAAGCTGTGACGTGAAAGTCAAGGACTGAGATTCAATCAAGGTGGAGACTATTGATGAGGAATGAAAGGTCTCGCCTTGGTAATCGCGAGGGGACATTATTTGGAGCCTGAGACAGAGATGATTGCGACTACCACACTCGAGCGGGAACGCCGAGTTTGTGGTGGATCCCTACCCAGGAGGTAGGCTCCTTTGTCGGCGTCAGTGCGTTGTAAGTGATGGAATCCTGTGAGTCGGCAGATTGATCCCCAGATGAGGAGGATCGCCAGTCGTCCAGGCGCGGCTGCGCAAACGGCGCGACTGAGCTCGCGCGTCAAGTTGCGGCCTCAGGCACCACACCGCGTGCTCCGCATGACATCGATGTTTTTCGGCTTCTCTTTCGACTCCTTGATAGCTTGTTTTCAAGAGACCAAAAGAAGCAAAAAATACTCGGAATTAATAAAAGAGGGCTGATCTCTCTGCCCGGAGGAAATAACCTTACCTATGTACGTACAAAACCAAGGTGAGCTGCAAAAGTACAGAGCCCATACAGTATGTACGTACTCCTGGACATGCGCTCCAGCCGATCTGTGGACCCTGTTGAATTCCCCAAACAGGTTTAGAGCCATCGCGGGTGGTTTTCTTGCGAAAGCTTTCCCACATGACGAGATCCAGATTCCCCGACTCACCAGCTCCAGTGCCAGCATCCGTTGGAGCTCAGGGGCGAACATGAATCGTTTTCCTTTCGCCAATTGACCCGCCAGTCCCGTCTCCTATCTTCTTTCGCCCACACCCCTCTGCCGCCGCCATGCTGCTGCTGTCCACTTCCCGCTCCCGTCTGTTCCGCCGAACCCAATTACCCCAATGCGCGCGCAGACAACCATACCTCGGTAGCCGAAGACACCATGGGCAGCTACCAACTCCCTTCTTCCGTCCTGGTCCATCATCAAGGTCTGTGACGCAGGTCCGTCCTTCCGGTGCGCCAGCACGGGTCGCAACGCTGTCATCCCTCCGAAGGGACAGCTCACAGGCGCACTCTCCAACAGCGGCATCCCCTATCAAGATCGATCCCAAAGAATCGAATCCGGCCACTCACTATATCCCGCCCCAGAGGGGCTTGGTCGCCTCTTTGCCTCGTTCATGGATCCCTTACGCAGAGTTGGTCCGGTTGGACAAACCTACGGGCACATATTATCTATTTTTTCCCACCCTGTTTTCGACTCTCCTTGCTGCCCCTATGGCCATCACTGCCACACCACTGCACGTCTTATGGACGGCTGGGCTCTTCTTTACCGGGGCCTTGGTCATGCGAGGCGCTGGGTGTGCCATCAATGATCTCTGGGATAGGAACCTCGATCCGCACGTGGAACGCACCAAGTTCCGCCCCATTGCCAGGGGGCCCTCCCCCCAAAAGGCGATCTTGTTCACTGGCAGCCAACTACTGGTAGGACTCGGGGTGCTTCTCCAATTTCCCTCTCAATGCCTTTGGTACGGAATTCCTAGTTTGCCCCTAGTCGTGGCGTACCCCTTGGCCAAACGGGTCACCAACTACCCCCAGTTCGTATTAGGATTGGCCTTCTCCTGGGGCGCTATGATGGGATTCCCGGCGCTGGGAGTAGATCTCCTAATCAACCATGATGCCCTGATGGCTGCCGGCGCTCTCTATTCAAGCTGCATTGCATGGACCGTGCTCTACGATATGATTTATGCGCACATGGACATCAAGGATGATGTCGCCGCCGGGATCAAATCAATCGCCCTTCGCCACGAGCATAATACGAAAGCCGTTCTATCTGGGTTGGCGGTCGCCCAGGTCGGCCTGCTGGGTGCTGCGGGAGTCGCTGCTGGTGCAGGGCCGATCTTCTTCATTGGGAGCTGTGGAAGTGCTATACTTTCCCTGGGCCTCATGATCTGGAAGGTTCAGCTGAAGAATGTTCGAAACTGTTGGTGGTGGTTCAAAAATGGATGTCTTTTCACCGGAGGGGGATCTCCTTAGGTCTTCTTGGGGAGTATGGAGCCCAATACCTAGGTTTGTACGATAAACCGGAGCCCATGGAGCTCTCATCTCGCGGCTAATGATCGGGAATGGGTTTGTATATTATCACCTAAGATTGGGAGGACTTGAATACCCTTTCAAGCAATGTAAGCTATAAGGAGATTTTAGTCAACGAAGTTTTGAGTTTTGTCCAGCTTTGCAATGGCGCCTATCTGTCGACTGACAAGTGAGACGGGGTTTAACCGAGGGAATTTGATATATATGAAGAATTTTAGGAACAAATAAATAAATAAAACAAGCAGTTCAGGCTCAAGAAGTCCATCATAAATCATCCTCATTTCATCGGAATTATCTATGCGGAGATCCGAGTGGGGCGCATCGACGCAAGTGCACCAACGACAGCGGAGATAATGAATTAGTAAAATGTATTTGGCACGGCCGTCATCAGCCGAGTTCAACTTCCTCCTCTTAGTTTCCTTCCCCAATCATCCAGGCCGATATGTTCTCCCGAACCCTTTCTGCGGTAGGAGGCCCTTAGAATATCTCTTCAGATTTGGTCAGCTAACTCCTTCCGTGGTAGGCATTCCGCCCCATCTCGCGGCCGACAGCTCTGCGCCCGGTCCGCGTACTGGCCATTCCCTCCATCCACCATGCCCGCCTGTTGTCCTCAGAGACCCGAGCTGCTATCGACAAAGCGGTGTCCTCAGCGCCGGTGGTTCTTTTCATGAAGGGTACCCCTGAGACCCCCCAGTGTGGCTTCTCGCGTGCCAGCATCCAGATCTTGGGCCTCCAGGGTGTTGACCCCAAGAAGTTTGTGGCATTCAATGTGCTCGAGGATCCCGAGCTGCGACAAGGTAAACGACCGTCTTGACCCCTTACATGAGACCCATTGGACGTGCTGACAAGGCTTTGGTAGGCGTGAAGGAGTACTCGGACTGGCCGACCATCCCCCAGCTGTATCTTGAGAAGGAATTCGTGGGCGGCTGCGACATCTTGATGTCCATGCATCAGAACGGAGAACTGGCAAAGATGCTTGAAGAAAAGGGCGTTCTTGTGGCTGCAGACGAATAAATAGGCTTCCGGCGGAGAGAAAATTGCCCTTCTCCTGTCGCCGTGGATCGCTCTATGTGTACAATTAAAATTAATGGAAACTTACTCTATATCAGGCTTGGTATAACTACTGGCATTCTTCCCCCTTCCTCGCCATTACATTTCATTTGGTTTCAACATTCCCCTGGTCTTCTCAACTCAGCAAAATTCTCAGACACGAGCCCTAGCAAGGCAGTCCTGTGCTAAGCAGATGTTACGAAAATGGTATTATCTGTGTGTTATATCAATTTTTTTGTAGAAAATGGAGGGGAAAAAATTGTTGGTATCTATCCACAAACCCCTAGTTGATGAGGTTCATATGTACAGTTGATTTGTTTCACTTCTTTGTGCCTCACTTGCACAACAATTATTCCAATGAGAGAAAATCAGCCTAACCAGATGCTGCTTCTTGAGACTTGACCAACTCCTCCGCCACGCCTTTCTCCAGCTTGGCACGTTGGCGAGCTTCATAGGCCTCTCGGCTTTTAAGGATACGGCCAACAATTTCACCGGCATTCACATGCTGGAAGGCATGCTGCTCCACTTCCTGGAAAATACCCATTTTCTTCGGCGCAGAGTAAGGGTCGTAAGTCAAGGGAATGAAAGTTGTAGGGCCATGATACACAACATCCGGCATGCCTAGAGGCATAGCTTGGAGATAGGGCCGGCTGGGGGTGAAAGGAGCAGAAAAGATGACCGCATGGATGAACTAGTCATCATCAGCAATCAGAATCTTGTCGACTGGTGGAATTGGGAATCAAGTCGAAAATAGCGAGAAGGAAAGGGCATATTAGCATATACTCACTCGACACTGCAGGACACATAGCCCACGCTCGAACACATTCATAATTGGGTAGTTCAGCCCCTTCCAGTGGTTGATCACATCATCATCATGGATACCCGCCACAATGTATGCAGGTGCATAGTCTTCGTGGTATTCCTCAAGTCGTTTTTGCTTCTGGTCAGGATTATACCAGCCGCGACGGCGACCCTCGGCCTCTTCAAGCGCCATCACCTGTCGGAGAAATTCGATGTGGCCGGACGAGAAAAGATCAAAGCCGCCGTCAACATAGACAATCCGCTGGCCAGGCTTGGGGCCTTTTCCATCAATAAGAGTTTCAAATAAGCCGGCTTCCTCTATCCTGTCATCGATCTTAGCCGTTCCAGAGCCCGACCAGGTCCAAACCTGAGGTCCCGGCTGCAGACCACTCTCATCCGTAGCATAGTCCTTGATTCGCTGCAAAAGATCCTCGGCAGCCCTCTTCCGTTCTTCCAGGCTTCCCGAACCCTCCTCTCCAGTGAGGGATTTCTTGACGGACTTGACAAAATGGTTCTTCGTGCATAGAAGCATGCGGCCGACAAGATCGGTCGTGGAAATTCCGGGGGTCCGTTTGACGACTTTGAAACGGCCAGCAGCTTTGACATATCGATAACAATCATTTCCATCGCTGTCGGAGGTGATATCATCGCCATGGACGACATATTTGCAGCCGTAGTGGGAGACCCAAGGCAGGTAGGTCACGTAGGGTGCATGAGGAACACTCTGTGTGGCCCATCGACAAGCCTCGACGGCCGCAACCCTGGACGGTAAAAGTAAGAGTTGTTAGCATGGCTTGAAAGAAAAGATTCCAAAGGTATATATATTGTGGAGTCTCCTCACCGTTCATCCAGAGACATTACCGTAGGACCCTTGTTCTCAAGGATAGCCTGGTCCGAATGAATCCCCACGAATAGTTCCTTGCCAAGTCGACGAGCTTGAAGCATGGCACCAGCATGGCCTATAGAAGAGACTCGTCAGTAAAAAATTGAGAAGCCATGAAGGATGTTTCGTGTCGCTCTTTCTACCGTGGTGGCTGAAGTCGAAGCATCCGTCGACCCAAATTCGGTCCTCGGAGATGGGAACATCCTCCTGGGGATCAACAGGCCATTGGCCAGGCAGGGGGGTTTGTTCGTCGGGGGGATTCGTGTCCATTGGGCAATATGGCTTCAATTAACTCTTGTAGACACTTGCTGGAGAAATTGAAGGAGTGAAAAGGGTTCTGGGGCCAAGGGTTCTAAGAGGGGCAACGGAGGGGCGAAGCAGAAAAGCGCGGAGGTCAATTACAATGCGTGGCTCGAAGGGATCGGAGGGGCTGTGGGGAACTCCAGATCTCCTGAGTTCACTTCGGACCGCATTGTTCTCCCGAGATTACACCCTCTCCTCACTTTCTGACTCTCCTACTCTTCCCTCTGTCTTGTTTCTTCGAGACTGCTGCTATCGTCGTTTTTGTTTTGGATTCTGCTGTCGTTCCCGCGCTGCGCATCTCTGTCTCGGTTGGGGGCTACCCCCCCCCCCCCCATCTGCCCCCCTGTCCACGACCCTACCCATCACCGAACACGATATTGCTCTTGACTTGGAGAACCAGACGTCTATCCACCACGATGATGTCTTCCACGTTCGCCCCGAGCCTTACGCGAAGAGACACGGCCAAATCAGGCACCGGATATGAGAATGCTCATGGCGGAATTCCTCCTGTCAGCGGCGGAGGGGGCCCGTTTGGGCCCCAAAGTGCCGGAGCTATCTACCAACAAATTCATGATATGGCTGCGAAACGGATTTCCACTTTAGACTATCTGAGGAAGGCGTACGTGAATCCCGTTTTTGGAGTTATATGCCACAATGGATAACTGACACGAAACGCCGACTTGTAGTCTGGAGGGTCGCGTTTACTGGTTCAATACCGTACATTTCTCTCGAGCCGATATCAGTCGCCTGCCATACTTCGAGGCTCGAAAGCTCTCTCGTCGGGCCGTCAACTATCTTCTCCTTGGCCTGTCCCTTCCCCCGATCCTCGACGTCAATTCAACCCCATTCGAGTATCTCAAAGTTCTCAATGCCCTTTTGATGGAATTCGAAGCCTTCCAGCAAGTACATCCTCCCGATGGCACCTCGTCGTCAAGTCTTGCCAGAGCACGGATACCTCAAATGTTCAAGCGAGCAGCTCATGCTGGTACCAAAACCCGGAGAGCCAGCTCCGCTACCGAAATCGGACTGCCGATGCAGACCAGTGATCCCTCCGATCTTAAAAGTGCTGCTGGGAATGTCGCATCGCCTTCGACAGCTACCGCTGCTTCGGTGATATCATTTCCTTTGACAGAGTCCTCCGATCTCCTGCCAGGTGAAGAATACACCTATCTGCTAACACCTTCATTGCCTTTCGAACCGGATTTCTTCGAGACCTTCGCAACTCTCTGCGATGTATTGATCGATTGTTATAGCCGTATCACGACATTGGTCTCGTCTCCATCCGTTTGCACAGTAGCATTGGGAGAAACGTTCTCCAAGGCAGATGCAAAGCTCCGAAAAATCATGGTGGCAGGAGCGGTTCGAGAATTTGAAGACGCAAGTCGAAATGGAGTCAAAAATGAAGTGGCTGGTGTGAGCCGCGTGGTGCTCGGCGGACTTCTGGGCTAGTCTTGATTATAGTCTCAGCCGAGTTCAGCAGTCCCGGCTTGGTGCGCTTTGGTAAGTCATGTTATTTACGACCCACGAAAGGTGTTCTAGGAGTTTGTATATTACTGGGGCACGTCCGCTCTGTCTCGGTTTGAAAAAAGCTTCAAATCTATGTTCGAATTTCTCTATGTATCTACTTCTGTAATGTGTAAAGTGGATATCAATATCGCTGGTGCCGAGGAACTAAGAAAGAAGGAAATAAACGAAAAGAAAAGCTCGCTGTAAACAATCATGGGACACTTTTTGTTCCGACAAGGGGTCGTAAAGCCATGGGCATAGGGATCCGTAGTAGTTTTCGACTTGTGGAAACGTAGAACAAATGATCAGAAGAAACGCCGTAGGACACCGTAGGCTTCAAGATGCTGAGAAAGAAAGGAAAATAAAGGACGCCGGGATATGCAATCGCTGGATGCAGAAACCAGGAAGAGGAGGGGTAATGTTTCCAAGGTTAAAGGTCGGCAGCAGGATTTAGGACTGAAGTCGTTGGTTCTCCAGATCGCGTTGCTCCCCGAACACGCGACGGCTCATTTCAAGAACGGTTTCAAATCCCTCACGACCACGCTTGGCATTCTCTCGGAATCTTTCCACGCTTGCCTCCTCCACCTTGTTCCTGATTTTTTGCCAGCCACCGCAGAGGGCAGTGATCTTGGCTTCTTGATTGAATTCCGTTGTAGTCTGAGGTTCGATGCCTGACGGCTGGTACACAACAGTTTCCCGAACGCTGAGCACATTTGACCAGGTAAGGTTGGTGGAGCACATGGTAACCTTCTTGGCCACCGGATCAACGTAGGAGATCTCGTAGACGTGGGAAGTAGCGCTTCCACCAAATAGAGAAAGAACCCATTGGGGAACAGACTGGTCGCAGGTTATAAGGCGTTCTGTCCGCAACTAAAGAGATCGGTTAGGTCACGAGTTCCTGCGGCCTACTAGACGCGCCAAAAATCACTCACAATGCCAGTCTGAGGGTCGACGGTTCGAGAGAGAGTATCAACACCCACAACATGGGTAGCCTTGTCATTCCACGGGCAATATTTGCGCCAGTTGGCCGTGGATACTTCATCCCATGAATAGTCAAATGTGCAGGTCGACGAAAAAACCTTCATGGTGCAAGTGACAGCGCGCTCAACGGATGAGTCGCTCTCGCAGGTAAGGGAGGGTCAGCGAAAATCTGAAGAAAGACCGATACAGTGTAGCAAAATCAAACGAAGTGGCGCGATGGAGAAAGATTGAAACAAAAAAAGGATGAGTCAGGCTCAGCGAGGGGAAAAGATGGGGAAGATGTGGGTTTTCGGTGGCGATCGTGAAGGAACGTCAGATCGAGTTTTCCTCGCGGGTCAGGGCAGCCCGAAAGGCGCCGTGGGTCGGGTCTTCCCGGTCCGCTTATGTAATGACAGGTGCACGGGGGCGCGACCTGGAGATCGAAGATCGATCTAGTTCTAGCGCTTGCTCGTTCTCTCCTTTCCTCGCTCTCTTGAATAATCGTGTACGCTGCCCTTCAGCAACTCTGACTATCCATTCTTGTTCTTCGGGACCCCTTCACCCACATTTTGCCATGGTTGAGCTTCGTGAGCGCAAGCGCAGAGCTCCCGAACCTCCTGTTGTCGCAAAAAGAAGCAAGTCAGCTTCCAAACCCAAGGAGACCAAACCCAAAGAAGCCGACAACAAGGATCAACCCTCGCCATCAAAGGTACCCCAGGTTGGCGATTCTCTTGATCTAGAGGCATTTGGTGGTGAAATTGAAATCAACGATGGTACCACAACAACCTTGAAGAAGCTCGTCGAGGAGAGCACATCTGGAGTGGTTCTATTTACCTATCCCAAAGCTTCGACTCCCGGCTGTATGCTTTCGCTCTCTCCCTTTCTTGTTCCGAATTCTTTTCGCCTCGCCAGTTCTGGAGAGAAGCTCACCGATTTGGACAGGTACCAAGCAAGTCTGCTTTTTTCGTGATAACTACGAACACTTGACTTCGACCGGACTGGCTATTTACGGTCTTTCGGCCGATTCAACCAAGGCCAATACCACATTTAAGACCAAACAAAACTTGTCCTACTCACTCCTTTGCAACCCCAATGCATCCTTGATAGGAGCTATTGGGTTTAAGAAAACTCCCAAGGGAACTATCAGAGGTGTCTTCGCCGTAGACAAGGAAGGCAAAGTTTTGCTCCGAGAGGTCGGTGGTCCGGAAGCAACTGTGAACGCCGCCCAAAGGCTGGTGGCTGAAAATGCGAGTCAGAGCACTCTTCCGGATAAGGACAGTAGTGAGGCTTAGGAGTCGACCTTGGGCCGACCAAGGAGGATCTTGTTTGTATTGTCGGTCTCATTCATGGAAGCCTTAGCAAGTGGTATACCACTGTCCTTTTCGGACATTTCGAGTTGAAAGGGGACAAGATTTCGCCTGGATTTTATTTACCAGCGTCCCGTATTCCAAGTTGTCTGTTCCCCTTGTCCCATATCCCTGGAAGTCTTCAATGGACCCTCAGGTCACCTTCCCAAAGTACTAGGCCGCGGACCTCAGCCAACAGCCGACTTGTCCGCGTCCTATCTGTAATATATTAATACCTGTCGGCATATGAAATAGTTGGTAATACAGAGGCACCTAGGAGATTTACAGCCCTGGGCAAGGTGGGGTTTTTCTTATTGATATTGTGCAGATTATCATGACCAGCCTCGTTTTATCATTGCTGTATGATTAGGCACGGAGGGAGAGACCCTCTCTTGATGTTAGGCAGGTGCTAATTTTTAAAAAATGGTATATGATCCTTATGCGGCCTTGAGGTCATCAAGTAGCAATAACCCAGCCCTTCAAGTTGGGGCAGTTGGATTAGTAATGCCTCGAATAACTATCGTTGTTGCGGCCTGAAGCGGCCGGCGGAAATCAACTATCGGAATAACTATAATCCGGTCCGCTACTCGCACCCCGAGTTACCCTGATGTGCCGCATTGTGAACTCCAAGCCCATCATATACGCTGAAAGGATCTCAAGGACTGCAAGAGGTCAGTCAACTGCTCAATTGTATCTTCCTTGCTTTCTTTCTCCTGGTCTGTGGAGGATCAAGAAACCTTGAACTGATCGGGAAGTGCAGGTCAGAGTCTTCATCATGGCTCGCGATATCTTGAAAGCCGCTCAGTCGGCATCCCATGTGGTCTCAATTTCACAGGTAAGGACTAATCGCTGGCCAGAAAGTTGAAGGATGAGAAATTGATCTCTGGCGATCATAGAAATACTCAGTTCGGTCCACTGGTATTTGGGAACGTCTTCGTCATCTTCTCGCCGTTGATGCCAATCGCTCCACTGGTGTCCCATTGAACTCGCAGTATCGCCTCCCAACCCCGGGTTCTTTGCCTCCTCTTTCTTACGATGATCCTGTCACTTTACCGGCCGGTGACATCGCCGACAACCCATACTGGAAACGTGATACTCGAAGAAATTACCCTCAGCTGAGCACCGTCAGCCAGGCTGATGCAGTGAGTCTTCTCACGGTTGGAAGTCAGGCTGCTCCCAAGGATGATGTCCTGCAGATTGGTGAAGCAGGCGAGAAGCAGCTAGTTGAAGTCAGAGAGCAAGGTGAAGAACGCGGCTTGGCTGCTCTGTTCGAGAAAGATAAGAAGAGCATTCAGGGTGTATTGGCAGCCAATGGCTTGCCCCCTACCCCATGCAATCTGAACACTGCTCCTCTTTCCTCACAGCCCAAGTATGAGATTGACCGCGATCACGGTTATCCTGATGTGTATGGGATCTCCCTCCCCTTATTCGGGACAATAATGAAAAAGCTAACCATATCGGCTGTTTAGGTATCCCTGCCGCACCTTTGTCTGATTAGATGGATTTTCTCTTCAAGAATATTTCGAAATTGTCCACCGTGACACAATGATACAATTACCTCATCACAGACCTATTGATTCTCTCTCTTTTTGGTCACACGCATCGTAGTTATCATCCTCCGGGACTACCCACAAGAAATAAACAACAGGAGATGGAGATTATAAAGAGCTTGATATAACGAATTGTTCACAGTTTGTCCAATTATGTCCACAGCCCTTCGTCTGCTTCGAGCTGATTAGATTGAATTATGGTGAGCAAAGTAGCCAGTCGAGGGGTCGTGCCTCTCCGAGACATGTTGAAATTGAAGGGAGCGGGAATAATTGTCTTTTCTCTTGTAAGAAATGGGGTATTGTGTGACTATTCATATGCACCTGTCTCCTGATAACTGGATTTCACCGTCCCGGGCTCTCCAGGATCTATCTGTGGATAGGTCTCATCTAGGATATACCCTATCTACTTATTTACTACGAGACTGAGCAGTCTCAACTGATCTTATAAAGCTGGCCAACTTTTTTCGTGCCCCTTATGTGCGATGCTCTTGGTATTTTGGTGTTGGCATACATCCTATCCGTATATTGATCATTGCAGTATTTTTACTTCAGTAAGGGTTTGAAAGCTGGATATCTGATATCATGAACTTGCACGAGCGACAGCATAAATTGATTTGAAGTCTAATTTTACCTCAGTATCGAATGGATGCGGGATATTGATAGTCTCGGTGTTGAAATGGCCCCTCGCGAAGATAGACTACCATGACCCTTACGAAACTTATATCTACCACGTAGTGAACCTGGATTATCTCTTTATTGTAAAGCCAGGTATTCCAAACTTGATAGGACACAAATCTTTAGTTCAGCACGAATCGCAAAAATAAAAGCTCTCCACTTCTCGTTCAAGTACGCCAACATAACAGTGTGACAGCAATCGTAGCTATACAGGCCTTACGCCTTTTCACATCCATATTGTTCATGATCAACGTGAGAGATGAAGCTTCCTCCATATTTCATTTTAATCAAATGGGTGAGTACGAGTACCCCACCAAGTCAGGAACAAACTAAGCCCGACGGTCTCGAACACACGGGAGACAGCGCCAACCGCAATGGTATCAAGAGGCCGCTTCTCGGCAAAGAGCTGGCTGACGAACTATGAATGGAGATGGTTAATGATAAGGGAAGCGCCTTGGAGGCTCTCCGAAGGAGAAAGTGTGGGACATACACTGGGAGCAGAGCTAGCAAAGAATATCAGGGTGCCAAGATACGCCGCCCCCTTGTAGCTTAGGGTGCCAGTTGCGTTGATCAATGCGGCCACTCCATAAGTCTGGACCGCACTTCCCACGAGGGAGCTTCCCCATGCAGCGGCGGCACCGGCGGCTTCTTTTGATTTGATGAACTCTTCCTTCGAGTTGGCGGCCTGGGCGCGATGGTAGGTGTCGCCAAAGACGGGAGCAAGGATACCCAAAGAAGCGGTATGGGTGAAGAAGGTACCCATCGCAATGGCGGATGGCTTCACCGGGGGCAAGTCTAAGCAGAGGTTAGCAAAGTCTGATTCTAATCGATGTTGATGTCGAGTAGCGCGAAGGTCACCGGGATCCTCACAATGTAGGGTCGTCATGATGGATAGATGGATCTGATGATCAAAAGGTTACACTGATGGGACAAAATTGTCGGTAATAGCAGCGAAGGCGGCCTTTATAAAGGAGTAGACAAGGCCTAAGTGATCGTGGAAGGCATGGACATGCGGTGACGTCGTCATGATTCAGAGCGACCAAGTTATCAGATGACGTCAGGTCGCATGCCTCTTGGGCAGTTGACAGTGTGGAGGGGGAAAAGTGGGTCAAAAGGAGGGGGAGAATTTCTTGATTTCCAGTGGCATTGAAAGAGGGAAATCAGGGCTGTTCCAGGTATGGCTGAAGAACTTGCAATTGGAATCTCGAGGATGTTGAGATGGTCCAGACGCTGAAAGGTCACGGTCACGATGTGAACAGGTTGGCAAGTTGGCCATGTGGAGTTGCCAGATGTTGGTCCGATGTTACGCAGGATTGGGTTGATCATCGCAGCAGACAACGCACGGGCGCAAGCTTCTTTTCGCCTGCATGCTATGCCACTGGAACTGGATGCTATTGATTGGGATCTCTCGATCTCCAGGTCATGGCCACCGGAGGCGCTGGACTGGGGAGACCTCAATCAATTGGATGAAGATCATTTCCACGAGTTCGGGATTCCCCGCCAAAACAGAAATGAGCTCCTTTTTCAACCCACTCGCTCGTTTCTTTGCCCCACTCCGGGGTGAACGATGATCAGAATCCCAACTTGAAGGATCTGGTTTTCACGGCGGAAGACAGCACGAGCGCAAGATCGCAGGCGGAGAAGCTTCAGGAACTGGAGTCATGTGATCTCGAGCGATAAGGCGACGATATGCGATCCCGCACACGAGAATATTCCTAGTTCTTTTTTTTTTTTTGGAGAGAGAGAGATTGTACTCTCAATTCTTTCGACACACTTTGATCGTCGCTATCTGGTATCCTCTTGACTGCCGACCTTCTTCCAGCAACCCTCGGCAGAAACCAAAAGCCCATGGAGAGATCAGTGAGCCCTGAGTCCGATGCGGATGTTCCTTTTAAAGTAAGCGACTCGCTGGCCCCGCCCCGAATCAACAAAGCGGCGGGGACCTCCACCATCACGTTCGATGGACTTCTTGAAGAACCCTTGTTGCTCAAGGAGGACCTCAAGAATGGCTGTGGCGGTCAATTGTGGCCGGCAGGGATGGTTCTGGGCAAATATCTTCTCTCACAACATGCGGCGGATATGCGCGGGAAAATAGTGTCGGTAGTCCATGGATTCCCAGTGATCATTGTGGCTTTCCCTTCTCCTCGTGTGAACTAACTACTGATACATGATATAGAGTGGAACTGGGAGCCGGAGGCGGACTCGTAGGGCTCGCCGTGGCTCGAGGATGTGACATCGGGACTCCCATCTATATCACCGACCAACAACCCATGTATTCCCTAATGGAAGCCAATATCCAACTAAACCAGCTGCGGTCCAAAGTGACCGCCTCTGTACTAAACTGGGGAGAGCCGGTTCCGGCCCAGATCCCGCCCAAACCTGACATTATCCTGGCTGCCGATTGCGTCTATTTCGAACCCGCCTTTCCTCTCCTGATTGCCACTCTCCACGACCTCCTCGGCCCCGATTCCGTCTGCTACTTCTGCTACAAACGACGGCGACGAGCTGACTTACGTTTCATGAAAATGGCCAGGAAGGCATTTGACGTGGAACAGATTCGGGATGACCCCGACGCCGAGACCTACAATCGGGAGAACTTGTTTCTCTACACCATCCGCCTCAAGCACCCTAAGACCATCCCAACCGTTTCCAACCCATGCACATTATAGAAATAGCAGAGAAAACGGGCCATGACTGAATGAAACGATAGCATTATCCAACTCGTGGAGAAATGAAATTTGACCATGTAAAGGGTTGACTCCGAGTTCCATTTATAACATACAATGACAAGCCTCACAGCTTCAAAGCATCAGCGCGAGTCTTAGTACTGGCTTCTACTTTCCCTCCACTCATATCAGTGACTTGACCCTCTTTGTTTATCACCTTAACACCGCCCTTCGTCAAATCGGCCACCAGTTGCTTCTTATCAGCAGTCTTGCTTGTTTGGGATGCGACCCCTGTATCAGCCTTCTTCTGGGTTTTCTTCTGCCTACGCATCCGAGCTTTCTGCTCGCGACTCATCTCATCCTTGGCAATCGTGGCCCCGGTCTTCAGGACCACCTCTCCGGCGACTCGGCCATCATCACCGGGCGTGTAGATCTCCTGAGGAGCGAGTGCGGAGGGCCCGCCGGCGGCACTGCCAGCCGTCGGGCGAGCATCCTCAGTTGCAATTGTAGACACATCAGAGACGGTATTGATGGTCGCCTGGGGGGCCTGGGGTTTGTAATTCCAGTTGGACAAGAAATCTAACTGAGAGCTGATCTCCTTCCAGAGATTAGTCACCTCGGTATGCTCGCGCATGAGTTTTTGATTCTTCGGGTCAACGTAGTTTGGATCCGTAGCGCGAAGGTGGTCGGCTTCGTAGATTTCAGCCAGACTTTGCTGGGCCTTTGTGTCCTCCAATTCAAACCGACCTCGTCGTGAAGCCTGAGCGTCAACTGTCCCTGGGCGGCGACGGATCACTTCATCAAATTCCTTGGCAAGAATTCGTCGTTTAATGAGCGCTTCAATGTCCTCTGTAGTTTCGTTCGTCACAACAGGAACGGGCTTGCCCACCCTCTCGAAGTCAAGATCTTCTTCAATCAGCGAATTCATGGGTCGTTCAACCGCTCTGGCTTCACCAGCCAGCATCCATTCTTTCTTCGCGACATTCGCGGCCTCGAGGCGGCGAATCTCATCTGCAATTTGTGCTCGTTGCTTCTCGTGCGTGGACCGTCCACCTTGCAGCCCGCTAGTAGACTCTTCCACCTTGTCCTCCTCGCCCTCGGACTCATCGAATAAATCGCGCCGAACGTCGGCCATGGCGCGATCAACATCATCATCTAGCGATTCCTGGGTTGGCTGAGTCTTTGGAAGTGCCCGTATTTTCTTCGATGAGGGCTTGCGCGGAGGCGGGGCAAAGAAATCGGCATATCTAATGTCGTTGGCGTTGGTGAGACCGGACATGTCAGCCTCGTCAGTATCGGAGTCATCTCCATTGGAATCGGTATCGGACACTCCGTGTAGATCCATATTTCCAAAGGTTGGGCCTTCCTCTTCGCTGTCACCGTCCATTTCGTCACGCATCTCGTCATTGTCGTCTCCAATGTTTTGCCGTGGTTTCCTTGAGCTCGCATTGGCAACGGCCATGGAATTTCCAAGATCGAGAGGGTTGGCGTGCCAGTCAACCTCGTCATCACTCTCTTCATCTATAATGGCCCCCTTGGCGTCTTGTCTCTCCCACAATTCGGTTTGTTTGTTGAATTCGTCGATTGAAAAGAACCCGTCATTCAGCCCAAAGCGATCTTCAACATAGGTACCGGGATCAGCCTCAACCGAATCCGTCTCGGACATAGCTTCATCTGTCGCGCCCGCAGCTTCCAATTCTTCCAATTCCTCGAGTTCTTCCAGATCCTCCTCGGCGTCCTTATCGTCGAAGTCAGAATTATCTGAAAAGTGATCCGACATGTCATCCGCATCGTCGCTCTCAGATCCAGTATCTTCGAGGTCGGAGACATCCAATGATTCGGGAGATTCTTTGTCAGAGGGCAAGAGCGAATTATGGTATTTGCTAAGCAGTGTGACATCGCGCTCCACCTCGCTCCCCGCGGACTCGAGAATTCTGGTCGCTTGTTCCCAGATTTGGTTGGAAGTAAAACCGTCGACATAAAGACTCTTCAACTGTAGAGATGGGACATCATCTGATTCGGCATGGGCTCGCTTGCGCTTCTTGTTGGCTTTTCGACGAATAGCCTGACCCTCAGCAATCGATGTTGCCAATGGATCCAGAATTTGCTTCGCAGAATCTGCAATCTGGGTATGCAGGTGAATTGTCGGGTGAAGAAAAACCCATGGATTTGACAGCATCGCAGAGAAGGTTGCCTCTTTTGAATTATCGGGCCGTGACCCTTTCTCAGTTGTCGCCATCGAGATGATTGCAGGGAGATGTATGGCTGCGACTGTCAAGGGAATCTCAGGGAAGAAAAATTGTCGGATGGAGACGGGCCAGGAGCCAATCACACCCGGTGCGGCGATAAGATAAGGCGGGCTGAGTATTCCTGAGGCCGTAGCGACCAAACCAATACATTCGAACCCAGAGTCATGGCTTCGCAGTTGCGTGGATGGATAAAGGGATCGGAAAAGTCCATATACTGTCAGAAAAACTATTGGCAGTCTACCGTGCAATCTCTTTTTGGCAGCAGAAGTGTAACAGCCCTGCAGATTCTATCTTCAATCACGTGGTTGTTGTCGCCCTTTAAAGAGTTCGAATAGCAACCGATAATCCTATCCACGTCTGCTTTCTACGCACGACAAGTGGCTGGGAAGGTGTCTTCTCTGTATATCTCACTTGTAATGATACACAGCACGATGTACTCGGATTGATTCTTTGTAGGGGCGTATGTAGAACTCAACAGTGACGACAAACTACCATCATAGTCGCCATGAATCTTTACTTTGCCCCAACGTGGCAACAGGTAGCCACGCTGCTCTACTAATTCATCCAGTCTAAAACAGAGCAACAAACCAATTGTTCTATTTTGTGGGTCTAGTCCTTTCTAGACTTGCATGGATGCTGAAATATCGCCGTGCTCAACGCCACGCTCGAGAGACAACACTATATCCTGTGGCCACTGAAGAGAAAGCTTGGGCCAAAGATGTCTTGAGAGGATCTGGCTTCTTGTACTAGCAATCAAGATTCCACTAGAAGAGAAGCCCCGTGGTTCTTTTGAGAACCTCTCGTCTGTTCGAATGTCATGGTGACGAAGACGCATTTCGGGTTGCTTAAATAGCAACTTTGACGCTCAATCGACAATATTCTTTATCCTAAATATCTTGTTCTCATACGCACACCCTTCTTTCTCAATATTTTCTCAAAAATTTTCTTCCCTTTAATCATTCTCACTTCAAAAAAGATCCCCGGGATGCCGCCAGTTGCACAGTACACTGAAAGGCCAGCAAGCGGGTCTCGGTCCCAGTTTGAGCCAGGTAAACCTTCTCAGTTTCCGCTGATAAAGAAGAGTATTGATGTATGTTAAATTAATTAGGTCACAAGATTCCCATCCAGCACCTGACAAAGCCAGGTCTGCAATCTGACATGGAGGACCCCAAACCGGTCTCCACCCATATACCAACTGATGACGGTGGCTATCAACTTTACAAGGCCGCCGGAAAACTTGAGGGTAAAAAGGCCATTATTACTGGTGGTGACTCAGGTATTGGACGGGCGACAGCAATTCTTTTCGCCATGGAAGGTGCTTCGAGCCTAATTGTCTATTTGCCAGAGGAGGAGAAGGATGCACAAGAAACCAAAAGGAGAGTGGAGGAGATGGGACGCCAGTGCCATTGTCTGGCCATTGATCTGCGAAAGAGAGAAAATTGTCGACAGGTGGTGGACACTGCTTTGCAATCGATGGGTGGAATCGACATCTTGGTAAATAACGCCGCCTTTCAGAACATGCTGAGTGACATCAGTGAATTAGACGAGTACGCTGCCAAATCCTTTCTGCTCTTGGTATCTTGCAGCTGATATCCTTCCGCAGAGACCAATGGGAGAAGACCTTCGACACAAACATCCATTCATTCTTCTATCTTTCCAAATATTCGCTGCCACATATGAAGCGTGGTGCAACCATCATCAATTGCTCATCCGTCAATCCATACATTGGTCGGGGTGATCTTTTAGATTACACGGCAACAAAGGGAGCTATAGTAGCATTTACACGAGCCCTGTCGAATCAACAAGTCAAGAAAGGCATTCGGGTTAACTGTGTTTGCCCAGGTCCAAGTAAGTCTTTGCGACTTTCATATTTTGTATTCATTTTCTAATGAACTTCTTAGTCTGGACACCGCTGATCCCATCAACCATGCAAACGGCCGCGATGGAACAATTCCACGCGGTCCCAATCGGTCGGCCTGGACAACCAAGCGAAGTGGCCACTTGTTTCGTTTTTCTCGCAAGCCAAGATAGCAGTTACATCTCTGGGCAGTGTCTGCATCCCAATGGAGGTGTCATGGTCAATGGTTAATCCAAGAAGCGATTTTGACGAGGTCGAGTGTGATTTGTACGCTCCTTGTGACTAGATCTAGGCACCGAGACCATTCAATCAACCTAAAGAAAAGTACGCAAGCAATGTAATTTATATTCAACGGGGCGAAGTAGAAACAAGTCAATTCGCGTATGTAGCTTCACCTCATGATGCGAGAATGCCAGCAAATCATTCGAACTGTTTTCAGATCATGCTCTAAGGCTAGATCACTGCTGCCTGGATTTGTCAGTAGAATATCAAATATGAAATAAGAGTTACACTCGGGCTACAGGCTAGAAAGATGGAAATTTGATGAAGTTCACCTCAAGATAGATAGGCCTAGGGTTGATATACAAAGTCGAAAGAAACGAAGAAACCACAATAGACGGAAAGATAGAAAATTTTGAGCCCGTCGGAATGGCACAAGCATGAGAAACAAAAACGCATTTCCTTCCCCCCTCCCCAATGCTCAGCGCCGGTACCACATGCGTGTGATTCGAGTATGTCTCATCTTCTTCTGCAGCTGGAAAATCCCGTACATCAATGCCTCGGATGTGGGAGGGCCTTGTTTATCTGGTCAGCAAAGCCACAAATAGAAAATTATCCGAAAGAGAGGGAAAACTCACATCCAGGAACATAAACATCCACGGGAACAATGCGATCGCAACCGCGGACAACGGAGTAGCTGTAGTGATAGTAGCCACCACCATTGGCACAGCTACCCATGCTAATAACCCAGCGGGGATCAGGCATCTGATCGTAGACCTGACGGAGGGCTGGTGCCATCTTATTTGTCAATGTGCCGGCCACAATCATCACATCGGACTGTCGCGGGGAGGCTCGGAAGATGATTCCCAGGCGATCCTGGTCATAGCGGGGGGTGGAGAGGTGCATCATTTCGACGGCACAGCAAGCAAGACCGAAGGTCATCGGCCACAGGGAGCTTTGACGCGCCCAATTGGTGACCTGATCAAGGGTGGTCCTGGATTTCCGTCTAAGTCAGTGGGGAAAACAGAGGCAACGAGCCGGCGGGGGATACCAACAAGACATATTGCATCGCACCCTCCTTCTTCTCTTGGCTGGGAAGAGGAACCTCCTTTCGAACCTTGCCGGATGCAGTAAGAGACTGTCCTGGGGAGGATTGGCGCTCCAGGGCCGTCGCTGATTTCATGGACGAGGTCGACAGGGCGGCAATGGGCTGAGCACGAAGGCATGACACCAGTTGAGGGCGCACTATGTTTAAATCAGAGAGATGTCGACAATGTATCTCCGGGACATTTCTTCCATTCTTACCACATAGAGCACCAGAGATGGCGGGTCTCGCCATGGGCAACATGATTGAAGTCGAGAGGAGGGTAAGTCTGAACCCGGATAGCTGTGTGGCGGCCGATGACCTGGTAAGGAGGACTTTTGACGGGAAAGGATGGTAAGAAGAAAGGCGTACGGTCAGGTTTGCGCAGGCTCAGGTAAGCGATGAACGCGTTTTTGAATGGTCAGTCAAGATACTTTGTCTGTTTTTATGGTACAGTATGGTAAAGGCGGTGAGTGCCAAGTAACGGGAATTGAACCCTCGATCATTGGTGCAGCGCTTGTGATCACGTGCAATATGGGCTCTTCTCAGTCAGAGGCACCCCGGTGCTTATCTAGCTCAGTGGTGATTGGGACTAACGTCTAATGTCCCGTTCGCTAGTGAAGTTTACTACATCATAGGGAGTGGTTAAATAGTTGATTAACTAAGAAGAAGTCGGTGTCGACAATGCGACCGACCAGGGGTGCCCAAAATAACCAGGGGGTTGGGCAGGGGGTTGGGGGTCATTATGTGCTTGTACATCCAACATTACCATCGGAACGTCCTTGATAAACTACCCTATAGTTGATTCGGTAGCCAAACTAGGGACAATCGCGGAGGATTCGCAGTGGAAGAGCGGGATGAGGTAATCAGGTGCATGACATCGGGCTAAAAAAAGTTGGTCAGGCAGCTCCTGAGCGGATATCGACAGTACGGGAGTCTCCCCGCCTTCGCATCCTCGTTTGTACCTGCCGCGGAGCGGGGCATCTATTCTTACTTTCAACGCTAAGCTCATCTGCGCAAAAGAGATGATTGACATTCCCTGATCATTATTGTCACCTTGAGACCCTCGAGGAATCCTGCTTCCCTTTACCTTCTCTCCTTCTCAGCCTCCACGGAGCGGAGTCCGAATAACAACCAAGTCCCTCTCCCTTTCTCTCTCTTCTCGACCTAATCAGATCCGGAAAGGATTCCGAGAAAACATCTTGCAGAATGCCTGGGCCTAAGATTGCCTGTATTGGGATCATTGGGAAAGCTGTACGTGACAAGATGTCGAACCTGTTGCGCGTGCCCGCCCTCTGCTGGTCACCTGCTAACCATTTGAGGTCTAGGATAACCCGCTCCACATTTCTCTCTTCCCACCTTATGATGATGCCTCAATCAAATTCTCCTTCTTGCTGAACTCCTGTCTTGATATCTTTGAGATTCGGCGCAAGCAAACTTCCATCGATCAGGACCTGGGCCTCCTTCATGCCATTGATGAGAGATTGGCTGCTTATGGATGGCTCACCACAACTGGGGTCAAATTCCTTATCGTCGTGGATCTGTTTGGACAAGAATCTGCCTTTGGGAGCAAATCAGCGGGGCCTGCGGTTAGTGGCTTGCGGGATTCCGATTTAAAGCCAGTAGGTCTCTCATGAAGAATACAAAAGCCTTTCCGGTGTAAATCACGAGCTAATCAATAAGCGCTAGGCGTTTCGTGCTTTGCAGAATGCGTACATTCAGCTATTGCAGAATCCTTTCTATTCTCCAGATGACCATGCGCCTACATCTGAGATGGCAGCCAGCTCGGCATCCTCCTGTCAATCAATCTCTAATCCAAGATTTCTAGCCGATGTCCAGCGTATCGGTGCAAACTGGGCCCCGGGTACTGCCTTGTAGACTACAGTCTCATGAACAGCAATGCATACGTATAGAAATGACGTAAACTTGGTTTTCCCGAGGGTGTCATGGTTGAGTAACTATATATCAGCAACCTTATGAATCGAACACCAATGGTTCGATACAGTCGATCGAGCCCACCCATATATCGGGTCCTTATTCGGTTTGTTCCAAGGATGCCACCATGACCTCCATTTCTCGGGGGCTAGAGACCGCCCATACACCTCCTCCTTTGGTGTTCACTCTGCCGACCTCTTTTCCGACGAGATTCCGGCCGACTTTTCCAGGTCCAATTCCAATCCAGCGCCTCACCCCTCGTTCTTGGTGAAGATAGCGAACGCTATCCCACCATCTCACCGTGTCGGTGCATTGTCGGGAAAGCAGTTGCTTAAGGTCCTGCCTCGAACGAAAAGGCATCGCAGTGATGTTGGATATGCAAGGTAGCGTAGTTGGAAACGTAAGATCAATTTCGTCCATGGCGGCTCCCATATACTCGGCAGCCGGCGACATCACCGGGCTATGAAATGGGCTGTCGCTCTTCAGTCTCACTGCACGCGGGTCATGCCCTCCAAATTGACGTAGCTGGACAAGAAGAGCCCTAATCCGTTCGATGCTTCCGCTAAGAACTATCTGGTTGGGGGAGTTGATATTGGCCACCATAACCTGTTGAATTGGTGGCGTGATTTGGCTCGTGTCATCCAGGCGTGTGGCTCCCAGGCCAAGAAATTCATAGACGGTCCTTAGCAGACCATCCAGATGGTCCGGTTCGCAAATAAGGGCCACCATGCCGAAATTTTCGCCTGATTGCTCTGCCATCTGTCGTGTACAGCGCGCCATAACTTCAGCTCGACGATGAACTAACCTAAGTGCATCTGCAAATTTAACATAACCCGCAGCGACCAGTGCGGAGAATTCCCCTAGACTATGACCGAGGGTGACATCAACCCGAGACTTGGTATCAAATCCATACTCAGTTTCAAGTATACGGAGGATGAGAACAGAGATAGCCATAATGGCGGGCTGTGCATTTTCAGTCCGGTTTAATCTGGAGTTGGGGCCATCGGATATGATACTAGAGAGGTTGAATCCTAGTATTGAATTCATCTCGTCCAAGAAATGGGTCGTGGTTCTGGGAAATCGGTCCATCCAAGGCGTTGCCATGCCTAGTCGTTGAACCCCATGGCCTGGTAAGATAGTTGTTTAGTGCATATTGGTGGGCTGATGAGGAAAAGAGCGCACATACCAGGAAAGAACAGAGCGGTATGAAGATTTCTGCGTGAAAGAGAAATGACAGATGGGTTCCTTAGCATCATAGCTGCCACAGGACACCCGATGAGTCCTGACAGGTGTCGTCTGGAATTCATGGCCACTTTATTGTCCGAACACGCCACGCTGGGCATTGGTCATGATCTGTTCAGCACAGCGTGAAAGCATCGTGATTGCCTTGCTAGAGACAGAGCGATGAATTGAGAGGAGTGTCACGGCCAACTCGACTTCTGAAGCTGCCCACGTCGACAGTGACCTCCGCGTGGGGCTGGGGAAGGTTCACGTGAGCCTGGGGCTCCCGCGCCTCGGGGAAATCGGACCCGAACAGGCATATTGAGAAACCTCGCAGCCCAAATGTGAAGATATGAAGGAACTCTCACAGCTAGGGCTTTGGAATTGGTTACAGGTTGATTCTAAACAGTCAACAAAGATGTGCAAATCAAATTATTTTCTTATTTCGTATAGAACAAGACCAAGAACCCAGTCCAGTGGAAGGCTAAAGCTGACTTTCACTAGGAATAGAAGAAGATGCCATAGAGTTTGAAGATCAACCAGCGTCAATAATCCACATGTAATTATCATTGTAGCTATAAATACTAACGGCATGTTGTTCATTTTTCATTATACATCCGGGCATCCGGGCATACTCAGGACCTCGATCGAGGGCGACAAGGGAAGTACTCTCGCGTTCCGCTCTCACCGCCTTCGGTCGAACGTCTTTATTTACTGCCCTTTCCACAGCTGATTATTCGTCGCGCATCGCTTGACGCTTCAACGCTCCTTATCCTGTCTTCTCTGGCCTGAGCCAGGACCTTGCATGAAGACGACTCAATAGAATCCACAAAATGTTTGTTCCTAAAGGAGCAGCAGGGCGCAACCCTCGAAGGCGCCAGAGAACCAGTTCCGATGACTCTGTCAATCCTCCAAAAGCAAAGCGACAGCGCTCGGTTTTGCGGCAAGCAGGTGACTCTCCGTCTAAAGGGCTTGATCGCGACCAAAGGGACATAGCCGATGCATCGAATTCTAGCCTAGGCAACAAAAATGAAGTGATTTCCGACTCCATCGGTACCGAATCACATCTCCCCATCCGGAATACCAAACTGACAGAAGGGCTTCGAGATCCCCTTGAAGGGACAATTGTGCTGGTGAGTTAGCCTTATTTCCCTCCTTATCTCTTATATTCTGTATCTTCAGGGCCAGCGCTAACATTTCCCCTTGAAAAATCCGACAGTCAAGCACCGATTACTATACAGTCGATCAACTTCCTGCTTTACCAGATCAAATCCGAGGCTCACTTTCAGGTACAAGCATATTGTTTCTATCGCTCCATTACTTTCTTGCTCGTGTCACTGACATTGTACTGCAAAGAGCCACTCCGGTGCTTTTTTGCTCCCACTCATAACCATGCTCTGGCATTGACTAATTCCCATGCGATCATATGGCCCTATTCGACGCCTACGTCTGCCCCATCACCTTCGCAAACATTTACCGTCTTAATCCCCGAGTCATGCCGAGATCCCAATGGCGCGGTACCACTCGGCGTTTTACTCTCTGCTGCCACTGGAGAATACCCCGGTCTTCTTGTCATTGTACCAACCACGGGGAAAGTCATATACTGGGAAACGGTATCGAGTGCTGCTTCTCTGGGGCTACCTCGGCAGAAGCAAAGTGGAATTCAAGGAATCACGCCTGGTCTACTCTCCGGCGAATATGCGACCGAGGTCATGAATTGTGAACCCTCGGGAGTCATTGTCGCATTCTCGTCTGGACGAGTGGCACATATCAGCCTCCGAGACCCCCAAGGGAAACCCTCGGTGCTCGTCAACTTCCTGAGGAGTACTGTGAGTGGCGGAGGCGGGTTTTTGGGTGGAATCAAGAATGTCTTAGGTGGGGGGTATTGGAGGAAGGAAGTAACGGCGGTTCGAGCAGGCGCATCCCGCCAACGAGGACAACGAGACGTTATTATAGCCACTTCTTCTGGATGGGTGGAGATATGGGACACTCATTGGAACCACGGCAATGCATTGAAGAAAAAATATGACATCAAAGGAGACATTGCGGCCACTATCCCTCAGGATCCTGCTGTGGCACCTGGAGACACGGATCTCAAAGTCATGGATTTTGCTGTTTCCACACAACAGACCCCTGACGGAACTGATCTCCAGGGTTCTGACGAATCATGGCGACTGCTCCTTGTTGTTAGTACGCCACAGTGGCTGGAGTCGAAAACCTTGTTCGTTGTTGAGATGCATTTGTCAGGATACGGCACTCGCATATTGTCTGCTCGAGCCGTTGACCTTCAGGCAATACCTATCGTGCAGAGTGACTTGAAACCAAGGATTCTAGTTTCAAGACCAGGACATACTGCTTTCATTCTTCTCGGCCAGTCTCTCATTCTTATATCTCTCGCTAGCATTGAACAAACGCCGACCTCACAACTCCTTTTGGATTCGCACAAATTACCTCAGGCGTTTCAAGATACCATCCATCTTCGATCTGGCAGTGGTTATGAAATTCTCGGGTATGGCCTGGATGACCGAGCAGATGGTCATAATAGCACAGCATGTGTTATGATGATTCGAAACTTTGGTGTTGTTCGGGTCAGTGTGACTCCCCAATTCTCAATTGAGGAGGAAGCCGATGAAGGCCAAGTTACCGCAAAGCACAAACTTGAACAGGCAATCTTCTTTGGCACCATGGCAAAGAACCCCTTAAACCTCCTTTGGGAGAGTGATCTCGACTTTCCCGCAGCTGAAATTGAGCAGGCTTCGCTGGAGATCAGCAGGGAGCTTCTCCAGTCAAGGTCACGATTTATCCCTACATCTGCAATCTCCATCGACCAAAACCTCAGGCTGAGAGCCAAGGCCCTCAGTGACCTTGCGTCATTATTGCTTCGAAAAGGCAATCCCCTAAGCCGCCCAGCAAAATGGGAACTTCTATGGGGGGCCGAAAAGCTTGCTGCACAAAGAGCCATGTGGAAACTCGAGGAATCACTACAGAACAACAGAGAAGGCGCTTTTCTGAGCCATGTGATTGAATCAATGAATGATAGGTTCAAAACTCGCTCAGATCTTCCTCAAGGTGGAGTTGATACGGTACGGCAGTGGTTCTTGAGAGATTCTTACCAGATGGAACATATAATTCCCTGGATTAAAAATGCGATCAAGCCTCGCAAGGGTAATTCATCCAGGCAAGCACGAAAGCTCTCGGAGCAGATTCTCGAAGCAAGCGAGCTGTTCCTCGCCATTACGGAAACCGCCTACCGATATCGTGACGAGTATGCTTCTTTATACGGGTTGAGTGATGACTTTGTCGAAGATGGCGTCCTTGCTGATGGGTACGAGGAACTACCAGAGTTCTGGACATCCAGAGCGGTGGGCTACACTGAAACAGGTCATCTATTGAATTGGGAGCTAGACAGCTGTCGAGCTTGGATTCAACAAAAAACATCAAATGCAGATGCGCCAGATACTCAGGTATTGAAAAAGATTGCTGAAAACAGTGCGCGTCATCTTCGAGTTCTCGGTCAGATGCACCGAGAGCGGACGCGCTGGCTTGACGCACAGGGAGATTCCAAATTGTCCGATGAAAGTGCTTTAATCGAGCAATCTCACATCAAGGAACGCAAGTGGCAGCTCTTCAAACTCGCAGGAATTGGACATTTGCAAGATGCACTTGGTCTTGCGGAACGGTTCCGAGACATGGGAGCTCTCGTCGAGCTAATTATCGAGCTCCAAGATCAGGCGAAGAACCAGTCATCCCAAGATGGTTTTGTGGATGTTCCTGGAATGGCCACGAATGAAGCAGATGTGAATTACAGAATTTCGCAGTATTTTGAGAAATTCGGTGAAGCTTGGGCAGATGCGTACTTTTCACGGCAGATTTCCATGGGTCACCCTGGTGCATTGCTTTCCATGCGCAAATACCAGCAACATGTCACTAGATTTCTTCGAAAATCTTCTTCATATTCTAGATTGAGCTGGATCAATGACGTGACTGGGGAAGCTGACTGTGACACCGCTGCCGTCTGTTTGGAGAGCCTTGCACTCAGTGGTGAACAGGAATTGTGGAATCATCGTGTGCAAATATCATTAGCAAAACTCGGAAAATTGGCTTCCAACGAAAAAAGCCCATCTCCAGCACACCGTTCCGATTTGGAGGAGGACATTCGACGACTCGGTGATTACAACGAGATTGACGAGATTCAGGACAACCTTCATGCCAGTGTCAAGTCAGTCTTTGAGGGCGCAATTGACCGGAAAGCAGCGGCGGAGTTGGCCCTCGATTACTTTGGAGGCCATCTTGCGGAGAATTTCCCTTCCCTTCATGATATATTAGGCGACGCTCTCTCCGGTCTGGTTCATAGAAATGTCATTGGTGCGGATGGTCTTATTGATCTCCTCACTCTGATGAGCTCCGTCAACCCCTCTGATGACAGCGACAATGATCTTCATGGACGAGAATTCTATCAGGCTCTTCAAGTGCTTGATCACAGTCGCTACGTGCAGCAAGATGCCCCATATGCCTCGGCGATAAGAAAATTGATATGGCGACGTTGCATGCTCAAAGACAACTGGGAGGCCCGTGGTAAAGCTGCTGAATTGTCAAATGGAGATCTGGATGGCTCGGCTCGAGACACTGTGCTTTACCAAACTTTGTGCTTGTGTTTAAATGGTGAGTCTTGGCCACGTTCCTTGACCAATCTTCGGGCTAACATATCATCTACAGACCGGGCCAGATTCACCTCTCAGTCTCTGCTCAAGCCTCTTTCTCCAGCTGAGACTTTGATGGCAGGGTCAGAATCTGACATTCTTGCATCACGCTTTCGCCCAGAGCAAAAGGCTCGGATAACTATGGACCTGAAGCGAGAAGACGACCTTCTTCGTGCATATGTTGAGACTGGGAAACTTGATTTCTGGTTTCAGAACCTGTTCACATTGATTGGGTCTAAATTGACCTCTACTGACCTTGCAGGTGAGGGGACATGCAGCCTTTGACTTCCCTATGGAATCCAAGACCCGACCAAGATGAATTCCAATGGATTGGCTTTGCTCTGCTTGGAGCTATGATGGCCTACTGCATAAAAGACTTGTGATATACATGAAATAGTTCAATTTGACTTGGCATTGTTAAGTATGGATTCTTAATTTCTGGGTATGTGGATGGATTTCTAGCCATTGCAGACGATCTGCCGTTCTGTCTCGCTGCTATCTGATGATGCCTTGTTGGAGGACGAAAAAGGTGTGTAATTAGCCAAGGCAAACGTCCCTGAACTATGGCCAAATATGAAAGATCATTTGAGAGACTTGAGAGAAGGCAGCAGTCACATTCCATGACCCCTTGGAAAATCAATCATGTCAAAATGCGCCATATCCCCTACTTTCGCACCGCCGTCTGGTCGGTTTCACTTTCAGTGCTGCTACTAGTGCTCTCAACCTTTGTTACGACACTCTCGTCTATCACAGTCCCTTCCGAAAGCCCATGGAGCTCTTCCTCAAAAACAGGCTCTGATTCAACTGTTTCAAACTTGGTTTGAAAATCCGAAAGACCTTGAGTGCTGCTATTAGATCGACGCCGAGTATTGGTGAATGTATAACCGTAATCCTGCATTTCATCTCCAGAGCGACCCCTGTAGCCGTTTAGCAAAATTGTTTCTTGATAAAAATTGGCTTTCGGCAATTCTCACCAATTCCTTTTTCCACCTCCATCTTTCTTCGTCTTGCGAGGATCCGCATCGGTAGGCCCCGATTTTGCAAAATAGCGCGGCAGAGGGTCACGAGTTGCCATCATACCATCGGGCAGATGGTCACGATCATTGAGCTTGTGCGAGCGAGTCACTAGAAGAATCAGTGGAGTTCTAGACAATTAAGTGTATGCTCACTTTTTGAGCTATGTGAATTTCAGCTGAATGTCGTGGTGTAGATAGAGAAAGTCGAAGGACAAGGAGCCAGAGGGGAAACCAGGAAGTGGTCTCGCGTGACTCGTGACCTCATACCTGTGGGGAATGCGGGGGTTGCACTAATATGGCCCCACCAACTTTAAATTCTGTAAGATGCTAGTTCATGGTGGTAAACCCCCTCTGGTCATTGATAAAAGCGAACACTCGTTATGACGGGAGTAAAAACACTTCAGAGGTAAATTGAAATATTTCGGTGATTAGCTAAGGGTTGGCAAAGGGTATACATAAGAACGCGAATATTGATTCTGAAAATTAAGGCGGTGAAATCGGTTTCATTTTTGAACGTTTACTCTCTCCCTAATTATAAAACTATATGTTCTTGACCTGGATAGACTCTCTGTCACCCTAGTTACTAAGCCTCTCTATTATATAATAACCAAATGATAACGTATTCCACAAGCGAGCTGCGCACACAAGCGAGCTGCGCACCCTACCAACCACTACTTTTTGAAAACACTATTTTTCCACCAAAACGCCATATATTTAATTCAACTATTTACTAGGGCACCGAGTAATCTTATGCCCTATATTCCCACATCCAGAACATTGAAATACACGCTTAGTAGTAGGCTTAGCGCCCTTAGTAGGCTGCTGAGGAAGCTCTGCATTATCGTTTTGAATAGCTTCAACGCTTGCTGGCAACGTTGAAACTAGAGATATAGATTCGCCGACCATAGAACCTTGCTGCCTAGATATCTGGCGAGTAGACCGTGTGCGTTTTTAACGCTTCTTCTCGTTGAATTGGCGTAAATCCCTAGCTTCCTGTGCTAGAAGCGCTCCGTTATACATCGCTAATTGGCACCCCTTAATTAATTAATCTAGCGCTCTCTCTGTAGGGCTTCCTAGCGACCGCGAGCGCTTGCGTAGTAGAGCTTTGATAGATGATGCTTGCTTGCTAAGCTGCTTAATCGTATGTAGCGTAGTAGGCACGAAAGCGCTACTCCTACTACTAGGCCTACTAGTAGTAGTAGGAGGTGTAGGTATTCGAAGCGATATATTAAGCTTCGATAGGACTCGGTCGGCATCTAGCGGAACTAGGCCGGCGCTGGCGAAGCTTGATTGTACAGTGCTAGGTAGGAAGGCTTCCTAGCGTGCTAGGGTATAGGATTCTAGGAAGTCGAGCTTGTCGATATAGTTATATCCTAGGCGAGCTTGGGCCTTAATTAAGCGACCGTATGCGCATTTAAGGATAGCAAAACATCCTATATCTAGCGGCTGTAGAAGATATAACGAATGCGGCGGTATACAGAGTGGTATAACGTTATTTTGCTAGCAGATTTGGTCGAATTGTAGTGTTAGATAGCTTCTATGACCGTCTAATATTAACAAGCGATATTTGCCTTGCGTACGACTAGTAGTTGCTAGAATAAAGAGCTTTTCTAGCTAGCGTAGGCCTATATCGTCGGTAGTCTAACCGTTCGGTGATATTTCGAATCGCTAGTCGCTAGGAAGGTTATCAAACTAGCTAGCAATATAAACCTTCCCTTTAAATATTATACACAGCGGAAGCGAGAAGCCGGTAGCCGATATAGATTCAATTACTATTACCTACTCCCGATTTCTAGGTTGTAATAGTAGCTTCCGACCGTATAGATCCTTCCGTGTAACGATTCTAGTAGTAGATATCAAGCCTATTATAAAGCCTGTTTTATTAAAGTTATAGATATCGTTAGGAAGGATCCCGTTTTCATAAATCGTACGCTCTACTAGCCTAAACTACGCACGTAGGCTAGTAGGATCTTCGTTTTACGCACGTTGATAGTCGTAGCGTCTAGAGAATCGTGTATAAAGCTCTAGTCGCCGCTTAATATAATTAGAAGACTAATTTACACCTATAGTAGTAGGTATAGTATCGCCGCGCGCTACTAGTAGAAGATTTGCTATATCTCGAATATACGAAGGCCTAGGAGACGCTCCTCGGGCGTCTAGCGATAGTATCTACTAGCAAAGCGAATCTTCTTCTTCTTGTGTTAATTTATAACTATTTGCGCGTGTTTCCTAGCGATTTAAAACACCCTTTATACGCGTTCGAAGCGTGCTCTCTAGCACGCTATAAACCGCTGCTGCTTTTCGTATAGATAGGGTAGTATCATTTTGAATAGCTTTGATAGCAAGTAGTATCCTACCCTCCCTATCTAGCGATTTTGAGCGTTTTTCGGAACGTTTTGGTAGCATAGTATATGGTGGAAGATAGTAGGTGACGCGTAGGAAGCGCGTTTTGGATGGGGTGTTCGGCTCGCTTGTGGAATACGTTAAAAGGCTATAATTAGGTAACGAAATACTACCCTTTTATTAAGGTTTAGCTTTACTTAACCTAGTTTTCGCCTATTCTTACTCCCTTTTAATAGATTAGTAAGGGGTAGAGTAATATAGGAGTAATCCCTAATAAATCTATAGTAGAAGTTATAGAATCCTAGGAAAACCTAGATATCTCTATATAATTTTAGTAATTCCTATAGAATAATATTAGTAACTCGGCTAGGGTCTATCGATATACCTTTTAGGGATATAATAAAACTAAGAAATTTAACTTATTCTGTATAGAATATATACTTACTAAGTTTCGTATATAGTCCTCTATCTCGTAATCGCTAAAGGACCTCTTATAGGTAATTTATATATATAGTATAGTTAGGTAAAAAGACTAAGATATTATCAAGATAGGCTACTATATAGGTATCGAGAAGCCTATATAATATAGTATAAATATAATTCTAAAAGGTTATAGGCGTATTAGTTAGGCTAAAAGGTATAACTATATATTTAAAGTACCTATAGCGTATACGGAAGGCGGTTTTCTATTTATCTTCTTCCTTAATATAGATACGATAGTAAGTATCCTAGATATTAATCTTACTAAAGATTTTCGATCTAGTAAGCCGGTCTAAAATCTCTAAAATTAGGGGTAAAGGGTAATAATTCTTAATCGAAACCTTATTAAGACCTTAGTAGTTAATATAAAGGCGTAGTTCTCTATCTATTTTAGGGATAAATAGGATAGGAGCTTCTATAGGGCTTTTTAATTCGCGGATCTAGCTATTCTTAAGATTTTCGTCGATATATTAGCGTAGTTCTATAAGCTCTTTTTACGATAAGGGATAGATAGGGCTATATAGTACCTTAGCGTCGGGAAGAAGATTAATTATATAGTCGTATTCGCTTAATAAAGATAGGGTCTTCGAATTCTATAAGGAGAAGATATTATAAAAGTCTATAAGTTTGTCTAGGAGTCGGTAGGGGTCCGGTATAGGTTTATTTTCGTCGCGATCTATTAGTAGCTATATTTCTTTAGGTATCTTAACTATAGTAAAGATATATACGTAATTCCTAGTTACCTTATTAAATCGTTCCGGCGAGAGTATCTTAACCGAAGAGGTTCTAAACTACTAAAGACTACTTCTTCCTATAAGGTAGATATTAAGGTTATAGATAGTAGTTATCGATAGGAGTAGTAGGCTCCTACTAAGTCGTAGGTCTCGGTTAATAGCTATATATACGCGGTTAAATTAGCGGGTTATCCCTCTTAAATCGGTAGTAGTTAGTAGAATATTCTATACGCTATAGGTAGGTATTCTATATTAGTTAACTATATAAATTAGAGGTTTAGTAAGCTTAGTCGCTTCTAACTAATAGGTTTTAACGAATATATAGCTAATAAGATTAACTTCTACTCTACTATCTAGATCCGCGTAGATTTTAATATCGTTTCGGATAGTAATCGAAATATAAAATCGAGTTTAGGTCCCTACTAAGGGAGATAGAGATAAAGGCGTAGGGTCTACTCTATCTCTAGGACTTTTCCCTACTATACCACCTAAATTATTGCTAGTTTAGGGTCTTAAGCCCTAGGATAGTAGGGTAAGTAGTACTCTTCGCTTCTATATTTAAAATATTAGGTTTATTTTCTATCTTCCCTAATATAATTAAGTCTTCCTTATAGAGATAATCCTTTAGATTTATCGTTTTAGGTTCTCTTATCTTAGGAATCTTCTCTTTTAACTATAGATTTATAGACTATAGAAGATATTAATTATTTTTATAAGGGTTTTATTAAGTTATTAGTTTATTTCCTTTTACGTATCTATTCTAATTTTTCTAGATCCTAGAAGTAGTAGGTAATATTAATTATATCTTCGCGGGATTCTAGAAGTTTAATTACGTATTACCGAATAGTTATTTATAGGTCGTACTATAGCTTAGTAAAGTAGGAAAGTACTCTTTCTTTCTTAGCCGACTATAGAAAATACTATTCGAGAGTATCTAGTCGTATATAGAACTCTCTAGGATCCTTATCTCTTCGCTAAAAAACCTTTTCTAGCTATCCTATTACTTCCGATTCTAAGCTTATAGTATTTTTAATTAGAGTAAGAGTCTATTCCTCGAAGTAGGGCTAATCTTCTTTTATATTTTATTAGGAGATTAGAGCCTTTTCTTCGATATATTAATACTATCTCTATCTATATATTTAATCTATATAGCTAATCGCTCCTAGGATCCGAGTTTAGTTATTATAATATTTCTTAGAGGCTTCTTTAAATATTTATTATAGGTTAAGAAGCTACTCCTAATATTATTAAAGTAAGGAATTAAGTATAAATTTTAGGTCTTTAAATTTAATTTCCCTATCTAAGGATTCGTAGAGGTTTTAGCTAGGATTTATAGAGGATTCTTAATTACTCTATAGTATAATCTAAGATTTTAGAATCTCTACTTACTCCTATAGCTCTTTAAGCTTCTATAGTTTTTTAATAGTATCTTAGGTTACTTAGAGTCTAGTATTAAGGTCGGTCGGTACTATCTATTACTCTATAGGTAGGCTTAGAGGGTTAGCTATTTTCTCTATCGAAGAAGTAGAGCGAGTTCTTAGCGCTATCTTCCTAGGTAATCGAAAATAGAAGAAATAGAAATTATTAGAGAGTAACTACTTATATAGAGTAGAAAGCCTATCGACTAGGTAGGAAGATAAATATTAAGTAAGGAAAATAAAATACTATTTCTTACTATTATAGATCTCTCTATAATCCTTAATTTATATATAAGCTTTAATACTTTCCTATATAACTAAAGTAAAAATAATAGATTATATTTTAATATATAGTCTAACGTAGCCCCTATATAATAGAGGCAAGCAAAGGCTATAGGGAAGAGGGGTTTATAAATCCCTAACGGAAGAGCACCGAACCCTTAGGGCCTCGTAGGTTATATATCTATGTTAGGGAGAAGTAGGGCTGTTATAACGAAGCCTAACTAGTAAGGTGTCGAACTAACACCTAAGGCGTGAAGTTAGGAATAGCTTCACGCTGCAATATCATATAACAATCTCGAATATACGAAGGCCTAGGAGACGCTCCTTAGGCGTCTAGCGATAGTATCTACTAGCAAAGCAAATCTTCTTCTTCTTATATTAATTTATAACTATTTACGCGTATTTCCTAGCGATTTAAAACACCGCGTATACGGCCGTAAAGCGTGCTAACTAGCACACTATTATTATAGACCCCACCCCTAGGATGCTAAAAAGGGACACGCCTGAACTAATAGATTCTGCAACAAGGCGGTGTCGAGGAATCTTGCTAACAACAAGCAAGAATAGACTTAGGTAATAACACCTAATATCACGTGATATTATAGCTAGGGCTATGATCGGAATATAGCCTAAGATATAAACCGAGTATATCCTAGGATATAAGAGACTAGATATATAAGGACGCTTATTCACCTATATATATTTAGTTCTTCGCGTTAATTTATATATTATTACTTATAGTTACACTTAAGCTTGATAATCGACTATCTTTAGTAACGTAATAATCTTTCGGTATAATATAAGGATATACTCTAACTAGGAGGAATACTTAGTAGTTATTATATAACTACTTCGTCGACTAACTAGGTATCCTTTAACTATATACGTCTTCGGTCTACTTTATAGATCCGAGCCTATATAAGGCTAGAGTAGGTAATAGTATAATTACGAGGTAGATTATCGGAGATTACGAGAGAGGTACGTTACGATAATATATATTTTACGTTAACTAGTTAGTAGTACGTAATATAATTAACGCCCTATCTATTATACTATAACTATAACATTATAGCACTAAACGATAGTACTAGTAATATATTATAGCGATTAGCTAATTAGCTACTACTACTAACTAATACTTAGTTAATATCGATAGTTAAATAGCTAAGAGATAAGTTATATAACTAAGAATACCTACGACTTATAGCTACTATAAAACTACCTAAGCCTAAGTTCTATAAAGGTAAATAAACTAAGCTTCGAGGGTCTATAATATAGATAGATATATAACTACGTATTCTTAAATACAAATATAAACCTAATAAGGTAATCTACGTGTCTACCTACCTATAAGGTCCTCGTATTTAACTAGTTCGAACCCTATATCCGCGAATTTAGTAAAAAAGAATAGAAGGATTAGGGAGATACTATAAAGAAGATATTTATATTCTATATAGTATTTAAGAAGAAACTTAAATAAATCTTCGGAGATATTAATACTTAACGAACTACTAGAAGAAAACTCGATATACTATAATAAACCGGATTAGCTAGCGTATATATAGTAGAATTTATATAAATTATATCTTACTTTAACTAGGATAAAGACTTATATATATAGTAATTCGAAAAAGGACTTAAAGACGATATTAAAGACGAACTTATAAGAATTAATCTACCCGATAAACTATATAAATTAATTAAGATAGTAGTAAAGTTTAATAACCGCCTATACGAATAAAGACTATAGTATAGAGTAGCGTATTTAGGAGGATAGTAGAGATACTTCTAATACTATTACTAGGAAGATAGATAAGGATAACTAAGGTCTAGGGAATACGATAATCCCTATAGACTATAACTAATAGAGCTCGACGTAGTAAGACTTCCGAGTAGAGAGTAAGCTAATAGGAAAGAGAAAAACCTATACTTTAAATATAGAAAACTAGGATACTATATTAAGAACTACCTAGAGTAGCGTAGTTAGGATAGTAAGCTAAAAGAAAACTAGTATTAGGGCTAGAGGAGGACCTAATAGCTAAGAGTAATATCCGATAATCGAGATAGATATAATACTATAGGTATCTAAGTATAAGAACTCCGAGCTACTAGTAATAAAGACTAGAGATAGTAGTAGATTACTACCTAA